GACTACTAAAGTGCTAACGCCGTTTAGAAGCGTTAAATTTTACGTTATTAAGACTAATACTCCCTTTCTTATATGCCTAGGAGATATAGACCGATTAAAGGTCTACTTTAATAACGTTACGAATACCTTTATCTAAGGAAACAAGGTCGTACCTATTATTCGCAAATAAGGCTACTTATAGTTATTACTTAATAAGGAGAAACTACTCGCCTAGAACTACCTTATAGACGCTAAATTACAACGGGTTTACTATCGCTTCGGATACCTATCTATTTAACGATTATATATGGTGCTCTAGAAGGCTAGCTACCTAGTTGAAATTACGGCAATTAAGTAACTATCGAAAGTCTGCTATCGATGCTAAATATACGCACTAGCGCTATCATAGTTTAAATTTACGTTACGAGACGATTACGAATTTAACTATAAGGTTATCGCCGACGTAATATACCTTAAGGGTAATAGACCGGTCTTCTACGTTGTCGATACCGCTACGGCGTTTAACGCCGCCTAGTTCCTTAAGGATATTTCTACGAAAGCTACTTAGGAAGCCTTACGCCTCTGCTAGATAGATATATATCAGGGACCCCTAGACTAGCTAGTTACCGACGCTAGAATAAACTTCTGCTTAATAGAATTCCGAAACGCGGCGAGAGGAATAGTAATTAAAATCAAGGAAATTCTTATAAAAGCCTATAATAGTATTAGGAAAGTTAAACGATACTATATACCTCTAAGGAGGGCGTACGAAATTATTAAAGTAGAAGACCTAATAATTATGCTAGAATTAATACTTTAAATAGTAGTTAAAGTAGTTAACAATACTGCTAGCCTAAACGGAATAGTACTAATACTCTTAGTATTCGGCTTATACTTACGAATTACTAACGATTCGCTGCTATCTCCCGAAGTTATAAGGTAGGCGAAAGCGATTAAGAAGGCGATAAGCGAAGTATGTAAACTTTACGCAAGGCGATAGGTAGTAGAAGCTATCGCTACTTATAATAGCCTTAATACAAGGCTAATTATTAATTTACTACTACGGTCGTAAGTATAAGTATAGCGTGAAAAGAAAGGCTAGACCGGACTATTTACTTTAGTAGCTATAAATAGTAAAACCTATACTATCGATACGCTATATAGTCCGAAGACCTTCTAGTCTACTATAGTCAAACTATACTACGAAGATCCTGATTAACTACCTAATTCTATCGCCGCGCTAGAAGAAGAAGAACCCGAAGCTAAGATACCGTAGTAGGAAGTAGTACGCGACGAAATTATCGTCGCCGGCGGAGGTAGTAAACTAGACAAACCGCAAGAGGCACCGGAGCTACCGAGAAGACGCCTAGGCAGACCTTAGAAGAGACTACTGCTAATCGCCTACTTTATAAAGGAATTTAACAATAACCTAGATTATTAATAAATATTCCTATCGATTAAGGAGTAAGTAGACGAAGAATTAGTAATTAAACTACGACGAGAAGGTATTATTACTATACTAAGCAAACCGTTCGAATAGTTAACTAAATAAGAGATTAATAGCCTTATCGCTAGAGGAGTATTTAAATTCACCTAGTTTAATAAGAAAAGGTATCAGAACGTACGAATCTTCCGATCTCGTATCGTTAACGAAGTCAAAAGTAAAATAACCAAACCCTACAAGAAATCAAGACTTATAATACAAGGTTACGCCGACGATAGTAAGAAGGCTATATTAACCTAATCGCTAACGATTTAGCAGGCAAGTTAACGGCTAATTCTATTAATTACCCCGTTACTCCTACGAGAAGGGAAATAACTATAGCTTTAAGATATTATATAAGCCTACGTTTAATCCTCTATAAGGCTTAATCGTACTATTCTCGCCTACCTACCGAAGCAAATTCAAGACTAGTACCTAAAAGGGACTATTATAAAGGTTGTAAAGCCTTTATACGGAATCGCAGAAGCTAGAACCTACTAGTAGGCAACGTATCATAAGCATCATAGAGAGAATCTCTAGATAGTTACTTCTTCGTACGATCTATACTTATTGATCTTATCTACCGAAAATCTATACTTTGGCTATATCGGTATGCAAACCGACGATACCCTCGGTTTATTAGACAAGGCGTTCTTATAATTAGAAGACGAATAGTTAGAAAAAGCAGCTTTTATAGCAAAAGCGAAGAATATCCTTATAATTAACAAACCCTTCTAATTTAATAGAGGGATAGTCGCGCTATCAACCAATAATTCGATTAATTTAAGGCAAAAGGGATAAGCTAAGAAGTTACGATATATTAAGACTACTAAACCTAACCTAAAATAGCAATATATCGAACAACGCGCTAGAGGGGCGTATATCGCGTTAATTTGCTAACCCGAGGCCTGTTTCGATTTATCTACTACTACCTAATACTAAGACCCTTCGCTAGAAGCGATAAAAGTACTAAATCAACGGATTCGATAGTAAATAGAATCGCCTAACCGAGGAATAACGTTTATCCTACTCGACCTTATAATAGCTAAGCTATTCGTTTTCGTTAACAGGTCGTTCGCTAATAACCACGACCTTTCCTCCTAATTAGGGTTTCTAATCATCCTAGCTAACGATACTTCCTCTAATAGTAATAACGGAGAATTTACGATTTACGGTAACCTTGTTTATTATAGCTTTACGAAGAGTAAACGAGTTACCTATAGCGTATTAGCGTTAGAGATCTACGGGATAGTTGCTAGCGTCGATATAGCTTACGCCCTCGCTATAACCCTAGCGATAATTACTAACTACCTTAACCTACTAACGATTTAGATAGTTGTCTATACCGATTCTTATTCGCTATACGAGTATCTCGTAAAGCTAGGTATTACTAAAGAAAAGCGACTTATGATCGATATCATAGCGTTAAGATAATTATATAAAAGACGAGAACTATAAGAAATTCGTTAGATTAACGGCGAAGACAACCCTGCTAATACCCTTACGAAGAGCAAACTAAATCGAGCCTTCGAGAGATTCGTTGATAGCAATACGATAACGATACGTATAGAGGGATAGGTAACAAGACCGTAACTACGGGAGAAAGTAGGGATAGGAGGCTGAATTGACGAGGAGACGGAACTATATAGGGATAACGTATTCCAACCGCTTCAACACTATAAAAAGAGAGTTTCCAGTATTGCGATAGTTGGAATACGGAGTCGTATAGCACTTCTAGCTACACGCCCGCCAGGCTGAGAGGCCTAAGCCTCCCAGACCTACGTGACAGGCCAAGGGGGAATATCCCCACCTTCTAGTCAACAACACTACTTTCAACTATCATAAACTATCGATTAGAACTAATTTACTATTATTTATTATTAACGAACGGAATTCCGTTTCACCCCTTATAAAACCTATAATTACTAATTAAATAGTCTTTAAAGAATCGTAGGATTAGGGGAGGTACGTTCTAGAAGTCTTCTTCTAACTTGTCACAGTTCTTCCTGCTAGCACGTGGCTACAACAGACAGAGGTCGGAACCGTGATAAGAACAGAGATGTAAATAGAATGATGCAGAAGTCAAACAAACGGTCACAAGGCAATAAACAACGATGAATTGATAAACGTAGGTATAAGCAGTTGGTCTTCTATTGAGTTGACCTACTGACGATGATGCTGTCGAGGGTGTCTCTTATACGGGTACGGCTAGCACGTGAGATATCACGTGCCCCTAATGACTGTTCAATAGAACTGTGACAGGTGCCCCTCCCGAAAAAAGACGATCGTCCCGATCGACAGTAAAATGAAGACTAATTACATGAATTTGTTCCTTCCATTACCCATCTATCGCGAAGAATCACGACCCTGACGATGAAATCCTATCCTAATCGCGGTCCAGCATGTTACTAAAGCGGCTCTGCTTAGCCGGGCCTGCGATGTTCTCGGTGGCGACGCGCTTGTCGCCCTTCTGCAACTTGGCAACAGCTTCGCGCAGTTCCACGATCTTACCGCGGAGGACTGCAATTTCGTCATCCTTGGTGGCGATGACGCGGTTGACCTCTGCGGCGATCATTTCCTTGCTGGCAGCAGTCGCTTCGAGTGCTTTGAGGCGATCGTTGACGCTTGCGACGTCGACGGTGGACTGGGCTTTCTCGTCGAGTTCGTTGAGGCGAGGGATGATCTCCTCGTTGACGCCGTCAACGATTTTCTTCACATTCTTGGTGACCGTCTCGTTCATTCCGTGAACGTCACCTTCGAAAGCCTGAAGCGCCTTTTCCATATTCTTGAGTTGCTTGCGAGCGGTTGTATCGGTGGCGGTCATGTAGCTGATATTCACGAGCGGGGGAACTGAGAGGAGGTCGGCTCGGTGAACAGCAATGAGGTGGCCCGCGATGGTACCGTTGACCTGACCGTCGCCAGTGTAAAAGACGGTTGCGAGAACCTGGGCGCGGGACGGCAAGTGTTCCGTGTACGAGGCGTTGTTGTTGTACGCGGTGTAGGCGCGTTTGCAAGCGTCCTGAACGCGACGAATGAACAGGTTGGAGGAGGGGGTGGCTGGGCCGGTGAAGTTGTCGAGACAAGCCTCGATCTCCTCGAGTAACATATCGTCCGGGTAGAAGGCGAACGCGTCCTGGGCGCGCTTTTTAGCGTCTCGGACCTGGGTGCTATCGACCTTGGTAGCGGCACGCTTCTTCTTCTTTGGGGTGCCGGACTTCTTGCCAGCCTTGGCCTTCTTAGCCTTGGGGGCGGGAGTGGCCTCGACGGCTGAGGCGTCGGACTCCTCCTCCTCGCTGGATTCGTCAACTGGCTCGGGGTTGCTCTTCTTGGCCCTGGTCTTGGCCTTGCCCTTGCTGGTCCTCTTAGGCTGGTCTTCCTCGACCGTCTCGGTAGGTTCGGCGTGGGCTTCGTGGGCCTTGTTAGCCTCGTCGGCGTCGAACATGGTGGTGTCCTGCTGGTCACCAGTGTGTTCAGTGGCGGCCACGGTGATTTCCTCGGCGGCGCTCTCGCTGACGACGTGAAGTTCCTCGTCGGCCAGGCCGAAGTTGTCTCCGAGGTTCTCGTCGTCGGTCTGGGTCTCGTTGTTGCCTACGTCGCTTCCGGGGGCTGCGACGGAGCCGGTGGGGGTTTCGGCGATCTCGTCGGTGTCTTGGCGAGTGCGTTGGGAAGACATCTTCGCGTTCTTGATGTCGAATCTCGCAATTGGGACGTGTAGTAGTGGTAAGTTGAAAGTCTTGATGAGAATAGAAGGGGTTTGTGATGTGTTATGAAGTGGGAGATTTGTTGATTTTCTGTTGTGTGGGTGGAAGTGGGATTTATATAGTAGGAAAAGTTCACTTTTGTGGTGGTGGTGGTGAAAGTGAAAAGGCAGAGTTTTTCGCTGCCTATGAGGCAAGTGCCTACGAAGGGAAGGAACGAGTGTTTTGTGCGAAATTCCATTACGTTAACAAAGGGAATAATCTCGCTGATATCGCTTTATTAGGAATCAGCTGTTTTGTCGCAGAATAGCGACGTTGTTCTAGTTGTTTCGTTGTTGGCGTCGCTTGGAGCGGTAGGTTGGTGTAACCTCCGCGTCGACGGGATATCTCGCCTCATACTCGTTGACGAGCTCTGCTGCGTTGGTCTCAAGCGATTCGCGAAGCTCCCAGGTATCGAACCTTGCGGTAAATCCCTTCCAGCGAACGAGATATTCGATCCTTGGCTCGCGTTTTCTCCGGTTGATTCTGCGGCTCACAATGTGGTCGATTTCCCATTCTTCGCTGCCGTCAACCTCGATAGGTTGGGGCGGCTGTTGTTCACGGTTGAATGGGTCGTCTCCCTGGGCTGGCTTGTATAGCTGCGCTACCGATAGGATTGGAAAAATTCGCCAATGGGCCGGGAGGTCGACTTCGTAAGCTGTTGGGCTCACAATTCGAACGATTCGAAAGGGGCCCATACGTCGTGACGTCCACTTGTTATGGCGTTGGCCAGGTAAGTGGAAGCCCTTCCCTAGTCTTATCCAAACCTCGTCGCCAACGGAGAATCTGACGTCTGAGTGCTTTTTATCATAGCGTTCCTTTCTCAGCGAGTTCGCTATATCGATCAAAGCCGCTGCCTCGTCCTGGTATATCTTTCTTATGGCGTCGATAGACTCGGTTGGAGCGTCTTTTTCCGCGATGACGTCGAGAGTGCTTCGAGGCTTGAATCCGTATACGACCTCATTGGGAGATCTCCCGATCGTTGCGGTGTACGAGTTGTTGAGGTTGTGTTGCAGCGCTGGGAGAATCTCTGGCCATGGGGTTTCTGGGTACTCTGAAAGCTGGAATCGGATCGCAATTTCCGCTGTTTGGTTTGTTCTCTCACTCTGGCCGTCAGTCTGTGGGTGGTAGGCTGTCGACAAGAGCAGTTTGACTCCGAGAGTGCGGAATATCGCGGTCCAGACGGCTGAGATGAACTTGGGGTCTCTGTCGCTGATGATACGACGTGGAAGTCCCCAGTCAGCCAGTTGGAAGGCCCTAATGAGGACTATTGCCCACTCCTTGGCCCCGTACGTGGTATGGCCTGGTAGAAGTATGACCTTCTTCGAGAATTTGTCCGTTGTGGGCGCGAGCGTATCAAACCACTCGAATCCGGGTAATGCCCACGGACTCCCTCGTGCTTTTACTTTTGGTAAATCGGTAACGAAGTCGATTGTTACGGTATCGAAGGGGATTCCCACGACTGGAATCGGCTGCAGGCTGCCTGGCGGTCTCTGCCGGTCGACTTGGTTTTCCTTACATCTCGGGCAGTAGGCGATATATCGCTTTACTACCGATCGCTTGTTTCGTATCTGGAAGCTGGCTAGCTCTGCTAGCATGCGGTCTACGCCGAAATGGTGCTTTTGATCGTGGGCAAGGCTGAGAACTTCCACGACGGCTTTGCGTGGGATACACAGCCTTTTTGTCCCATCATACGCACGGTGGAATAGGAAGCCTGTCTCTGATAGTTGCCACGGGGAGATTCGACGACGAATCGGCGTGCGCCTCTCGTTCCGAGCGCGATTTTCCTCGTCGTCTGCCTCCTTAGGTGACCACCACTCATCACCACTCTCTCGTTGTCTCGTGAGTTGCTGGATGAGTTTTCCGTACTTTGGGTCGGCTTCGTAATTTTCAACGATGGTCCTGGCGAAGTCTTTGCTTATCCCAATTGTGAACCCGCCTGGTTCTCCTAGCCGTTCGTCGTCCTCTGAGTTGAAAGCTGCGATATTCTCATCGTCGTGGATATCTGCGAGTACGTCGCTTTCTTCGAACGGGTCTGCTCTACCTGTTGCCACCAGCAACGGTAGACGCGAGAGAGCGTCGGGTACAACGTTGAGTTTCCCTGGGACGTGGGTGACGTTGAGGTTGAATTGAGAGAGGTAGTTGGCGGCACTCGCCAACCGAAGGTTTGCTTTGTTGAGATCCATCGTTCTCAACGACGTGTGGGTGAGAATTCCCTTTGTGGCTGCGTGGTCCGTAAGGATCTGTACTGGGTTCCTGTTTGATTGCACCAGTTTCCTAAGTTTCCTTACTGCCCACACCACTGCTGCTACCTCCGCCTCGGTCGCGAAGTATCGCTTCTCTGTTGGGGATGTTACTTTTGAGAGAAACAGCACTGGTTGGATATGCTTTTGTGGGATGTCTTTTCCGGGAATTCCTACGCCGTCCCAGGTAATATCCATCTGGAACACCATAAGCCCGAATCCTCCCTTGCAAGCGTCGATCTTAAAGAATAAGGGTTTTTCTGGGTTATGGTGGTATCTCACGACCTGGTCGCAGAGATTCTTTTGTAACGTTTCCCATGCTTCCGTTTCTTCTAGCGTTGGCTCGAAAGTCGTACGTTGGAACCGTTTAGTTCTTACAGCCCTATTGAGGCCTGTTGGCAACTGGTCCTCCTTGCGTAGGATCGCGGCTAGCTTGGTTTTCCTTTCGTTAAGGGGGGCTGCGATCACGTCGTACCATGGAATGTCTTTTCGAAGACATCCTGCCATTCCGAGGTATTTCTCGAGATCGCTAAGGTTTTTTGGGAACCTGAGATTCTTAAATGCAGCGATTCGATCGTCCGTTCTGCGTATCCCTTGTCCGTCCACGATATGGCCGAGAAGTTTCACGGAAGGGAAACCAGCGAATGACTTTTTCGCTGCTATGTTGAGCCTGTTGTTGTTGATTATGTTGAGGACTGTTTCAACATGCTTAAGGTGGTTTTCGTCGGTATCGCTGAAGATCACGATATCGTCGATGTACGCGCGAACGAAGTGTTTATGGTCCTGGAAGATGCGATCCATGAATCGTTGGGCGTAAGCCGGCGAGTTCTTGAATCCCATGAGCACTACGTTCGAGATCTCGATACCACGGGGACTTATCACTACCATCCTGTTACGGTGTTTCGAGTGGATAGGCAGTTGGTGAAAAAAACCCGGTGGCGTCGAAGAGGGTTATTCTTTTCTTGCCACGAATCGCGTTCATTATGTCATCTTGGTCTGGCAAGGGGTAAACGTCTGGGACCGCTAGGCGGTTGAGTGGGCGTAAGTCTGCGACCACTCTGGGTTTTCTCGCGGTCTCCGTTTGTCGCCATACGATGAAAAGAGGACAGGCGATCGGAATTGGCTTCCCGTCAGCCCAATCCATCTTTCCCTCGGCGTGAAGTTGCCCGTAGGTTTCGTCTAAAACTGCGAGGTCTTCGAGACCGAGTGGATATACCTTTATGTTGGTTTTTTGGTTCTGCCATCCGTCGACGAGGTCGATTCGCATGCGTTCCTCGTCGGGGAGTGGTATGATACCTTTATTGTGATAAATATCGTACCTGTCGAGGACTTTCCGCAGTTGTTGTGCGAAGTCCGTGTCGAGATTACATATCTCGACGCCGTGCTTGCTAATAATCACTGGTACGTCGTCTGGTTTAGAGATTCCGTAGTCTGGTATCTCGTCTATCCATGGTTTGGTGTTTCCTTCTGGGGTGCCTTCCCCATTAGTTACATTGAACATTGCGTTGCCGTGGTTATTCTCAGCTTCGAGGTCGCTGAGCAGGATACTTATATCCCCTGGTGGTTGTTTCGTAAGGTGACCGATACGGTGGCCTTTGGGGATTTGTATTTCTGAATTTCCTTTGTTGTGGATGAGAAATAACGCTGGGGTCGCGAGGTCTACCGTACTGTAGATCGCTGCCTCATGTGTTGGGTGGAAGTGCCAGGTCTCGCTCCCGTCGTTACTATCCCTTGGCAGAGGGCTGTATCGTCCCGGGACGAAGACTTGACTCTTCCGTGGAATTGTTACTGCGTAGGCGTTTTCCACGCGCCTGGCGGGTGGCGTCTGCCGTCGATACTCAACGGGCGCCTCCATATTAAATACGGATCGAAACTTAACAACAGACTTGTTGAAGTCTACGACGAGACCGTGTTCCTCACAGAAGGGGGTGCCGAGCAATAGGTTTGCTCCGAGCATGTTGACAACCCCTGCTGTGACAATAACGTGTGCGTTCACGTCTGTCTCGCCTATTTTACCAGGGACGTAGAAGTCAAATGTTACTTCTTCTGTGACCTGGAAGGTGGAATCTACGGCGTTCATTTTCCTTGGTTCGATCGCTCGAAAAGACGATTTGCGGGCGAATCGTGTGACCCAGGACTTTTCAACTAGTATGGTTGAGGCTCCTGTGTCGATACACACCTCGTCTGGTTCGCTATTATCGTCGGCTTTGACGTGGAGTCGAAGGTGTGTTCTTTTCGAGGGCATGCCGCGCTTATTCGGTTTCGTCTGAGCGTCGATGATTTGGCCTGGTGCTAACTTCGGCAACTCTCTGATTTCGTGGTTTTTCACGGCTACTCCAGCGAAGTCGCTAGGCGGCTCCGTCTGGGGCTCTGTTTGATACGCCGTCGTGACTACCGTTACTTCCTCTTGTATTTGAGGAGATGGGGGAGGGATCTCTGCCTTGGGAGTGGTCGCCTCGTGGGCGCGGAAGGCAACGTCATTAGTCCATCCTGTATGGGCTACCTCTTCCTCTTGTGGTTGTGCCGCTGGGACTTCTACGACGTCTTCGAGGATATACCCGTGATCGACGAGGTGATTGATCATGTCCTCGTCCGATTCGTCTTCCCACACGAACTTAGCGTCGTTAGGCGGTTGACCCGGACGGTTATACCGGGCGAATCGCCTTGAGTTCGGGAACTTCTGCTGTGCGTTCCAGGGTTTGCGGTCTTTCCAGTTTTGTTGTTTCCAGTTGGGTTGCGTTTTCTTTTGTTGCCATTGGGGCTGGTCACGTTGTAGCTGGGGAAAATCGCGTTTCTCTTGGTTCCTGTTGTTCCAGGCTGGGCGTGGTTCTCCCCATAGAGCGTTATCCTCACTGTCTGGGGCGGTTGTGTGAAGAACCTCGATTGGGGTCTGCAGGTATCTTCGAATAACTCCGCGTTTTTCCTCGGCGAGTCTGAGATAGCTCTCAACCGTATCATTAAGCGTTGGTTCGTGGAGAAATCGTTGCAGAGATGGGTCCAGAGCGTTGTAGAATATCGTGAGTAGTTGCTGCTGGGGCGTTGACGATCCCAACCATGCTCTGCCATATTTGAAGCAGTCTTGGGCGAATAATCGGATGTCCTTGTTGCTACCGATCTTTTCCACGGTGAACTTGTTGGATACTACCCATTGGATTGCTTCTATCTGGGTTGGCCCGAATCGGGCTCTCAGTCCCTTCTGTAGGCCGAACCATCCCTGGGCTTTGTACTGGTTCCTTTCCACGGGCCCGAGGTGATATTCCCACCAGCTGAGTGCTTTGCCTCTAAGTAGGCTCTGCCATTCTCTGAAGACCTCGTCTCGAGCGTGAGGATCAACGATCTTGGCTTCGATCGCCGAGAGCCATAGGTCTACGTCTCGGTAGCATGGTGTCTCTCGGTCGTGGAATATGGGCTCCCTGCCGTACTTGCTGTCGGCGTCGGGCCAGAATACTCCGTATCGTTGCTGAATGTTCGTTATGGCCGCGAATCTCCTCCCTGGGTTCGGTAGTTCCGATCCCGGCGTTGCCGTGCCCAACAGCCTTCCGAACGCGTTTATTAGCATTGCCTCGAACTGCTGCTGCATTTGAGGGGGCGGTGGAGTCTGGAAGGATGGAAATCCCGTTGCCATTGGGTATGGCATCTGCCCCTGAGGGGAAGGTATCCTCCTGTGCCGGGGGGCATATATTGCTGTTGAGGATTCCATCCCTGGCTCGGTATAAATTGCGTTCCCTCCGATGGGGTCCCCATGACTCGTGCCTCCGTTTTTGGAGGAATAACCTCGGCTTGCAGCGGTTTCGTATATTGTTGTTGATTTGACGGTCCCGCTTGCTGAAAAGTTTGTTGAGGTTGGCTTGCGGTTGTATCCGATACCGCTGACTGTGGCTTTTGGGGGTCCTCGTGATTCCCCTCGTATTGGCCGTGCTTGAGTGGTGCCCCAGGAGGTTGTTGCTCTTGCTGTTGAAGCTGTGTTGGCGGCGTTATTGGCGCTGGTTCGGTGGTTTCGTTGTCTCTCACGGGTTGCTTGCTTTTCGTAATGTCTGACTCTTCCGAGCTTGGTTCTCCGAATTGTCCTTGAAGGTCCTGGAGTTCTCGGGCGTAGATAATCGCCCTGGCGATGCTATTTACCGCCTCGTTATAGTCGTAATTCTCTATCCTCCAGCTGTCTTCGAGTTGCGTTGCCTGAGTCCAGGTTCTATCGTCGTATCTGACGTCGATTCGGCCGATATTCGTATTCCACGCGATGAACGCTATAACACTCGTATATGCTCGAAAGGAGTCTGAAATTCTTGTTGTTTTGGGATCATCGGGATATGTCTCCCAATATCGTAGGAGACGTCTCGCTGTCTCGCGATGACCGTTGTTTAACCTCGGGTTATTTGCGTAACTCATCGTGTAAGTCTACGTTGGCTACGTCGAGGTATGGGTTGTGATTTTGAGCGAGTAGGCTCGTAGGGTGTTTCCCTCGAGATTCTCCGCGATATATCGCGGTTGAATCGAGAGAAAAATTGATCGAGATTAAGTTGTGCTACCACTTGTCACAGTTCTTCCTGCTAGCACGTGGCTACAACAGGCAGAGGTCGGAACCGTGATAAGAACAGAGATGTAAATAGAATGATGCAGAAGTCAAACAAACGGTCACAAGGCAATAAACAACGATGAATTGATAAACGTAGGTATAAGCAGTTGGTCTTCTATTGAGTTGACCTACTGACGATGATGCTGTCGAGGGTGTCTCTTATACGGGTACGGCTAGCACGTGAGATATCACGTGCCCCTAATGACTGTTCAATAGAACTGTGACATAACTAGTCGGCGAAATCGGGAGAAACTTCGTTCTATAGCTTGAGGCTTGTAAGATTCCTCTTCTTATAGGTCTTAAGTAGGAAACCTATATAGGAACCTAGTTGCTATAGGCTAGCGTTTGTAAGGTCGATTGCCTAGTTACCTTATACTGCTAGATCGATTATACTTTCGATTCTCTATAGGATAGGGACTATTGATTAGTGTTACGGCCCAACCAGTTGGTGCCTGGCCGGCGTAGCTATATAGTGCAGAACAGGGGATAATGATGCCGGAGTCATCATTACCGAAGCTTTTGCTTTGTGCCACAGTTGGTTGCCCTGACCTGCTCGTAACACAATGATGACTCCTGTCAGATTGAGCGCGCTACGCGAGGCTTCGGCAACGCTCGGCAGAACACTATTTCCGAGCGCCGAGCCCCGGGTCAGGGGGTGGCATACCCCCTTCCCTACGCGCCCCTGAAGGGCCCTTAGACAGTTACACACATAACGGAATATACATCGTTCTGAACCCTCAATTCGACAATTAACAGTCTGATACGTGCTGCGTTTACGTTAAACGCCGCCAGCCATCTATTCTACGCATACGAAAGCCCTTTCTACGCGCCCAATTGAACCCCTATCGTCGAAATGTCCTCCTCAAGCGCGAAAATCACCCTGAATACCCCTGCCGACTGGATCCTATGGATCGACCAGCTGCAGTCGAAGGCCAAGTCCTACGACCTCTGGCGATATATCGATCCCCAGCGCCCAGGCGCCTTAAACACGGGACAAACGCGTCTCGAGCGGCGGATGGAGCGGCCGAAGCGCCCCGAAATATACGATCACCCCAAGACCGGCAAAGCCGAAGTGCTAAACGAAGACGCCGACTACGAAACGCGCGCACAAGCGCTGGAGGAGCTCTCGGCAGCCAATCTCGCCCTGTATAAGGAACGTCGGTCTGAATATATGGAGCGCTCCAAGACCCATGAAGCGTTCCTGAAAGGGATTCGCGTGCTCGAAGACTGGGTCCGAGATACAGTCAGCACCTCTCTCCTCAAGAGCTGCTGTACCGCGGACCGCGCACTGGACCGCTGGGTCTACGCGTTGAAGGAACGCGTAGGGATAACCACTCGTGAGAGACGCACCGCCGCGAGCGAAGCATATAAGAGAGCGCTCCAGATACCGGAGCGGAAGCGACTCGCAACGAAGAAAGAGCTGGAAGAGTGGCTTACGAAGTGGGAAGAATCAATCCACGAAGCAGCAGCGGCGGGCGTCCCGGGTACCGAGCTCCCCAGTATATGGTTCCCGGAATTCACCTACGCCGTGAGCCACAGCTACGCCGATACATGGATCTTCTTATACTAGACCGTCAAGGACGAACGCGTCGAAAGCGAGAAACTGAGCGTTGGAGAAGTCCTGTCAGACGCGCGGCGGTTCCTACAAACAACCTCTCAACACAACCCGAAGAAGCAGGCCGGACGCGGAGCGTTTGGTCCTACCACAGAAGCCACTTCAAGAAACGAAGAGGAAGGGGAACGAACTTCCCCCGCGCGCCTAACGGTACCAATGAGAAGCAGCCGGGGATCTCGAGGAAACACGCGCTCCAGAGGAGGAGCTCGCAGAGACCGGTCGCGGAAGAGAAGCGATGGGGAGAGCGAGGGCAACCGGCTGTGCCCTGCGTGCCTGAAACCTCACCCGCTCTCGAAGTGCTGGCTCGTCAACGAACGGGAGCGCCCTGAGTGGTACGAGCCGAGTAGAGAGCTTCTCGCGAACCTCGACGAGCGGATGAGAAAAGACGAAACGCTCGCAAACCGTGTCAGGAAGGTGAGAGAACCAGCGAAAGAAGAACACTGACTATATGGCCGAAGCAAGGGGACCGTCCCGAGTGCCTTCCACACCGCTCCGGAGACATACGAGCTCTTCAGATCGGCGATCCTGGACTCTGGATCAACGATCCATGTATTCAACGACCCCTCGTGGTTCACCACACTGTCAGGAAAGCGCAACAGGCGCCAGAAACTCGCTCCGCGTGCCTGGATAGGCTACCTAGTCGGCTACACATCAAGCAACTCGTTCCGGATATGGAATCCCCTGCGTAGTGAAGTATTTACCACGCGCGATGTGGTGTTTAACGAGAAATGCCACTTCGACGGCAACGTCAGGTCCCTAGTGGAAGAAATCAACCACCTCGACCTGCAGGCGATTCAGCAGCGCATAGAGGAGCTGATCAGACAGACCACGGGCTCAGAAAACTATATACAAAGCGCTGACGAAGAAGCAGAAGAAGTCTCAGAGCACGCCGATCCCGGTGAGCCTGCCCTGGAAGCAGCAGAAGCGCTCGGGCACCATAACGCTGAAGCGGACGCGCCTAAGCAAGTGGAAGGGCAATACACGGGAGCGCGGTTTGAGCCCTTTCCGACGCCGGAGGCGTCGCCTCCCACATCCTTTCTCGCGGTGCTCACCGAGCTCGACGTGAGGGGGTGGGGAGAAGAGCATACGCGGGATATCCCCGCTACGAAGCCCATCTATAAGAAGGTCACACCACGGACGTCGTACAAAGCCGCTTTTCTAGCTGGAACGACGCTTCACAAACAAAACCCTAGACGTCAAGACGGCCCACGAAGGGATCGCGTTGTGCCTGGCCAGCCGCGCGCCCCTGAGAGGGTTTCCGAGGCAACCTTCACCGTGAAATCCGGGAATGACGGCGCGGATGAAGGCCCTTTGGAAGACCAAGTTACAGGTCAGCAAGAGGCAAGTGAATCCCAGGAAGGTTGCTCCGTGGTAGAAGCGTTTGAGACAAGTGAGCCCAGCTCCCACAGAGACCGGAGCCAGACGCTCGCAGAAGAGACGAAGGATCTCAGAGCGCGCGGTAACCGGGATGTGGTGACTGCGTTGGCGCCGACCGAGCTCCGCTCCCGCGTGGAAGCGCAAGGCCGAAAGAAAGGCGCCTACTGGAGGGATCTGGCCCCTTTGCCAACGTCTCACGATCAGTTGCAACGTCACCCTTTCCGGGAGGAGTTCCTGCGCGCTGAAAGAAGCCACCTAGACGGGCATAAGGAGTCCCGCTCGTGGGAAGAGGTCGCAAGAAGCGCCTCGCGCGGCTACCAGGTCCTCGGATGCCACTGGGTATACACTTACAAGCTTGATAAGCACGGGCGATTAGCCAAATTCAAGGCACGCCTGGTTATTCGAGGAGACCAGCAAGCAAGAGACGCGCGGGAGACGTACGCCGCGACGCTCGCAGGTATGTCGTTCCGAGTTCTGATGGCCGTTGCCGCGCGCTTTGACCTAGAATTACTACAATACGATGCGGTAAACGCCTTCGTCCACGCGGATCTAGACGAGACCGTCTATATGGAGCTTCCGCCGGGCTACCGCGTTCCAGGAAGAATCCTGCGATTGAGAAAGGCGCTATACGGCCTACGACGTTCCCCTCTCCTGTGGCAACGCCACTTAGAAAAGGGACTCGTAGAACGTGGATTCGAACGCGTGGCAGGCGAGAATTGCTGCTGGCAAAAAGGCGAAGTCATGTTCTTCTTCTACGTGGACGACTGCGTACTGGCGTTTCCCCGCGCGCGCAAGGAGGCAGCGCTGCGGGAGGTCTCTGAGCTACAGAAGCGCTACCACTTCGAAGGAGGCGGAGACCTCCAGTGGTTTTTAGGAATCGAGGTCATACGAGACCGAGCCACACGCCGATTATGGCTCTCGCAGGCAGTTTACGCCGAGAAGGTGAGGCGGCTGCTTCCACCTACAGCTAACGCGTTAGAAGACGGTTCTGAAGCGCGCTCGTACACTCCTATGGTCCTGGAGGAGCTTCTACCCTACGAAGGAGAGGCCAGCGCGTGGGAAGTCAACCAGTACCAGAAGAAGGTCGGGACTCTCCTATACGCCGCAATAATGACGAGACCCGACGTCGCGTTCGCGGCAAGCCGTCTCGCGCGCTTCAACCAGAATCCCGGGCCGAAACACCAACGCGCAGCGGACAGAGCGCTCGCCTACCTCTATTCCACCCGCTACCTCTGCCTCGAATACGGCTGCGAACCCGGCAGCGAGGAAGACACGCTTATCGTGGCGTCAGATGCCAGCTTCGCAGACAACTCCCTGGATCGGAAGAGCTCTCAGGCGCTCGCTATGAAGCTATTCGGCGGGCTTGTTGCGTGGCGCGCTAACAAACAGGCCACGGTCACCACATCTACGACGGAAGCTGAGCTGCTATCCCTCTCGCAAGCAGCAAAGGAAGCGCTATTTGCAAGCCGCCTGATCTCCGCGCTAAACGTACACCTTCTAACAGAAGAAGCGCCGGAAGCGACGTTTCCCGCAGAAAAGCGCAGCGTACCCACGATTCAGATCCAATGCGACAACTTACAGACCGTTCGACTGGTGACAACGGATCTAGTGACCCTTCAGACGCGCTTACGGCACGTGGATATTCACAACCACTGGCTACGACAAGAGGTCGCAGCGAAGCGCGTATCCGTGGCATACACACCGTCGTCAGAGCTTATGGCAGACGGTCTGACGAAGAGTCTCGCGCTCCCACAGTTCCGCGAGTTCCGGAAGCAGGTCCGTATGAGCGAACAGGCAGAGCTCCTGAAGCGGAATCGGAGACGCGAATTAGAAGAAGACGAAGAAGCGTGGGCCAAGAGAGCCGCGCAGGAAGACGTCTGGGCGGTCGAAGACCACGAGAAGCGCGCTCCGAGTGCCACGGGAAGCTCGTGACTTGCTGTGGTACGCGAGTTGTACGTATAAAACGTCCTCTTAGCAGAAGGAGAGGAGACAGCGCAGTAGAAAGCCTACCAGCCGAGGGATGAGCGAAAGAAGAGCTCTGAACGCAGTGTAATCTAAATACGAGGGGGAGAGGGCGACTCGAGGGCAGGGAAGCCCCGATTCGGCGCTCCCCTGAGGGGGTGTGTCAGATTGAGCGCGCTACGCGAGGCTTCGGCAACGCTCGGCAGAACACTATTTCCGAGCGCCGAGCCCCGGGTCAGGGGGTGGCATACCCCCTTCCCTACGCGCCCCTGAAGGGCCCTTAGACAGTTACACACATAACGGAATATACATCGTTCTGAACCCTCAATTCGACAACTCCACCCCGCGTAGAGGGTTGTGGGTTCGAATCCCATACGTCGCCAGTCCTCCCTGGTCCCTGCGACGCCCGACCGTGGGCAGGCAATTATGTAGATTGGTTCCCTACTAGCCTGGAGTTTCCCTGCTTATACCCGCGATATGTCCGATTGGTCCTCGGCATAGGGACATGCCTCTTAGAGGGGAGACATGGTGTTACGGCCCAACCAGTTGGTGCCTGGCCGGCGTAGCTATATAGTGCAGAACAGGGGATAATGATGCCGGAGTCATCATTACCGAAGCTTTTGCTTTGTGCCACAGTTGGTTGCCCTGACCTGCTCGTAACAATTAGCTTTTAGTAGTGACGCTGCTTGTAAGCGATCCTTCTCGTAAATTTCGCTTTATTCGTAGATTCTCTCGTAAATCTCTCTTTCTCGCTTCAGGCTTTACTCCTTACTATTAGGAAGTTTAGAATCTAGCAGATAGTTAGCTTTATAACGCTTATAACTACGTGCGTTTCTCCTAAGCTATAGCCTTAGAGGCGTATACGTATAGCTATATAGGCGGATTACCGCCGGTAGTCTCTGCTTGCCTTTCAGTATATTCTTCTTCTACTAGTAGAGAGGTCTCTTATAGCAAGCGCCTCGCGGTTAGCACCTCGTCTAGGGATTTATTAAGAAACTAGCAGGCGCCTCGTGATTAGCACCGCGCGTAGGGGATAGTTGTAGTTAGGGAAGTTGTTATCCCTTATAGGATTCGTAAATCTTCGCCTTTATAGCGTAAAGAGGTTAGAAGACCGTCGATTCGGTAGGTCTCTTCTTCTAGTAATTGAAAACGCGTGATAGAACGCTCTTGCTAGCGATAATTAGCTGCAATTAACCTTATCCTGCCTAAGGTAAGTATAGCAATCCCTAGGTTACTTAAATAATCGGATTGCTAGTAGATTCGAGGAAAAGAAGCTTTCTTCTACTAGTTTCCGTAGATCTTAGTTACTCTCGCTTCTTTTCTCGTTAGTACGAAATCCTTACTTTTACCTAGGCTTAGGTATCTAGTTTAAGAAGTCGTCTCTTCTAGTATTAACCTTGCTAGTCTGCGGTTTGTCCGTAGCAGAGTAGTAATTATAAAGTTAACTAAATTAATAGCAACTATAAGGTTTACTACTAATTAGTATAGGTTTTATAAGGGGTAAAACGGAATTCCGTTCGTTAATAATAAATAATAGTAAATTAGTTCTAATCGATAGTTTATTATAGTTGAAAGTAGTATTGTTGACTAGAAGGTAGGGATATTCCCCCTTGGCCTGTCACGTAGGTCTGGGAGGCTTGGGCCTCTCAGCCTGGCGGGCGTGTGGCTGGAAGTGCCACACGACTCCGTATTCCAACTATCGCAACAACAGTGGTCAGAGGAGCGACATGTTCCCTCGCGTGAACAGTGGAGAGCGACAATTTGGACCATGCTAATCGTTCTCTTGCCTACATGTTCGAAAAGTATGAGGATTTGTCTTTGTGTGTCATTTATGTCTCTCTCTACATCTCGGAAAGAGAGCAAAAACAACTCATTACACTACCCTCTCGTAGGTAGTAAAATGAATCAATATGCTTAATTTGCGTAGCCATGTTGTCATAATTCAAGCGAGATTTTAAGGAAAATTCATGTATTCTCCGCGGATCGTTAGGGCCCAAAGACCCCTTTATCTTCTTTTCAAAATGAAATTATATGCTGAAGTATCATGTACAACGTGAATCCCTGCCTTCTCCTGTGACCCTTGAGACTATTTTTTTCCCTTTTTAGCTAAAAAGAACCAAGTTGCGGTAAAGGTCAAAAGGACTGGTGGATCACCTTCTGGAGTATCATGCTCCTGCCTTGTGAGTTTGAATATAGTAGAAATTCTGAGGTTTCTCCAAAGTCAGAAGCACCTGTCTACAAGTACACTTTTAATTCGATTGACGGCTAGTCTCATTCCAAAACGGCAAACCAGCTTCCAGCCGAGCAGCTCCATAGACTGATGAGCTATCCAGTGAATCACCTGCAAACCCTCGTGCGGTCTCCATACGAGATAATGCTGTTTCAATAGTTGGGATCCGAGTCCCGTGTTCCTGAGCAATCCTGACGGCGTGTCCAGCGTCTTTAGCGGCTAGCGTCACAGAAAAGCCTGGGGCTGTTCCGAGTGGCGGGGCATAAGCACCCGTTGTCATGCGTTTGGAGTAGCTCTCAATGACGGGACCGTACATATCGCTGATGAACTGCTCCATCTGGCGGGTACTGAGCCCCGTCTTTTCTGCAAATACTTGAGCCTCCGCGGTAAGCTCCTGTAAGCCAATGACAAAGATATTGCTATTGTAGAGATAAAATTGTCAGCAGTTTATCAAAAGGTACGTGACTATGCACCTATAGAAAGAGAGGACAAACCCTGATATCTTGAGCAGGCTGGATTTTCGAACGTCCTCGCCCATATCGATAATGCTTTTACCCATGACATCGATAATGTACGGGCGTATCCTACTAACTGCGGCGATAGGCCCGGCCATAGCGAATATTAGCTTCCCCGCGGCTGCCATGGGGCTGGCGCCGAATACTGGTGAAGATATGAACATGGCGCCTGCCTTGGCGAGACGCTCAGAACACTTTTCACTTGTATCTGGATGGACAGTTGAAGTGTCAACCCATATCTTCCCTTCCAGCAAAGCGCCACTCCATGCTCCTAGCGCCTTTGACACTAAACTGTCAAGTACGTCATCGTTTGAAATCTTAAATATGAGGTCAGCCTGCGCTTCAGTAGAAGCAGGGTTTCTCGGTAAGTATCTGGTACCATTGTGAAAATAACTGTCGACTTGAGCACCAGGGTTTCAAAGTCCCGCTCTGGTAGACCACCGACGTCTCGGAGGGCGTCGCCTCGAGAAAGCGTTCGGTTGCTGTACCGAAGGGGTGGCAGACCATTGGCTGCCAGGTGGTTCTGAAGGTTCAATGCCATGCCAATACCCATAGAACCCAGGCCATACTAGACAACGGTGAGCAAAGGGTATCGATAAATACCGGTGATCAGCGGCCTTACCCAACCAAAGGTCTCCGTGGACGCCATGCTTGTCTCAGCGAGTCTTTTGAAGAAAGCGGTGGCAAATTATCGATAAGACTTAATTATGGCAGCCTGAGGTTCAAACAGAGTAGCTCCATGCAGTTGAAGAGTTTCCAAGGGCCTTGTCTTTGTTTCTCGTCTTTCTTTTTTGTACTGAAGATATACATTTCAATTGCGGAGGCGGCGGTGGTGGAGCTCCGCTGGATTCATGTCACCCTTGACCCTGTCAACCCCGCGTGCCCTCACTCCGCGCCCCGCAACTCATAAGCCAAACCACCAGCCGAGATGATCTCTTCCAGCACTGTTGTCATAAAAGAACCCATGGCCCATACCGGCCTGTTCTTCCAGAATTGTAGTACCGTCTCCATGAAGCGTGCCTCACATGCCTCCGAAGCCATGCCTAATGCGGTAGGCTCCCGAGCCGGCAAGGAGACACATCGGGACTGGCCATTTAGCTCCTCCGACTGATTGAGGACCTCAAGGATGGAGTGGAAGACTATTGTCGAGGCTTCGAAGCGGTTCCGAACGCTTGTTTCTAATCCAGATTTTCGGCGTATCTCTCCGGATGCCCAGCGCAGCAGTCTCCAGATAGCTAAGAGGACTCTGTATGTAGCAACAGTAGCCCATGGCGCTTCGCACAAGAAGCCATGTTTTTCGGGACGGCCGGCACTGTATAATACATCCATCAATTCGTCGAGGAAGACCAGCATGCCGTCATCCCCGGAATTGTATCGAAGGAGGTTCTGCAAAGATCTCCGCGCTCCAATCTGAAGCCCAAGCGTGAGATGTGTTGCAGTTGTGAGACCAGCTACCACGCTATTCTCTACTATGCCGCCAATGAGGAGGTCGTCCGGTTTACATAGCGCTAGCTTGACCGACAGCGCTATTCTCTCGGCAAATTTTAAAATGTGCCAGTTCGAAGTGTTCGCTTCTGTAAGTTGCGTCGTGATAATTTCAGCTGCGTACCGCAAAGCCGCACTCACCTGTCTATTCTGAGATTGCGTGAGGATATGGAATGCGTTTGGGTCTGCCAGGGCAGGCGGCATTTGGTAGTAACACCGCGTAAAATCTCTAACCAGACTCTCTAGGCTGGTGAGTATGAACAACGTTGCCATAGTAGAAGCTCTCAGCGCCGCTAGTAGCTGAGGGCTCGGAGTGTCGGTCATGAGTGACTGAATGGCTAGGTTTAGAGACTTGGTCGTGGGGCATGACATGCCAGATGTGTCGTGAGACCGGATCAAGTATAGCGTTCGGGGTTCGTCACCGAGCTTTTGGGCCCAGCTCAGTGATGTATCCGCTTCCCAAAGTGCACCAGGCAGGGGTAGTTCCCAGTCCAGCTCAATAGGTGAAGTAAGTGGGCGTATGTTGCATGGAGAGAATATGTGACTGTCGAGGAACAGTATCGTGTACATGCATAGCTTCATAGATTCTGACTCCACGTAGGACATCCAGTGGTCGTGGATAGTTTGTTCTTCACCGTCGTTGTATCTCGTTGTTGATGTAAAGACGCTCTGGCGAAGAAGACCCAAGTCACGGGCAGCCTGTGGAGGCAGGTTAGCTACCTTACAGAAGAAATCCTGCTAAGGTCCGTGGAGATAAATTTTGCTTACATCAACAACCCAACGCAGCATCCTTTTCGCCTTTTCAAAATGGGTTGCATTTCCAGTGAAGGCGCCATAGATAATGTGTAGAAGCCAAGCTTGCATGACCCAGGTCCTTCGGATTTCCCTCCAATCCAACTCCACCTGAACGGCCATTAGTATTGAATCGTGCAAACACATGGCGCCCAGCTTACCAAACTCCAAAGTTTTTCTTGGCTTTCCATCCACAGTGATTGACTCTGCTGTACTTTAAGAACGGCTTCTTTTTCCGGGAGATGACTGGACGCGTACAGAATGCCGATAGAGACAATTATTGGTTTTGAAAGCTTGGGTATATCTTTGCACACACTTTGGCGATGCAAAAGTGGAAAAGATGGGTGAAAATTCTCAAAATAAGCAGTTACGTACTTATCAGTGTTTTGTATCACAATTCTGTGCCATCATGGACTGTATAAGCCTTGATGTCTTATAAAAACAAGCGTATAGGATTGGATGATGCAGGTGGTTCAGGACGTACTCTGTTGTGAACAAGTCTTGGGAGTTTGCAGCCTCTCCATTCTCCGGCGAGCTATCACTATAATTTTCGTCAATTGTAGTGATCATAGTGCTGATTGGAGCGTCTAAACTTGGCGAACCGCCAAGTTCTGGGCTATGTGACGATAACACAGTCTCATCCAGCGCGAGCCCGGTTTCTTCAGTCTCTACGCCTGCAGCAGGCACTGTCAGGACGCGACCAAATACACCACGACATCTTTCTGCATGACGCTTGCAGACGTCTTTTCTAGTAAATCGTGCTCGGCATGTATGGCACTTGAAAGGCCTGCGACTATCGCTTCCATGTCCTCCTCTTGATTAGCATTGTCCTTAAGGAGAGGGGCGCCAAGGCTCACTGGAGCGTTTGTGTCGTTCTAGGTTTTCCTTCCAACTTTGGTAAGCAATGAGACTATGTTTTGACTGTAAGCTTACTAACATTTCTGGTAAAGGTCTGGGAGCATTCGGTGCAAGTGAATGGCCGAGAGCTCATTGTAGATATAATGTTGTCTGCCGTGCGGTTGAGGAGTGAGTGTTGGAGCCGGTATACGGAGGAAAGTGACATCAAGCTATGTCGGGCCCGTGCGCTCCCATATCTAGGACTCGCTTATGCTACAGTCCGTTTCGCTGGCAGCGTCCAAAAATCGGATTTTAGCCTATTAACCCCGAAAATCAGTAAACTATCACAACAGGGGTCAAACTGGCCCAACTGGCCCAACTGGTGTAAACTGGCCACTGTAGCCCAATTGGGCCACTTTCGTGGGGCCCACGTAGTGAAATCTCTGTAAATTACAATATCTCGTGAAAAGCTTTTCGTGATGCCTCCTCGGCGGGCTCGGGCCCCCTCAATTGATAATACCACTGGGCCGGCGAAGCGAAAGCGATTGAAAACAGCAAAAGCCCTAGAGACGAATACAACAACCGGCTCGCCGTCGAGGGTAGTTATCGTACGTACGAGGGCGAGGGCGAGGGCGCAGGCGTCAGAGCCAGCGAAGACCCCAGTTAAGCCACCTCGACGCCGTCGGGTAGTGGTGATCCCTTCCCCAGCCCAGAGGGTTGCTCAGTTAGCAGAAACAGAGACAGGAATAACTCAACAAAACCTCGAAGTTGACGAAGTCGAGGAAACCCAACCGGCAGGCCACTATGAACACCAAGCTATTGGGCAGTCAACGCCGGGCCAGCGACTTCAATATAACCTCAACCTCGATGAGGATCCTTTTGCTGTTACGCCGGCAAGGCCTGGTCGACGGCCTTTACCTGATACCCCAACTCCTCGACGAACGCAACCACAGTCAATCAATTTAACTGTTACGTATACTCCTCTCTTCTCAGGCGGTCGCTCGCCGCCAAAGCTTCCTGAGACTATATACAAGTGGATATTTGACGAGGAGAGCGAAGTTGGTCATAAGTTGATTATCCAGTGGTCGAAAATCGAGAGGGATTTGGCGAAGCGAATCGACGCCCGTTTAAGGGCACAATATAATATCGAGAAGAGCTGGATTACCACGAAAATCGCCTGGAGAAGAATAGGATTAAAAGCAGTAACTATTGTATACCGCGAAGAATTCGCTGTTGACAGTGGCAACTGGCCGGTTGTTCCATGGTATGATATTTCGAAGCAAATTATCGAGAATAGTCGCCTTGGTGAGGTTCTTCTCGATGTTGAACTGGCCTACTCTGTCACTCCTACTGTAGCCGCAGTAGGAGAGCTAGAAGGCGTAGGATCACCACGAGGGCGACCGTCTCGACTTAGTCAACGTCAGACTGTAACAAATACGATGCTTCAAGCGATTGAAACAGAAGGCGATCGAAAGAGGAAGTTATTTCGAGACCTTCTTCGCCATAATCAGTGTAACGATTCAGCAACCTGTCAGAATACCTCGTCAGCTGATCCAACAGTTAACTGGTGCTGGGTCAACGCAAGAAAACACTATAAACTGACCGTATTTGATTTCGAGAAGTGGCAAGAAGCTATTCAGAAGGGCGAGGAAGGCGTATCAATATCAAACCCGCCTGCCCGCCTAATTGTTGATCTTGTTCAGCGTGAACAACGCGATATGAAAAAGCCCGATAAATCAGCAAATCGAGGAGGCCAAAATAGCCTAGGTGAAAAGTCTGCTAATAGAGGGCTTTCAGACACACAAGACCCAGCAAATACTGCCAATAATAATAGCGCAGTAGTCAACTTCTATGGCCTACCTCCGCCAGGCGGCCCAACGCAATATTGGCCAAAGTTGCCGCCGCCAACGATGCCGCCCCAATATTGGGATCTTGAGCCTCAATTTCAACCGCAGTCAGGTGATTACTCTGCCCGTCGGCAAGTAGAGGCTCCGATTCGTTCTTCGTCGCCAGTTGTTCCTGATTCGCCCTCAAAAGCAACACGCCAAGTTGATGAGTTCGTTTCGTGGTTTCTAGCTGTGAACGGCAAGAAGTTGGGTATTGACGAAGTGAAATTTACTCCGTTAAAGGCTTCAATAGTCAGTCTCCGCGTTATTCGTGATTACCCAGACAGCTGGTTCAAGGAGGTAGGGTTTTCACCACAACTTACCGCAGCAGTGAGAAAATCGATCAAACTTTTCACTACAACACAGCAATTTTACCTCCAACAGAGCGAACCTCTCGCCGCTGTACAATCACTCGTACAGGCAACGAAAAAGCCAGCAGTTGACCGTGAGGTTGAAGACGAAGTGTATAACCGACTTTTTGACGAGCGATTCGGAGAAACAGGCAATATCGAACGAAGCGCTAGTAAAGTAGGCGAAATAAGCGTTCCAGCGGGTAGGATCTCCTCACCGCTGCCAACTGGCGATATTGAGTTTGGTCGAGGTGGTGAGTAATATTGACGGAAGTGACGGCGTCAACTAACCAGAAACTAGAATTAGACCTCTTCGTCTCCTCGCCGCCGCCACCAATCCTTCCTCCTAATACCGAACAAAATCCGATCGAAGTCTCAGACTATATATCGTCGCCTTATACCCAAGAGGAAGAGGAGGTTAAACTAGGATAAATAGCAGCGACTACTGCTAGCGGAAAGCTTTGCTTGTGGATGTGAGCTGCCCTGCAACACCCGGGAGGATCAACCCAAAGACCGTTAGGTAGGTAGCAGAGCACTTTGATACGCCACGGATACGATTTATTTCACTATAGGCCTGACTTGAGGTTGTAAATACAGGCATTATTCATGTTTTTCTTCTCCTACTTCTCCTACTACAAGTTCAACAACTATTTACTACAAGAGGTGGATTCAACTCTCCTCCTGCCTCAATATACATATCGCTACTCGTCATAGCGTCACAGAAGATATCCTGTGTGCCGTCGAAGTTGATATATGAGTTACGGAAGTGCCCAGCTATCTGTGGGAGACGTTGCCCAACCTCAAGCGCGCAGTCGCGGAGAAACTCAGCAAAATCACGCTCGTCTAGTTCGTTAGTATTCCACGTACGGAATGTCTTTTTTACATGCTTTTTGAGGTCGCCAAAATACTCCTCGATGGGGTTAAAGTCAGGTGAGTACGGCGGGAGGAATTCGAGGCGTACGCCAGCGGCCTCACACGCTTGCCGTATATCCCCTTGCCGGTGAAAAGAAGCATTATCCATTATAATCACTGACTTAGGCCCAGGGAATATTCCACACTTTGGCAGTAGAAGTTGCTGTATCCACGCAGAGAAGCCCTCGCCATTCGTCGATCCAGTATATACCAGCAAGTCTACGATACCGTCAATTGCGAGTGCTGGCAGCAGTTGTATCCGTTGACCTCGCTCGAGGGGAACTGACCGCGTTGGCGTCAGACCCTTAGGCGCCCAACCCGTCCTTCTTCTTCCAGTGTTTTTATCAACGCCTGATTCGTCTACGAATATTAATTGTTCTGGGTGGTATCGACGTATACGATATAACCAATCGTACCGTAATTCTGGGTTTCGTTGTGAAGCAATTATGTGGGCTTTCTTTCTCGTCCAGCCAGCTGCGTGGAGGTGGCGGCTCAACGTTGATTTGCTGACTTCGAGGTTGAACTGTTCGTATAGGAATTCTTGCATCTCTTCGAATAGGAGGTCGTTACGATACTTTAATAATTCGAGAAGTTCGTTCCGATGCTGTATTTCCATCTTCTGCTGGCTTTCACGCCTTCGAGGGTATTGTTCTACCTCGCCAGTTATGTCGAATCGACGACGCCATCGTCGAATCGTTCGTTGGCTACAGCCAACCGCCTCTGCGATTTCTTCGTCGGTTTGAATAACAGAGGGAAGAAGTAGGTTAACTTTCCTCAGCTGGAGTTTTGAGAGACGTGGCGCCATACTGACGCGTTGAAATGAGTAGATTTGACGATACGGTGGCTAAATGCAGCTGAATGCGACCGTTGTAATTTTCCCAGCGAAAAAAACGGAGTTTAGCATGGGTTTGCATTAACCCCACCCTAGGGGGGTAAAAACTCGATTTTTGGACGCTGTCAGTGCAACGGACTGTATGACGCGAAGCACATTTCCGTTTATATGCATACTCCCAACGACTACCACCTGGCAATGCAGAGGGACCATTATGACAAGCCTAAACAGTCGACAGGTCAGATAAAATCCTTAGCATATTCCCAAAAGCTTGTTAAGTATACATTTAATAATATACTTTGCTCAACGGAGGGGCACTGCATCGGTTAGTGATAAGTGATGTGTATTCAGAAGCCTACATTCGTTGTGACTTTCTGTAAAACGATGCAAGAAATGTGATTTTTAGATGAAACATCTGACCGAGGCAATCGATAGATGAATTTCCAGCCTTGCAACGAATTTAGAGCGTCAAAAATTAGGCAGTTGTATTAATAATGAAGTGTCAAGTTGGAAGGATTGTAACCTTCAGCAAAGTCCCGGATCATCACACCTGTAGCAGGGTCGTCCCAAGCTACTGTCTCTCCCATCACTAGCCCATTGAACGTACAGAAGTCCATGATTCTTCCAGCACTCCGTGCAACCGCCTGGCTAGCAAGATGTGAATATCTGAACATTTATAACAGAATCAGAGGTCTCTTACCAAGATGGAGGTTCTATGGAGATCTCGTCAATCTTTCTCCATCCGATGATAAAACTAGTACCCGACTTGCAGAAAGCTTTTGGGCTTGTGGCATTGCATTTTTTCTTGTCGGAAGCAGCCAACTGGCCGATGCAGCTGACTACATCTGAGATCTAAATATTAATATCCTTTTGTCAGTTGGGTGGTCTTTGGCATTCCTCGCTTGGCAGATTTTCTGGTAATATCTTACAGAAGACCTGGCCCTTGGAAATGTGTTGCATCGAACGCTGTTGAGGTCGATTCCCTCTCTTGGTGTTTCTCCACTCTTCGTAGGAGGCTTGCTTGTTTTGTGTTTTACACGCGTCCGGAGCAGGTTCCTTCTAACGTTTTCGAGGCTAGAGAGTGCTCTGATTTGCAAGCTTCCTTTGCGAATATTCCATCCCTGACTGCGAGTAAGGGATGCCGCAATTGCCTGTTCAGGGGACAGGTGAGTCCCGTTTGGTTGTCTGCTAATAGCTTCCACCCATTTTTCATACGAGAAGTCCAAGTCGTTGGAAGGATGCTCTGATGAAGTATAATGTACCGGAGGAGGTGGTTTTTCGAAATTCGGGTCTGCGGCGGTAATGGGAGCGACCACCAGGATGGCAAGTCCTAAGAGAAAGAGAGCCAGCATGGTTTATGAAAAATATCAAATGGGGGACAGCGATTTAAATCTTACCAGATGTTCCAAAATAATGTTGAAGAATGCAGCACTCTCGAGGAAGAATGACTCAGAACATGGAAATGGATATATCACGATTATAACAAACACGTCATGATTGAAATCCAGGACACTCTTTATAGTCATGTTAGTCCCACCTCTTTTGTAACTGGTTGTCTCTTGCTCGCACTGTGTCACTAGGTTCTTGTGACTCTTGTGTACAACGTTGGTGTATAATTTTGGACAATTACCAAACAAACTAAATCTAGCACCGAGCTTAACCTCCTAGCTTCAAAGGTTATCTTACAGACATAGAACGTTGCTACATTACCTCTCGTCTCGTATGTGTGTGTGAATGTGCTTGTGAGTGAATGGGTCGGATGTCTGTTGTTACTAGGTAATTCAAGCCTTTGCCCAAGCTTAACACGGACTTCTTTCACTGCTAACGCAAGGGGTAACAAACCTAATTACTTAATCCAGTGTTAAGTCAAAACGACTTTAGCTTTGGGTAACTCAGAAGTGAGACCTATTTCCTAATGACAAGTGGCAGCAGCTGTAAAAGATAACCCGTTATAGGTTCAATACGCCCCTGTACTGAGACACTTGATACTGGCTCTTCAAGTAGAAAACTTAATATCTGTGTCCGGATGACCAGTCTCCAGATCACATGCCTGTTGCTTATTGACATTCGATGTGATAGTATCAAAATTGAATAATGTAATTATCATAAGACACTAGTACCAGCCTTATTTAGGAAGAGTACAGACAGCGGCAATCATGGAAAATTAAATGTTTGTTTGCGCCTCAAGAAGCGGACAGACCTTTAAACTTGGCAACTGATTCCTTGTTCCTTGACGCTTCAATACTGTATCACCTGACCCAGAAAAGCCTGTAAAGAAACTACCTTGATACTATTAATATAACTCCTTGCAAAAGACAAAGAACGCCGTTGTATTCAAATTGGCTACCAGATTCGCTAGGATAGTTGGGTTAAGCTCTCATGCTAAGTCTCGACGAAACATTAGGAAACGAGCAGGAATGTAGACGATTCCGAGGCAATGGTCGCCACGATCAAGATAGTGGGCAACCCAAGAGAAGCCGGTGTGAAATTATATGCAGTTGGCTACAGGTAATAGTGTGTAAACAATTGTTGGGATACCTATACGAGTCTCCATTCACCCTACCGTGGCTGAGTTGCCACTTATAGTGCTCGGCCACCACGCCCGTTTACACCTGACTGATGACACGCAGCCAAACACCAGGCATTGGGAACATAACAAACAGCCTGATTCCTGGTTTCTGGCGGCAGCGCATCCGCTTTCAACAGGTCTCAGGAAGCTCCTCGAGTGTCCCACTAAAGCCATGGGCATTTGGCCTAGGGCCCAGCACGGCGCCTAGCCCGCTTCTTTCCCGGCGGCGCAGCTATTTCGTTCCCAGGAAATAGATTCCCAGGAACAGTACCCTAGTCCCGGCGGGCTATTCTGTTCCCAGGAAACAGGCTCCTAGGAACTAGTACCCCAAACTGATTTCCTGATTCCTGGGAGTGACCCTGACGCAGGGTACTGATTCTTGGGACGAACCGATTACTAGGAATGGTGCCTGGCGCAAGGAACTGGTTCCTACACTTTGAACCAGTTGGGCAGCACTTCATATCAGATTTCAAACCTGTCTTCGACGTCATCTCAACCATACCATCTAATTACTACTATTACGCAATAGTTATTCAAGAAATATTACCGAGCAACTACCTAGGAGAAGGGCACGATCAATAGGATACCATCAACTCAAAGAATATGCATGAGACATTGATCGGACTGGTTTCAGCTACTGTACCCAGGTATCTTATAGAGTACGAAGAGGATTCGGGGATAGTTCTTCAAGATAAGGTACACAGGAACATCTAGGCGGTCGGGTACGCCATAAATGATGACCTAGAACATGGGGTCAGTTGGTGACTCTGTTATCAGAACAGCTTTCTCAGGATTGTTCGCAGCGAAGGGCTTTACAAGACGGCATCATGCATTATGTTATGACAGGTTGGGGGGCGTAAAGACTAAGTTGAATTTACAACAGCGACAGGATGGCAAGGCATGTTACGCGTCATAAGACACGGGGCTGATGAAAGCACTTAAATACTATCTGGCTACAGCTATGGACTAGGCTAATCATTAGTTTTCCGACAGATCCATGAGCATCATATCCTTCATTGTCGTCGTGAAATAATTATGTCGACGTATTATGACTTTCCGACTGTAACGTCATGAAGTCTCAGTTTACAGAGTCAGGAGGCAAACCGTCAACACAGCCGGCAACAACAACGCGCGAACGTCGGCACCAAAATGCCCAGCCAGTGAATCCGACTCCGTCGGCGACGGTGAGCCGGTCGTTCCACTTGGAGTGCCGCCTCCAGACCCAGTACTAGTAGTGGGTTCAGGCATGGAAGCGCCGCCGCTGCCCTCAGTCCAGTTAGTCACGGGCGCCTTGGCGTCGCCGATGAGCAGACCCGAAATCGCACCCAGCACGCTCGTTCCTTCACCGACGCCAGTGATGCCGCCCGTTTTGTTATCTACAGTCTGCGGGTCGGTAAACTCGGCGTCGCTCCAGTAGAAACCACAGGTCGTCGTGCCCTTGGAGTTGTCCTGACACTGCTTCGCCGCAGCCTGGGCTGATGACCTCAAGACGATAAGCACCTTTTCTGAGAGGAAAGGGGCCACCTGGGTGGCGACAGAGAGCCATCGATGGACATGGCCCTTCATGAACATGGCGTCGGTCGGGCAGCTGCCCTTGGTTCCTTCGCAGGTGGCTTCATAGGCGATGCCCTTAGGGAAGAATGTCTTGATGCTGGCCTCGGCAAGTTTTTCGGCGCGGTCACGCCAAACATCGGAGCCATTCGTCTATAGAAAGAGGTTAGCCTGGGTTTGCATGATCCCAGGGACAAGCAGCTCGTTACAGGGCAAACTTACAAAGTTGTACATGAACGCAGCACCCTCTGTGAGAATAGCCGCGTTCTGAGACCACTGATACTTCGCAGGGCTGGTACAGTTGTCGTCCACATTGGCTCCGTCGTATATCTGCCAAGTTTTGGTCTCAATGAAGCCAACGCTTTCGAGCCAGTCCCACGCCTTCACAGCATGCTCAGCATAGGTCGTGTTGCCAGTATACCTCGCGAGACGGGCACCCATGTTGAGGAAACACGCGTTTGACATGGCTGCAAATGCGCATTAGCATCATCTATCCTAAGCCAACATCGCCGAGGGGAAAACCCTTACTATTCTTGTAGTTATACCCAGCATTCGACATCAATATCTGCCAACGCAGCCCGCCCCCGCACGTCTCGTCGTATCGGTCCGGCGAAGCCTGATTCGCCCAAACGTTCTTGGCCACCTCAATCCATGAGGGCTTGCCATCCGCGCTCGGCAATTGGTACTCCGCAGCTTGCAGCGCAGCCGTGCCCCAGAAACACTGGTCGTCGTTCCCCATCGACGCGGTCCAGTTAGGCGGCATGTAGTTGGCATTGGGGCCTAGTTGGAAGGCCAAGGCCTTCACGATGCTGTCTTGGAAGGAGTCGTCGCCGGTCAGGTGCTGGTAGTCGACATAGGTCTGGAAGAAGCTGGCGCCGTGGTACCAGTAGTAGCCGCCCGAGCTCGGGGTGGGAGGCCCTGGGAGAATGCCGGGGATTTTGCCAGGCTGGTCGCCCTCGTAGACGGTGAATAAGTCCTTGGCGAGCTTGTTGGAAGATGCAACAATCTCATCGCGAGAGCTGGTCCTGAATTCGGCGGCTGAGCCAGGGAGTCTGCCAAGGAGGAGAAGGGTACTCGCGAACGCGAACGCAAAAGACGGAGCCATTCTGTGATTCAGTACACAACCTGGTCGCGAGAGATTCAACAGCAACGAGAGTTGATTGCAAAGCGAGTGACTTGACACAACAGAAAAACGAATGTGAAGTAGGCCGCAAAAATAGACTCCCTGATAGAATCAAGCAGTGATGAGATGAGACAAGCACACAGCCAGGCGAGTGTCTTCCTCTAAGTTCACAAAGTGAAAAAGACAACGAAAACTTTGAAAGGAAAAACACAGCAGTAAAACACCACACATGGTGTCGCGACAAACACGCCATGCTTAATGCTTGCTGAGGTCAGACCCCGCGTTAACCCCCCGCTTTGCCGCATCGGTCACCTTACCTTCCTCAATCGAACCGTTGCATGCTGGGCGAAAATCCTACGTAGCCCCGGAAATTTTCATGTCGGGGGCTGAATGCAGATCGGGTTGGTATTTGAAGGGGACTTCCGGTCGCCAAACATTAAATGGCGTGTGACCATATGCGGCGAGAATATTCGAAGTAAGAAGTGAATGCCATCTTCCCCTTCAACCCTGAACGCTGTGCTCGATGAAAACTTCAACACATTCGTACCGGTCTCTTTGCTACGATGCTTCCGAACCGCTAAACTCATTGGCCGCCTTCGTGTTTGCCGCCTTTTTTAAAATTGGAGGGCTCGTCTCCTCCGACTGACCCTGGTCGCTCGTTCGCCCCGCGTTATTGGTTTCTTCTTCTGTCGACTGTGCCGCCTGGGAAACCTGTTCTGTTGTTTCGGCCTTAGTACCACCCTCGTTTGGTGCGTCGTTTTCTTGGTCTCTGAAGATGAAGGCGCTTAGCGCCTTCATCTTCAAAGCCGTATTTCTCTTGGCCTTCTTCGCTGCCTCCGCTTTCTAGCGTCGCTGGCCCTTGTCCATGATGGCCTTCTCCTAGACAACCCATTCAGCAACCTTGTCAACGGCTAAATCAGCAACACTCCAGTACCTGAGAAGGAACACCTGGTGTCACCGTGAAAGCACCTATTAACTGAAAATTCTGATTCAATCGGTTTTCGTCTGCAGCCAGCCCAACTTTGTTTCAAAAATGTAAACCGCTCAAATCACCAACTTCCATGCCTTTTTGATGAGCGTTTCTGTCACTCAAAGTCTAGAAAAACTTCCGCTGTTGACCGATCATAGGTAGTTACTTGTCACATTTTACAAAGAGTTATGACATGCCTACCAGCTGTTACGTTCATTACCAGCAGCAGGTGATCGTATCAGAGTAGTTTTGGTTCCATGAGGTCAATAAGAGTAGTTTCAAATATTCTTGGCTTCGAAGATTATTTTAAGTTACGGATGTCTAAATAGGCCTAAAGGTCACTATCATGGTGTAAAAAGAGGAAAATGGAGCACTGAGAACCTCACATTGTCATACGCGGAGCGAAACCCAGCTTAGAACTCTACAAGTCCAAATAAAAGTCAAATCATGAAACAGCGCCTTCGCTTGAAGCTGATAAGTGCGTATTAAAGTGAATGGGCAAGCCTCCCCAATCTTCGATAGACAAACCACTAGATGGGAAGCATATGTGTATCCCATCGACATAATTGCTGCCTATTGTTCCAAGAAACATTTGGGCCAAAAAGCTGATGCTTGAGCTGGTATGCCTGATAATCAACTGATTTACAAAGAACCTATGTCTTTGTGGATGCAAAATTGAAGGGCTATCTATTCCAGTTGCTTTTTTTTCCGATACTCCTTCCTCTTTGGTTCTGTACAAAGTTTGGCATTATTGCACAAAGCCCAATTCACAGTAACAAGATTCCTCTCCCTGCCTTTGACCACTTTCATAAAGCCATGATTCGTTAGTAAACGAAACAAAAATGGAAGAAAGAGAGATCACCTTGGAAAGCGTATCGCCTGACCATGTCATATTGGTCTTCGAACTTGAAACCGCAATTCCTTAAATGCCTTGCAGCTCTGCGAGATTCCAACGGATGTTTGGAAAAGACTTTACCACAAGATTCCTTTGGGCACTTTAAGACGTAGAGAGCAATTCGTTTCTCTAAGTCATACGGAAACACCCAGAAATTTGATTTCCAGATTCGATCTCTTTTAATAGGACCTCGGCTTGCGAGTTTTAGATCAAGAGACCAGGCCTCTTCAGTCGCCTGAGACACAAGATATCCCCTGACTAATTTTTCGCTGGAGTTAGAGAGCTGAGAAGACAGCTTGGCTTTTGACTTTTTTTGAGAAGCTGTCGCGAGTGGCGGCTGCGTAGACCGAACCCGCTTGCTGTCTTCCTCATTTTCGTCTCTCTGACGATCGTTGAGATGAGACTTTTGCGGACGAACGGCTACTTGATTTGATTGAATTCCAGCAGATTCCTATTTTTAAGTGGTTAGTGTGATAAAGTGTTCTGGCGTTAAAGTGGCGATTTATTGCTGACCCTTTCCCACGTTATAAATTCGTCATGTGTCTGAGTGCTACAATCAACATAAAGACTGCATTTAGCAGGAGTGGGACTATTCTGCGTCGATTCCGAGTCGTCTTTGAGTTTCGGCATGCAAGAAATAGTTATGTGTGGTTTGATGAAGACGAACCGATCGCCAGTTGGAATTGTGTACTCGTCGGGCTCTCCAAGGACACGTTCAGCCGTTGGCATTGAATAGGCCTCCGAGATAATCTCCGATTGTGTTTCCTGCAACATGGAACAAAAAGCTTGATACTTGTCAATATGGTCCGTTAGGTACCTTTCAAGCTCCAAGTAAGCATCTTTCCAAGTCTCCAAATTGTAGTCAAGTTCCATCCTGCATTGTTCCAGCTTTTTATGTCGCGGATATTGCAACGACAAATCCCCCGACGGGATAAGCTCCATATCGTCTTCCATCATCAGTTCCGAAAGGATGCCACTATTTGCTGGGGAAGCCATTGAATGGGGATTTCGTTTTTAATGGATACCACTCAGAGCTTCTGGAAACAAGAATTAGTATTAATCATTCTGAAGCCATTGAATAGCGTAGGTAATTTGAGCCGATAAAGGATCAGAACATACCTAGGAGTCTTCGGTATCTCGATCGAATTGCTGTTAGAATTAAGGGCTGATTAGTCCGTCACTGGCGAATGTTGTTTTAATGCCTTGGTTTCCAAAACCTTAATCGCAGCTATGGTATGCTGAGTCAATCAAGATGAACTCGATATGTGTGTGCACTACCATTAGATACTTGTACATAAAACGGATGAGTGGAGGGAAATAGAAGTTTGAATAACTGATAGTCATGAGCAGGTGCAACACAGGCCATTTTGAAAAGCCGCAAGCGCCCCTTTTGTTTGGATTTCGCGTCATCCACTCAAATTGCGTGTGGCTGACATGTAACTCCAGCACACATCCAATTATTGCTGCCAAGCGTTTCTGGTTCGCCAGTCTATCCAAGGCCTCCGGCTTCCGGCCATTCCAACAATCACCTTTTTGGACAGGTTCCCGATGGAACGATAAATATTTCGGCGCACTGTATGAAGTAACGGCTCAGTGTCATTTCTAGCTTAGACATACAGGGGGCTTGACCCCTGCAAAGGGGGCGGCTGACGTGCAGACGAACATGGTGTTGAACCCCGGATGCTTCCAACCACAAAATCTACATGTATTGGATGGCATACTTTCTTCTCCGTCCTGTTGCTTCTCTACTATCACAACCAAGGTCATCCAGGACGGTTGGTGTACGCCTTGTTGTTGACCAAATACCCGTCGTAAAGATGGGTCAACTAGCCCAACCCACAGGCTATGTGGTGTCATACCCTTGACACTCTAGCCTTTGCGTGGTTGGTTGCCGTCAACATCTGTACACATCATTTTTTGGTACATATAGCGTATTTTTTGGTATGAATAAGAGGCAACTGGCTTCTTAAAAGACAGCCATCTAGATTCAAGCGCTTCCCCTGTTTGTCTGCTCCAGCGCAATACCTTTCTAGGGCCGGATATTCTGAACCACACAAACAATGGCCCCAGCATTTTCTAAGTTGGTCGATACGTAAGTACAACTCATGCGGTTTCTTGACTCTTCATGCTTTGTTTCGCCAGCCCTGCTGGGCAGAATTTTTGAAACCAGTTGCTAACCGTTGCGTTTGCAATCAGTACCCTTGGCCTTGACATAGGCAGCACTAGCACGCGTGCATGTCTCTGGATTCCTTCAAAAAAGCAAGCTATTCACGTCGAGAATACGGTTGAAAAGATGTCTGGAGCCCTTTTTCGGCCTGGCGACTACACTTCCGCAGGGTATCCATTCGAACCTCAAGGTCCGGTATACTTAGATGGCGACTCAGACCCAAATCGCCGAGAAACTTCTCTCAAGTTTGGATTCTATCCGCTTGCCAACGTTAAGGACAAGGATCTCCTTGAACAGTACCATCTGGTCCAGCCATTGATGGAAAAAAAGGATGACCCTAGGTTTCGTGCAAGGCTCCGCCAAGGATTGGTTGAGCTATTGACCGCCGTGGATCGCGACGTACAGTCTAATTGTCGGATCAAAGGTCTCAAAATTACACGTATAGGCTTGTCCATACCAGCACAGTGGACGCTTGAATTTGAGGATGTCTACCGGGAGATCGCGATGCAAGTATTTGGTTACATTGGAGGGAATATTGAAGCGAACATCTTCTTCCACACAGAAACCGAGGCTCTGGCACATTTCCTCCTTCACGAGACCCCTGAGCATTTCCAGGTTCGGGAGTCTGAAGACTATAGAGTTTTCTTATTTCTTGACTTTGGTGGGCATAACATGGTAAGTCATCTCATTGCACATTGCACCTTCAGTGGGGAGAAGAGAACGAGAAGACATGGAAAGGCTCATGGACAACGATAGAACGGGTGTATCTTCAACTTGGTTCAGCGCGATCAAAACGAAAGCCCAAGTTTCTACAGGATAGGAGATGCTTTTGGTACGTTATACGTCACTTTGTGTTACTGAGCTTCGGTTAGTAACTCTTCCCCAAAGGTGTTGGAGGTGGCAGTGAACACTGGACGTTCAACATTGGCAAGAGAGTCCTACATGAGATGAGAAATTCAACAGGTATGAGCCTGTCACTAGAGGAGCAGCGCGATATGCTTGAAAGTTTCAACATAAAAAAAGGAAGCCTGGGACCCAGTCGAGCCCGGGCAAATCAGCCTTTCAAATTTGGACCTTGTCCTGTCAGTATGTCATTGGAAGACATCACAGAATGCTTCGAGAAAGGCCACAAGAATGTTTTTGAAAAGGCCAAGGGCGAAATCGAACTCGTCTCAGAATATAAAGCGGTGCCGCAGGTTATTATATCTGGCGGCACAGCAAAGCATACAGATGTTCAGATTCGGCTGCGAGGATTCTGCAACGCGGCAGGAATCCCAGAGCCATGGTTTGTTAGCGGTTCTTCAATGACTTATAGCTCTGGCAAGATTGCCCATGGCGTCGCCATGGCTGCAAGTAATTGCTTGACAATACCCGAGTTCATGGCGCGCGGGGCAGCCTTCGGGCTACAGACGCGAGAATGTGCGAACCGTGGCAACACCAACCCTAACAATTTATGGAATGACGTTGGCTATTTCCTTCTGAGCCAGGTATTTCTGCTTCGGCGGTCTCTTAGAAAGCAATCAATAAGCTAATTCGAAAACCAGAACAGACAAGTCACCTTGCCTTTTCAAACCGGAGGAAATGACGAATACAAAATCATTTGCGATCCGTTTTTTGAAAGCCATCCAAGCAAAGATCTTCATTTTGATAGATGCTACGATATTATAGATCTTGGCAAATCGAAGGCAGGGTCCAGATCTATAACGCTATCTCTAACATCCAACAATGGATTGACATCTTTGGTCATCAAAACTACCAGGGAATGGAACGGGGGCCATAAAAGAAGACTAAAAGGGCATCACAGGCAACAAGATCACAATCAGATTGAGGAGAAAGAGTCACCTCCTTTACCGATGTACTTTGACGGAGGCACAAACTGTGCACATGTCGACCTAAACGAATACGATATCACGGGACTTGATTTTGGGATAAAGAGAGATAACAAGTGTCTTGAAGAGGGTGTTGACAGCACGAATGTTCAAGAAAACGCCGATACGCCGAGCCACACACATATGGAAGGAGGAACTGAATCGACGAACAAATCGACCGAACCCCTCCCGTCAGCTATATCTACTGGCGGCATACCTGTCAGCGCAAGCTCACTATCCCAGAAGTCCCTGGTCGCGATTACACCCCAAAGAATACAACAACCTCAAAGACGTGAACCTCTGGCAGTAGCCCCACGTCAGAGTCTTTCGGCACAAAGGCTGACACCATCTGTTCCATCAGGGGGCTTTACGGCAGTAAATAATACAACAACGACAGCAAATTCAACGCAGAGGAATGTCCGACTTGCTCCAACGCCAAAATATCCAGCGCAAGGGTCAAATCTCCGGCCTACAATACCCAAGAACGATCGACTACCTTATGTGCCAGGGAATTCAGTGGTAGCCTCGCCTTCCAGTGCTTCAGCATCCAACAAGCATCCGGCACCCCAGAAGCCGAAAGAGCCGGCTTTTAATTCGTTTATTTCACCCCTAAGTCGGCTGTCATATCCCAGCATTCCTTCGCGCGATGATGTAGGCAACACGGCCACCGAACGTTCTGGTCGATCGAAACCCATTTGGGAGAGAGGTAAAGCACCAGAAATCAATCCTCGCACTGGTAAAGTGCAACTTCCTTGCAAAAATTACAAGGATTATCTGAAGAGTATGAATGATGCAGGAGATCAAACACCTCAAATGGAAAGGAAAAGAAAGCGACAACGTGAGTTATTGAGCGACTCATCTGGGGAAGATTAAATTAGGTAGCGAAACGAGGGTGGTGTGAAAGACCCGCCAGTACCTTGCACTTCAATATCAATTCTACCAATGATTAGAACACCCAAGTCACGTATTCAATGCATCCGAAAGTCACGGAAAGACTGGAATCTACTCCTTGTGGAGGCTTACCGTAAAAATCAAAAGGCGGCCATTGAGGGTCTGATTTGAAAACCTTTCGTGTTGGTGCTAAGATGAGGCAACCCGTTGTGATAAGGACTTGCATCCGGAAGGGTTCCCCGGGCAGTGTGCCTGCGGGCGCAAAGCACTTCTCTGCAATGTATCTAGCTTAAAGGGCCATAACCGGAAATGTTGGCCGAGAGTCCAGTATACAGTGTCAGGCTTCTTTCTGCACTTGGAAAGTTCACGATTCTGTTACTCTGTTGGTGGCGCAGAGCTCATGTGTTGTGCCACTGCCTCGTTGACCGGGGCCTGATAACAGGGAGCGGCCCAGGCCCAACAGAACCAACAACGCGTTCCGACAGCGCTTGAATTTTGCAAAACTACTGGCCAAAGCATCAGGGTATTGATTGTGGCGTTCCAAGGGCGCTGGCACATACACACACCAACGGTTGCGGAATGCAACCACGGCTCACCCGGTGCCCCAGGGCGGGTTGGGCTTTCCGAGCGCCTAGCAAAGTCGGCTCTATATCCAAATGAAGCTTCCGTGAAGGAGGACTGCAACCTCAAAGAAAGACTGATGCCAAGCTGGAAGAAACAGTCCGAGGCTCCCCAGCCCCTGTCAACTTTGGATCAAGTCACATGGCGATGAGTTAAGTCCGCCCTGTTAGGCGGTTGTATTAGATCTCAGCTGCTCCACACACCTACCGGCAGGCAGGTTCAATCCATGTCCCGGATGCCTTCCGGCTTGCCGACCATTACTGCATACCCCTGAAACAGAGAGTCTATAGTGGTTGATCTGTAACCTGACTAGGCTTGCAAGTGTTTTGCCTTGCTCGGGGCAGATTCGCCCATCTTCGCACGTCTTTCGATTTCCATAGGTTTCCAGATGATACAACGCCTTCCAACTAACACTTTGAAAGATGAGATCATTGGTTCGGGACTCCAAAGCAGTCGGCTTTCTGACTGAGTAAATCGACATGGCTGCTTAGATCTGGAGTATTTTTGTTTACTCCAGCAGGTCTCATTCCAAAGGCGCGCCTGTCATACTTTGAGTAAACAATCAAGAAAGCTATACGATTGTAAAGACGTCCTAGTACGTACCCCGCATATATTCGCAATTTTATAGCCCCCGAAAACAACTGCAGCTAGTCAAATATCTTGATTTCTAGCTGTATGTAGCACTACTACTCATGGTAGTCATAGGTCTCAATGTACGTTGGCCTGGTATACCAGCCCGACTACACCTCAGTGCCAGGGATAAGTGTATACTGTTGACATGTTCTTTAATTCTGTAAGAACATCTTTGAACTCCAATTGCCACGAATATTCATCACCAATGCATACTATTTCAAATCTTAGTAATCTGTTGTTTGACCACGATACAAGCTATAAGATGCCCTTGTATCAACTTACCATAAAATTTGGGGATCATACAGGCCTTTTTCATGTTCTCATTTACTTGGTCTCCCAAGCGAGCGAGTCTTTCCTCTTGCGCTTTCCATTCCCTAGGTGGCTCCGCTTTCGGTCTAGGCATGTAGCCCGTTCGCTTGAACACATCCTCATCTAATAGTAGCAAGACCATGTATTGAATGAAGTAGATGCTGACGAATGGAAATGTTAGCAGGCCTATTTCTGCTGTTATCCCCAGAATATTTGCATGTCTTGCACAACATATTCTTATTTTCAACGGGCCATTGCGTCAACAGGAAACCTCGAATCGCCAGTACAGCGTAGGGCTCATATCTGATCAAGATGCCACCAGCAATGCCATATCTCGAAAAGTCCACATCATTTTAACTGCCTGTGAACTCACAACTAAACTGAACTACACGAAAAAGACCCGAAGTGATGCACGTTCAGAGAGGGTCATTTGGCGTCTTTTCGATTTACTCGCCAGCAGTAAGGCACCCAATTACCTCTGGTCCCAACGGCTCAATTCAATATTGTATGACATGAGTCGTATAGTTACGGAGTTACCATTTGACTACGGCTTTTGCAATTTTGTCAACCCAAGTATTTTCGTGATCAAGTCATGGTTGTCTACTGTAACAAGTTCTTTCATACTGCTTCCCCAGCTTATTTCTATTACCCATACCGTTCCGACCCGTACGCCTTGAGTATCTAGTCCCTTGTTTTTGCTTCTAGTAAATCTCTCCCTTAGGCTTTTCACTAGCTACGAAGTGAGTATTTGGTGTCTTCTGGCTACAAAATCCATGTTCACATTAGGCAGACTGGTTTTCATTTATTTGAAGATGACAATGAAATGGAGGTTTGCTTTTTCAGCATATAGAGTTTATAAGCCGGCTACACCTGTTCCTACTAGTACTAATGTTTGAAGGTGTTTCAATAGTCGGAATTTTGGTTTGAAGTGGCCCGTGGTCACACAGGCTTCACGCGGATAGACGACTTCACTGCCCACGTGACCACGTGACGGGCAACCGATGGGATCTCTCTCCTTACCCACTTCAACCCGACGAAAAAAACATCAACAACAGCGAGAACGAAATTTTTGAAAATCGGAGCAAAAACGGCCCCAAATACGCGTGCTCGCGGCCACAGAGCCCCCTTCGATGCAATGCCATCCTCGGCCTTGATTCTACGTCCCAAAGGGGCCCAAGATGGCCGCAGAGCACGCCCCGACTACAATGAAAAACTTGAGAGCAAGCCGCAAAATACGACATATCAATAGACAACACTGTTACCACCACCACAGGCGAGCCACAAGCCGCTACACGAAGCACTAAGACTGCGCCCAAACAATCAACTTCAACACAACAGCCGCCGACAGGTTTTGGGTCACCTGTCACCCCCGACAAAGTTTGCAACGTCCCACAACGACGAAGATGAGTCCGACAGAACAGTATCACCTTCCGCACGGAGAAAGCACCAGGCATTAGGCATGCTACGATCGATGCCACACAATACTACAGACCACAGACAGACTGGTCCCCTGTCGCCCCTTTTGCGAAGAAGGATTGGTGTCCCTTCAACGCGCGACAATGTCTGCGGAATCTGTGCGGGAGCTCTCATACCCAGTAATCGAACATGTCGGAGTCAGTGGAGCATTGTGCTTCGTGGAAGACCCTTGGGCCAATGTGGTGGAGGGCAATAGTGGTCAACAGGCAAGAAACAAGAGGCCACATAGGAACCCGGCAGGAGGCAACAAAGAATTTACAGATGCAACTGAGAAAACGGCATATACAAGTCCGGGAGGATACGGACAAAACAAAGAGACAAAGCTGAGCGCTGGGGGGAGACTGTAGGTACAAAGAACCAGATACGGTGCTACCAGCACCAACTGAACCGAAGCAGGAGGACGCAAAACAAGCATTCTAGAGAGCAACACAAAAGCGAGAAAGCAGACAGGAGAGCAACACACTTCTTCAACAGAGGGCACAAACACACAGAATAGAGAACATAGTGGGGAGCTTGGGGATAGCTGGCCCTGATGCAACATCAGGGCGAAGTGGGGCGTCGCTGTTCATTGTCGACGCTTCGGCTACCTGCCAAACCCCGCTTTCCGGGCATAGCTGCTGGCATAAGAGCGGCTTCATAACCGAGTAGGAATAAATCAATCAATCACTTCAACCCGACCTTCCACGGCTTCCTCCGCAAACAAACGACAAGACTCTACCATATTTTTTAAGGATAATACGTCTTCTTGCGCCCCTAAAGGTACCCTTGTGGTCCTAATCAAGTTCAAACTTTTGCAGTCTATTGTAATTTCATCGGCGAAACAAAGTCTGACAGCCCTCCACGACTAAAGACTTGCACCAAGAGGGACTCTAATTGCGATCGACATTAAATATAGACCAATATCGCTCAACCAAATACTATCTCAGTGCTATTACTGGTATCTCCGTACTGCAGTCCCTGAACTGGAACGTTTGCATCAGACCGTTCACCCAGATTATCAAGTCCAACAACCCTCCCTAAGTAGCTAGCATAAGCATCACTCTCAGCTCTTCCCATCAAAGCAGATGGGTGCTCCGGATCAGCCCTCGTCAGCAAAGACTAAGAGGATACTTGGAGAAATACATTAAATCATGCCTCTGCCAAACACTTAGCGCATGGATATCTAGTCTAAAGCATCCTGAGCCAAGCTCGATGAACCATCGACAAGAAGCCGTAACGACGCGATTCCAAGCAAAAGAGGATTTCCGATCATAAAAAAGCCGTCCGCGCAAAGCGGCGAAACACCGCCTAACCTCATTTTGAGGAGGAAAAAAAAAAAAAAAAAGGCAACCCTCGCCAATACCATCATCCGAGTCGCCAGCTCGCATTCCCCGACCCAAAACAGACGCAAGATACGCTTCTCAACACCCTCGCCGCAAATATATCACAATCCTCCTTCCTCAATCATACACCCCCCCCCCCCCCCCCCCCCCCCGGCGCCCGACCGATTCCTTCGCTCTTGGCACTCTACATCAGGACACATCCCAGCGGTCTCAACACGCTTACACCCGCCATAAAAGAAAAATGAAAAAAAAATAAATAAAAGTAAAAAGGCCTAGACACCCGTAGATCTGACCGATTCCCCCTCGCTTCCTATCAGCGTGTAAATCCTCCTCGGACCGCTCCTCTCGGCGCGCATCGGCCAAGTCCAATGCGGTAGTTGGATCAGAGACCCGTTTCGGTTCGTAGACTACATTAGGCAAGTGGTTTTGGTGGATGTATCGGTTTAGCCTGGTGGTCACTCTCATCACCATTAACCCTTACTTCTTCACCGAACTGGAGATGGGCGTTTGGTCAGGTATATAAACCGTCTGATATCAGCAGGACTGGGAGCACGTAATTCGGAAAAGCAATCACAACATTCATTCACTGCCATTACCCAAACCCCTTCCCTCAAGCTTAATTCTTGATATCCTTTCGCACAGCAGAGGGATACCATGCAACTCAAGGCCCTTGCGCTCCTCGCCTTCGCCGCTCTGGCGGCGGCAGCTCCCGGCACGGAGCTCAACAAGCGCGCCCCTACCAAGGCGGAGTGCTGCTGCTGCTATGGCGGGCCTTCGGTCGGGTGCGCGGCTACCCTCGACTGCTCCGATATCTCAACCAGCACTTGCTTTCACACCGTGTGTCCATTTTGAAGCTGGCCAAGAGATGGCAAACGGAGTTCCGACCCGACAGTTAAATATTACTACCGTCAGCGTATAGAGAAGGGGATGTCTCCCTCTGGAGGCAATAGGAATGAGGCATCGGGCTAGCGGATGATAAGACTGTGTAGGTAGTGGACTGGAGGAACGGAGGCAACGAGCCTCGCTGTGATGTGCAATTTGAACATAAGATCAAGAGATATGTTCCAATGAGCACAAAGATGGGGAATAAAAAATAAAAGTAAAAAAAAAAGGCCGCGTCAACTTGACTGCCTACTCATTTGTCCCTTTCGTCATTGATGCAATAAAACAATAACTCCCTGGTCGGCCGCAGCGGCTTCGAGTGTCAGGTGGACATCGACAACGCAGGAACATGCGTCCATGGCGTGAGTTTGGCAAGTAAAAGAGCAGTTGCGAGGTGTTGGAACTATCCAAACTTGCCGATGAGTGGTGACTAGCCACTTCGTCATAGTGCAGATGCGACCCCACTTGTATTCATTAAGCAGCTGCAACCTTGTGCAGATGCTACTGGCTTTTTTCATTTACGTCCACGACATTCCGTTTTCCACCGTTTTATACCAAAGCATGCAACAGCATGGCGACTGTACGCTTGGCGGGTCTTTCGGGCTCCATTTGATAAAGGAGTTGCTTGAATTGCGTAGCTAAGTTTGACTTAGATGGATGCTAGTTACGCGGCGGGTCTTTCATTTTAGTTATACCGAAAACTCGGGGAGCCTGATACAATAATATGTCAGCCAACACTACGAGGCAGCTAATGCTGCTTGCAAGTTCAATCCATGATCCGACAAAGACGACTGAGAAGGACACCAGTCTTTTGGCAGAAGCCTATTGTTTACCGTCAACGACCCGATCGATGGGTGTACAGATGTCGAGAAGCCAAAATACGAAGTGAATGGGCATTTGATGTGCGTGTAGTGTCCGGCATGGTCGCGGCATATAAAGTTCAGTTAGCATATGGCAGCCTTTGGCAACCCGGAGGTTGTTGGCGATGAGGTGTAAGGTTAAGGATGTTTCGTAATTTCCAAGCCGTGTATGCTTCCCCTCCGAGTCCATTCCCGCTCGTGTACAAAACCCAAATGATGCGACCCTAAGAGGCGTTTCGCCTGGGTCTTCTGTAATCCTTAACCAACCCCAAACTGAAATATCTATCCGATATGTTTCCATATCCGCAAATCGCTCGTATATCGCAAACCCCCCGCCAGTCGAAATTGACAAACGTGCATATCGTTGAACCTAAGCCGTGAGCGGTCATGCCACTCAAGCCTTCTTTGCTGTTGTTGCTGCTGCTGCTGCCTCACTTCGGCAACGAGAGCACATACATGATCCACCGAGGCTTCCCTTGGCCCACTCGCGTCGCTCGTCAACGGACATTCTGATGTCGGTATAATGATTGAGAACTTCCTCTCCAGCCTTGAGCCCTGGTTTGTCTCCCATAATCTTTTCCTTTCTTGCCCATAGCACCATTCTTCCTGCCCAGTCCCAGGTAACGTTCGGGTTACAGTCGTGGTTCGCTATGCACCAAAAGGGATGCACGGCCGCAACCTCGGGTCGACCATCCCGTGGATTCTTCCGACTCGACGCCGTGCCCCGGAACTTGCTATAGAGGGTGTTGAAAACCCACAAATCGTTTTCCGGTAAAGTAGTATATATATCGACATCCATCTTCTCGAGGATATGCAGAGGTGCCTTGACGTTGTATTCGAAAGAAAACCGCAGCGTCCAGTCAGGTGGAGGCATCGGACTAGGGGATATGTCGATATTATTGACGCTCGTCGGCAAAAAGTCGCCCCAAATATATTTGACCTGGGGGAGGTCAAGAGGATGAATGCCTTGGTGTTGTGATAGAGCCAAAACACGGGCAAGAAGCAGCAGATTCAGCGTTTCGGCAGCTTCCGAAGCCTCGGGGTCCTTTTTGATGTCATCCACGTCTTTTTCACAGACCGCGGGATGATAGAGCTCCTGTGCCAAGTCATGGCAGTATTGACTGCAGAACACAGTGTCGTAGCACTCTTCGCAGTTGACGGCGGTCGAGTCAGGCCCTAGTGGCGGAAGATCAGCACCGCAGGCGTCGCAGACCGGTTCCTTATGGCGGTTGTTTGCGGTGAGGAGCGAATACTCTTCAAGTACGGTCTCTCCTGGCGCAATATCTTCCTTGGCAAAAAGACCTAGTTGTTCGCAGGTGGGTATGAAGTCGTAGTCATCAGTTTCGCTCGCTTCGTCCAACAAGATCGGAAGCTTGGAGACTCTGACCTCACATTTTGGCGAGAACTGGGATAGTTGCTTGTTGAGAAACTCGAGAGTTTTGGGACCATAACGATCGGGCTCGTGGTCGTTCCAAGGGTAGACCTCTCTCCGAACCATTCCCCATTCGGGAAGGATGTTGGGGTTAATGTCCTCCCTTCGAAGCCTTTGACGAGCGATTTTGTTAATATACCCGAAAGTCTCCAGCAACTCCTCGTTTTCCGGGGCTAGAGCCAAACCCCTTTCGGCAAAGTCGTAGGACGACTTCAGGCACGAACATAGGAGTAAGCTGAGTGATAGGATCTGATAGCACCGGACAGAAGACAACCTGGCGACATGGCGAACAAGGCCAGCTTGGTCCTTCGCCTCGTTATCGACATAGTCACTGCCAAGATCCGTCAGGTGACCGTGGTCAAGGACCAGTGGGAGTGGGTCTAGGGGCCGAGACTGCAAAGACTCAACCGCCTGCTCGTGGTATTCGAAACCTTCGTTGAGAACCTCATCGGTCAACAGCAGAGCTCGGTAGGCATCTCCTACCGCAAGATCGGGGTAGCCTAGGTCAGAGTGGACTTTTGCGCGCTCAAGGTAGAGGATCAAATCGTAAGGAAGCTCCCTGAGGGCTTTTGTGAGTTCCTGGCGACGATCGCGCAAGCTTTGTAACTCTTGCAAACGGATACTGTTGTCGTCTTCCAAAGGCGACTCGTTACCAGTGCTAGATGTAGACATTGTGGAAAGGGTGAAAGAGAGTGTGTTTGTGCGATGGACTTGTCGTCGCTCTGACCAAGCACGGTCCAGGTCTAGTAGACCGCAAGGTGCAGGACTCCCTGATAAAAAAGTAAAAGGAGGGAAATTGCCGCCCAAAGATCGGGATCGAAATCGGAAAGAAGAATGACACTGACGTCAGGGAGGAGAACAACGATCCTGGTTCTGCTAGGTCTAAGGTCCAAGTCAGGCGGAAGCGCTGTGGTACCTAACCGGAATACCGTCTTAGAGGCGGGACGGTAAGAAGGTGAACCCTAGAAAACAGGCACACGGTGGTGGTTCCTCAAGGATTTAGTTTTTGGGTGCTTTTTTTTTGGTTTTTTTTTGGTCAACGAACGGGGCGAGCCCACACGGGTCAGACCACTTTGAAGCAACCCTGTCAGGTCGGACTCGTTGGTGGTTGAAATGTGGTGGTAAGAAATAGCAAAAATTGGGCGAGAGACGGGGAAAAAAATAGGCCTTGTCTAGAACGGTGCGGTATCCGTATTCGCGAAATGTACAGGGTTGGAGGGTACGGTTAATGAAGGAATATAGGCAGTTGACGGTTTGCGCCCTAGGGGCCTAGGGCCTGGTCTTGGTTTGCTTAGTCGGGCACTGCTCCTTTCGTCTTGACGGTCTTGGTAGGAGGAGTGCAGCTGAGCCAATAGATGAAAGGTTCGGCTGGTTCAGAATAGCAGAGCAGTTCCCCCGTCCCACGAAGCCGTTTTTGTGAGGGGTTAAAAGAAAGGACAGTCGCGAGGCGATGACCTCTTGGGAGAAATTTGCAACTCGTCGATTGGATATTGACGCGGATTGGAGTCCGCTCTGGTGTGCGGTGACAAGTGGGGGGGCCTGGACCCTTGAAAAATGGAACTTCAGGGTCTTTCTCTCGTGGAGGGGTAACTGCCCAGGGCGAAGGGTGCCAACCGAGGAAGGTACGCAACATGTACAGAGTACTACGGTACCTGTCATCCCCACAGTCTATTGCTTCACCCAAATCACAACTTCAGTCAATAAGCAGCAACGTTGATGGACGGAGGCACCATCCGGTCCCTCCAAAGCGATGGCCGAGCAAACTCAAACAGACGTACCTCAATACCTCCTCCACAACCTCACGTACCACGCGCCTCCCCGTGCATGGCCTTACATGGCCCCCCTCCCGTCACGAATTGGGTTGGGAGCTCTCCAAGGAACATGACGACTGTGACGTCATGACATCATCCAGAGCCCCCTTTCATCCCGTCACGTCCGTTTGGCTTGCAGCAATTTTTATGGGCTGGTTTCTAATCGCATGAGCACTTCGTTGTGGCATTTCACATGTTACATATGTCACAGGTTGGGGGAGAAGCTTCTGAACGATATGGGTATGGGTCCCTACGATGCATCCTGGACGGCCCATTCAGAAGACGGTAACCATCGGCACTCTTCGCTATCGCCGTCATCCAGGGGCTCATTTCCGTTGAAGGCAACGTTGATTATCATCAGTGCCTGATCGTCCGCTGTAGTGTGCAGCGAGGCATTGCCGTAGCTAGGGAGGGCTGGCAATGTCGAAGAATGAGGCTTACTTGCAAGGCCCCTTGCACCCCAGATGCTGACGATGCACCCAATCGCGATAAAGTAACTTCAGGGTCTACTATGTAGTGTAGAGACGGTGGTTGGGGTTTTTCTTTTCGTTTTTAGCATCAGCTTCCCCTTGTTCCAGCCCAACGAAAAACCTGACCGCCATCGGCGACATTGTAAGACATGACATGGGAGGCTCCGCATATGTTCATCTCCCCGTTATGCCCAGGTTATGTCTATTGAAGCGTGGGCTTGCAAGATGGCACACCGCTCTAGATGCCCGCCCCATGTTCTCCAGGACACTGCAACACAGACGCCGCTTACACATGCATCGTCGATGCAGCCTCTCCCTTTTCTATTGATTTTCAGCGATAACGCGCAACCCCTCTGCTGTCAAAAGTCGACCGTTTCTGGACGATGGCATCGCGACGTTCCGTTTCAAAAAAGTTTGTTCGTCTCAGCTCACGCGTTTACGACCCGCCAACACCCACCCCCCTCCATCCTTCCATCCAACTCATGGCAATGACGCCAGCGTCTCCGCAGCGCCAGTCCAGGGCTTGGTGAACCCCCGCCTGCCTGGGTGTTCGTGATGGTTCCCTTGAGTATTGAATGGAGGAGATTCGAGTCATTCGATGCAACTACGTCATTGCTGTGATGCTTCAAATATATACACTAAAGCAACACTAAAAGAAAACCTCCGACGGTATATTCCGACCAACCTCAGCCTGTCCTCAAGCCGAGTCAATCGAGCTTCAGGCAGAATCCAACGAGTCATGCCTGCTTAGACTTATCAAACATGTTAGATAATAATGACGCAGTGGTCCCCTGATTTAGCTGCTCTCCGGAAGTTAGACCCCCAAGAGCTTGATGCTGAACAGTAGAGTTGCTGCCGCGAGAAAGGCTGAATGATCAACAATGAGGCAATGGAGTGATCGCTTCGCGTACAGAATGTCATGCACGCGCGTGAAAGGAGGTGACTGGGATGGTGGAGGCGTAGGATTGTTTCGTCGATTTGACATAATATTCCTTGCTTTGGCGGGCGTGATTCTCTACAAGGTACTGAACCCTTGGTCCACAGGTACTTGCTTGTGTAACATCCTGGCCAGATTAGATCGCACATCGGGGGAGGAGAACAGAAATCTTTGCGATCTATACTCATCGACGGTTGCGAGGTATTAATGATGGAAACAAGAGACTGAAATCGTGCGACTTGGCACGCGGGATTGACGTAGTTGTGCGAACTGTTGCCGTTGGTTCCATTTCTGCTGTCAACTCCGCGGAGTGCATACCCAGTCTCGGTTTGCCTTCTCGGAATAGCATCAACGCGGTATTGGCTAGTCATTCCCAAATCCAGAAACGCCGATTCCGTGCCACCGGTCTAGACTTACGACTCTAAAGATGGTAGCCAGACGAGACAACGTGGGAGTTTCGTTTTAGGGTCGCTGTGAGATGCATCCCAGTGCCCATCCAGCTGGAACATGGTAGTCTGGGGTAAAGCTAGACACGGACACTCAAGAGTGGTGGATATGGCTGGATTGGCAGACGGCAGACGGCGGTGGTTCCGGCGCAGGCTGCGGTCAAGTAATTGGTCAACCCAAGGACAGACCTGACTCTTCGATCGTCCAAGCTATCTTCACCATTGACAGACTCTGTGACGAATCAGAGACAGTGGACGGTAAGACGGGGGCATTGGGAGCATCCGTTTGCAGCAAGTCAAGCCAAGGAGGTGATAATTGCATTCGAACTGCGATGTGCCCCGTTGCGGAAGGTTTTTTTTTTTTTTCTTTTTTTCTTCTTCTTTTTTCCCCTCTCCCTTTCCACTTTCCTTCCCTGACAGTACCAGTAACTTTCGAAGGGAATGATGAAGAGGGACGTACTACCTGAGGGCTGACATTTATTGACCAGGGAAGAGAAGAAGCCCTTCCGTGTACCAACACGGCGGTGGCGTGACTAAGGCGTCGAATGAATCAAGTCACGCATTCCACCAGTTATTAGAGTAGCCGGATGCTTTAATCAACATTAGGTAAAAGTAGCCCCTGCCCTAGCGGAGTTGTTATCTTTTCAGCAGCCGTTACCCTTATTTAGCAGTTGAGGCAAGAGAGGATTGAGTAGTGACGACGGCTGCCTTCTAAAAGGCGGGGTGACTGTCTCTTGGGAAAAGCGGTGGTCTAAGCCATGTCTGCAGTCCCAGCTTCCTCCTCCTCTTGTTATTTTCAGTCCATTGATGCGCTTTTTAACGAATGAGTACGGTGGTGAGCCCCGTAGCTTCCGTAGACATCTCTCATCCTGTCCGTACTCTGACCCGGAGTGGCTCCAAAGCGTCGGATTCTCGCTCTCACTTGCCCTTTGACCTCGTGGGCGGGCTTTCCCCCTTCGCGCTACACGACCCTAGACCTGTGCCGCTGTCACTGCTTGCTCTAGCGGCGCTGCTTCCCGACGGCCGGCGCTCCCAACCAAGGCCCGTCCATCATCGAGCACCACCATCCTAGCCAGCTGCTTGGCGGGGCACTACGTAGTACAAGTCATCCACCAAAAGAGCCCACATCATTCGCTCACAATCGTCCCAATACCACAAAATCTGCCACCCTCCGACATGCCGACCTCATCCTGACGGGCAGGTTCCAGTTCCGGACCAGCAGCTCCTTGGGACTGGCCGCACGGTTGTCGGCGAATCTTATATGGCTTCCACACAGTAGCTGTGGGTGGCAGGCCTCGCCGGCCCGTCACGTGGGCTGACGGCCGCCACCACTGGTCTTAGCCAGCCTCCACAGCCCTCTAGCCAGTTAGTTAGTTCTTCCAACCAACAACACCACTTTTCCCATTCTGAGCGTTCTGTGCTGGTTTCGCCCACAGTAGCATCCCAGACAGGATGTGTCCTCAGTGGCATCAACAACAGCCAGATTTCTAGCAGCAGCTAGCGACTCACAGCAGCACAATCTTCGGCCTTGTCTTCTGGATCTTATTCTCATCGATGCAGTCAATGGGATAACCAGAGGCGAGTAATGCGCATACGGAACCAAGTCTCCTTCCGTTCACTGACGACATTTTCAATCGGGCAAAATCCTGATCTAATCTCAGGGATTCCCGTCTGCAACAGGGAATCGCATACATAATACCGCATTGCCTTGTTGCCCACACCAAGTCCACCTCGACGTCCACCATACGCACTGTTGGTCCACCGCTAGAAACATTACACCCCCACTACCTCACATCACTCACCATTCATTGTAGGGTCACTTTCTCTCCTCCCGCCGTTATCGATCGCAAATCGCTGGTGAAACCATACAAATTTACCTGCAGCCCGCCCGCCCGCTCGCCCACCCCCAATCCCACACCATCAATTCATCCATCCAACCATCACCTGCCTGCCTGCCTGCTCACATTGACCACCAAGCAAAACAACTGGATCTTGAGGGACCCAAGCACCCAGTTCCAAGCCCAGCATTGATTCAAGCCACAGCCCGAGCTGCCGTGCCCGCGTCTGTGCTGTCCATTCTGCTCCAAAAAAGCCCAAACATCATCCTAGCCCCGCTATCGTTTTTTTGTTTTTGCGTGTTATTTTTATTTTCGCACTCCCAGGCATCTGGAAACATCCATGACCCATCCGCCGCCGGATTCTTAGACCGAACCACCATTTCTCGGCCCTTATTACCTGTCTCCCGTGTGCCGTTCCGACTCGAGCCTTTTTCGTCTGAACCTCCAGTTAACCAAAGGTGCACCACCCGCCCGACTTTGCTGAATCAAAGGATCCCGCATACAACCTCCGAGTCACACTGCTTCGCCTATTTCGGACTACCCACCAACTATTTTCTGCACCATCCGCAGACCGCTTCTACTTCCCCCTTCCATTCTTCACAACCTCGCTTCCGACAACACCTCTCCGCCCCCGCCTTTCACCTCTCAAATTACCCCACCATGAGCAACAAGCAGCCGAACCTCTACGCCTACGAGACGGTCAACGAGCTCGCGCCCGCCTTGCGAGCCTACGTCATCCAAGCACAAAATGCCGGTCTGAGCCGTCACGGCGCTTTCAAGGTTGCCGTTTCTGGTGGCTCCCTCCCCAAGACTCTGGCGCAAGCCCTGCTGGCTCCTTCTTCCGGTCCCGAAGATGCTGTTCATTTCGACAAGTGGGAGATCTTCTTCGCTGATGAGCGCGCCGTTCCTCTCGACCACGAAGACTCCAACTATGCCCTCCTGAAGAAGGAGCTTCTCGACAAGATCCCCGAGGATCTTGGCGCCCCGACCGTCCACCCTATCGATACCACCTACCTGAATGACACCCAGGAGCTGGCCGACCAGTACGAGAAGACTCTTGTCACCAGCTTCGCCAGCCGCGATAGTGTGCGCCTGCCCATTTTCGACCTCCTGCTGCTGGGCTCCGGCCCCGACGGCCATACCTGCAGTCTGTTCCCCGGCCACGAGCTACTGCGTGAGACCACCGCCTGGGTTGCTCCCATTGAGGACTCCCCCAAGCCCCCGCCGAAGCGCATCACTCTCACCCTGCCTGTTGTCAACCATGGCGTCAAGATTGCCTTTGTCGCCACTGGCGGTGGTAAGAAGGACATCATGAAGAGAATCTTTGAGCATGGTGACGGTCTCCCCTGCGCTCTCGTCAACGAGGGCGGCGGCGACCGCGTCAGCTGGTTCGTGGACAACCCGGCCGTCGAGGGCGTCAGCTTCCCCCGCCGTTCCTTTTTGTGAACCACTCGAACGTAGTCGAGGAGGGCTTAGAGGAGGAAGCTCAAAGACATGGAGCATCGTTTGCGTATAAAGAAAACCCCATTGATCATTTTCAGATAGACAGGAGGCCAGACGAAACGGCACATGGGACTACAGTGACGGAAAAAAAAGGGGGGGGTACTTAGGCAGCAGTTGCCACGAGCCGCGGGCGTTGCTTGTCAAGAGATTCATCATTAGGAGCGAAGCTGGATCTTTATTCGTCTCTTGCCCATATTCTTGGGCCTCTTAAACCTTCTCAAGAGTCCCCTTCGTTGATTCTTGCCTTCTCTTCGCGAGGACTCTCAAGTTTTTTTTGATATCCACGCACGCCACACACAAACCAAGAAAAAAAAACCATAACGATTTTCATGATACGAAAGGGAATGAGGGAGAGATCAGGACCTCTTTTTTGATGACGAGGCCTCTGTGTGTTCATGATATGTCTCAATCATATTTGAGATGAGGTAGAGAAATCAAACAAATATGCTCATGCATTGTGGCGGCCGTTTCGCCCCCAACCTGCCTTTCTTTTGTTCTGCGCCAATCGGTTTATCTGAGCCATGTTTTAACCGTGTGCCTTTCGTGCTTTCATCATTGTGTCTCTCCTTGCCCCTCCCACACTGCCGTCAATGGACATAGATGGAGAATATATCTGCTACCTGGCCCCCTGCTCCATACACATGCTTGGCGGGAACGCCACATACCTCACCCCGCGGACGACGATCTATATAGGGCTGAAGATGTGCGTTCATCTTCCCTCTTACTCTCTAGCATCTTTTTTTTTTTTTTTTTTGGTCTCACGATCAATCGACGGGCTTGCGTTTCCCGATGCGATGGGAACCTCCGGCCGAACTGCATGGTTTATTCCGGGCGGGAGGACTGAAATGACGCCCGTGACGCAGGGTGGCTAATGCATATACACGATATCGACATGAGATGAGGCGAGTGGTGGTCAGCTGGACATGGGGGGGAGAGGGAATGATGAAAATACAATGATGAAGGCGGATCGATCCAGAGGCGAATCGAAAATCGTACGGTTTCTACGGTCTTTTTTTGCCCCCGTGTGGCGAGAAGTGGTACGCGCTTCTTTCAAAAGTATGGACGTGGGATGGGATGATGGCGATTTCTTGCCGGTTGATGTATGACATATGGTGATTGAACTGCCTCGGGACCTGAGGTCAAATGGCGGGTAATGGATGGGAACTGCTGGTGTGACGGGGGGGACTACTACACCCAGGAATGAAGTGGTTTCCGGGGGCCTTGGTGGTGATGATGCGCATGGCTGCGTGCCCGGCTATCCCCCACCGGATCTGCGAGCATCTTATCCTAATCTGGGTCAAGGTGAGGGAATGTCGGACCTACCGCGGAGAGGTTAGAGTAGCTAATTCACAACGTCGAGTAACACTTTTGTTCGCGTTATCCCGAAGGCGTGTTGAGTTATCTTGTGCTTTATTGGTTTATTCAAGACGGCTTTCACGGGGGGGACTTTGAGCCCACCGTCTGATCTGTCCAAAAAAAGAAAACTATAGCTAACTGTTTTTTTTTTTTTTTTTTCGCTTCGGCGGAAACTCCGAATGGCCCTGGAGCACAGGGCCGTCGCATTTTCTCTTTCTTATCTGAGTTCGTTCGCTGTTTTACCTACCTAAACTTCCCTGGCTCGGGGATAGCAGCTGCCCTTTCGAGATCAGTAAGCCGTGCCAGTGTAGACGATTCGGCAGAACGACATATATATCAGAGCCTCCGTTTCGTTTTCGGTTTCTCGCCGTTGTCGTTTTCGTTCCGGGATTCTCGGGTTTTGTTACCCTAGATAAACGTGCTTTCCTTTATACAGAGTTCATCCAATATCTTTAGATTACAGATTCCAGCCTCAGCTCGCCAAATCATATCAAGCGTATCATTGCGCAATGATTGGAAGTCAATACACACAGTGCTCATTCGTTTCGCTTTATCATACCATCTCTTACTACCTATGAATAAGCCGAGAAGCATGTCGATAAGGGGTTGAACTTGTGCCAAGGTCTGACGTCAGTGACCCGCGGCACAAAAGAACCGTACCGCAATCCCAGTCTGTGGCCTGCGTCAAAGGTCAGCCAAGCCTACGGTCCACCTATACGGAAACCCCGGAATAGCTTGGAATATGCACTGGGCATATAGACGTTGTCTTGGTGTGGTCTTGTGTACACACTGCAGATTACAGCAAGATGAGCTCTAACGAAGCCATACCAGCTCATGCAGTTTAACACGGGTCGGTCGAAAAGGCCAACAGACTTTGCGTATAATGCTCAAGCTGGCTAAGACTAGAACGATGGTATTACTTGATATTGCGGGTGCTTCGGCGGATCCTTTCCATCAAAAGTGACGTAAAGCCTCCTGTAGACAGTTAACATTTCCAGGACTTTGTCTCCTTTGATCAGCTTCTGTGTCTATGGACTTGTTCGTATCTGGAGATATTGGGAAACAAGGGGAACTGGATTTGCGGCAGGATGGCAAGGCCAAGCAACCTAGCTGTAATTTTCTCGTCATCATCTTGTACCGAGCATAGCGAAGGCAGAACGCCCTTTGCTCAGCAAATATACTATGTGGTGGTCTCAACATCCTTCTTTCCTGTCCCTAGAAACGACGCTTACTAACTCTAGAATGCCTTCTTCGCCGTCTTGTCCGTTGCTTACAAGAACCCCTTTAACCAAGCTGCGCCGGGAGGGACACTCTCATCATCACTTTCACCGATTTTGATCAGCGAGCGAAGCACGTCGTCACTGAGCAGGCGCGTGTCCACACAACCAACAAAAGCTCACCGATCCAGCTCCTGAAATTTCATAAATGACGGAAACACATACGTAGATTTCAATCTGTATGACTGGGCCGCCGCATCGTACACACGGAGCGCATTTTGACTTCAAGGGTCCCTAACTTTTCTTTTACACGCCGATATCCCTCAGCATACACCCAAATCACTTACCCAGACCGCGCTCCCTAATAAAAAACGTAGCCCCGAAAGCCAACACCAAAAACGCCGTCATGGGAACCATGGCCCCCAGCGTGGCAACCTGATAACTCGCCCTCACCTCCGCCGCGACGCTCGGCTCCAGCTCCCTGATGTAATCCAGGCTCTCGCGCACCTTCTCCTCAATCTTCCTCGCCTCGTCGCCGTCGAGCCTGACCGCCAGCTGCGCGCGAAGCACCTGCTGCAGCACGGCAGAACACACACTGATGCCGATGCTCGAACCCAGAGACCGGAAGAGGTAAGAACACGCCACGACGACGGCGGTATCTTCCACCGACGCGTTGGAGAGCAGCGCGACGAGCGTGGTGGTGATGCCCGCGCCGCCGCCGAGGGCGAGCAACGCCATGCTCGAGACGACTCCGGGCGTCGAACGCAGGTACAGCGTGGCGACCGTCGGCGCGACGGCGACCAGCATCAGCCCGTACGCGAGGATGGTGAGCTTGTAGTACTTGCCCGTCCGCTTCATGATCACGCCGGCGCCGACGGAGGCGATGACGGAAGCGATCATGGCGGGGACCAGGTACGCGCCGGCCTGGGTCGCGCTGGCGCCCTGGACGGCCTGGAAGAAGAGCGGGAGGAAGAAGATGGAGGCGATGTGGGCGGCGACGCCGAAGAAGTTGGTGAGGTAGCCGGCGAACAGCGAGCGGTCAAAGATGATGTGGCCCGGCGCGAAGGGGTGCGAAGCGACGCGCATCTCGACCAAGACGAAGACGGCGAAGAGCGCAGGGGCCGACGCCAACCCCGCGACGGTCACGGGGTTCGACCACCCGCGGTTCGACCCGGCGTCTAGGCCCACCAGGAGCGCGATCACAGCGGCGACGAGGCACGCCGCGCCCAGGAAGTCGATGCGGCGGAACTTCTCGCGCCAGTGGTCGTGGTCCGCTTTGGGCAGGTCCAGCACCAAGTAGACCGCGAGGAACGCGACGACGCAGATCGGCGCCTGGCCGATGAAGGACCACCGCCAGCCCACCGAGTCAGCGAGCAGCCCGCCGAGGGGCGCCCCAGTCGACGTTCCCGCGGCGAAGATGATGTTGATGTACCCCTGCCACACGCCTCGGTCACGAAGAGGCACGATGTCGCTCAGGAGGATGGCCACGACGCTGTTCATGCCACCGCCGCCGATGCCGGCGACGGCGCGGGCGAGGCAGAGCTGAGTGAACGACTGCGCGAGGCCGCAACCGAGCGAGCCGATGGCGAAGACGGTGTAGGCGAACAGGAGACATTCCTTGCGGCCAAAGATGTCGCTGAGTTTGCCGTATAGGGGCTGACAGCTCGTGAGCGTGATGAAGTAGCTGTGTAGAGTGTAACACGACTATGTCAGCCCAAAAAAGAAAAAAAGAAAAAAAAAACAGAAAAAGCGAAAAGGGGTCTAGAGGTCTGGCAAGGTCTAGAACGGGGACGACGACGTACGCGGTTGCGAGCCAACTGGTGTTGTTCAACGCATGCAGCTCGCTGCCTATCTTGGCATATGTCGCTACGGTGAGCAGTTGATCGACGGCACAGAGGTAAACCTGGGGGGATAACCATGTGAGCGTTCGGTGCACGGGGGGGGGCGTCAGATCGTTTGCGGGGTTAAAAGGTTTGCAAAACCTACGCCGATGCCAATGGCCGGAAGCAGCATGTACATCTTCTTGGCCATCTCGGGGTTACCATCCCGCTTGCCATCCCGGTCGGCGCCGTGTTCCGGCTGGACGGCACCACTTCCGTGAACGGCCTCCGAGTCGGCGGCGCGCAGTAAGGGGGAGGTCTCCGTCGGAGCGGGGGCTCCGCTTGGTGAACCGGACATGGCGAGTAAAGGGCCCGAGAGTGATTGGTGCTCAGTGGAAATCAAGGCGCGATTTCAATTCGCTGCAAAGAAAAAGGTGTTCTGGGAAAAAGAAATAATCCCAGACAAGACCCCTTATGAAGTATGTCACCGCTGCTGCTCCGCTTTCAACCCTCCTCAAAGAATTGATAATCGGCCTTCTATAACGAGTAAGGCTCCGTCTGTCGGAGGCTTCATTATGTCAACTTGCCAGCGATAAGCCGCTTAGGTCCTTTATCAGCCATGACGCAATTTATGAGATAAGGCACGTGATCACTACTGGTGCGATTGAGCATGGCGGCAGCTACTTTCTCCATCAAACAACTGCTCAAGACAGCATCGTGATAACTTCAATTGGGACTGGTTGGCACAAAAACTTTCTGCATCAAGTCCCCACGAATGAAAGCGTTTCTAATTACCGGGCATTCGCTTGCCCAAGAAAACTAGAGGGGAAAAGGACGAAAAAAAAAAAAAAAAGAGTCAATAATTGAAAGTTGGATCAAGTGGGGACACAACCGGCCAACGGCGCAAAATCAGCTTGGCGTCCATTCGAATACCCCCAGATCTTGACCAGCATCTCATCTTGCGCGGCCTTCAATCTCTCCGAAGCCCCAGGAAAACAGACTGATCAGTCACCTCGTCAATAATCTCATCGGTCAGCGGGGGACGCGGGCGACGACAGCAGCGCGGGTTGAGGAGGTGGAATGGGTGGATCACAACTCATCTTAAAAATCCTGCCGGTGTGAAACAAACCGTCACGCCGCTGCTCCATCCTCCACTGCGAGGGGGCCCAAAAGTCATTTCAATGTTAATTTATTTTCCGTGATGGTTTCTCGGAAGGCGTAACCTGCATGCTGAGATGCCGCCCGGCAGCACCGTGGATGCGCATCCTGAGGGATGGGCAAATTTTGCTGGCAAGGTCTGTAGAGGTCGATGAATGGCACATCTCGTTCTCGTTTTCTTGCCAAGAGCAAGAACAGTCGCTTGACTGAGTATAGACTGCTCCGTGGGACAACATGATGCCCTCACGGTTACTTCTCGTCTGCAGTACAACACTCGCGGTGAAGCCTACTTTTTTTTTTTTCCTTCTTTTACGATCCAAGCTGTTGAGATTGATAAACCAATTGTGATGTGATAATGGCGCATCCTCCGCTTTATGTCGTCCCAACCTTGTGCACCTTACAAGGAGAGAATCAACAACCCGTCAGCAAGGGATGCCCAAGAGGGCAGGGGAGCCTTGCGACAGAACGGCGCCCCCCCATCTGACGTATCCATAAGGAATCGCCTGGGGATGCTTGTGAGACTCAGGCAACTGAAAACTCAAAATGGCTCAAACCCGTTCATGCGAGCAGCGAAGCCCCTTGTTCTACGATGCCTCGCCAGGCACTGGTCTGATTTGCCGTGACTGATCTCCCAAGTCTTCCGACGGCAGTGCACTCCTCAGGGGGTGATCCGATGCTCATCAGACTTGGATTTCACCTCACTTTCCAAACGGAATCCTCGTCAGGGGGATGAACGGCAGGCCATTGCAGCTGGGCCTAGCGAGCCGCAAGGCAATACCCCCATATTTATGATGCCGGAGGGCGATTTGCGAGTGGAATTGGGAAAGTGAGAGGCCCCAATGGCCCTGGCGTTGTAGGGCTTCTGGAGTGTGGTTGGCTTCCCTGGCGCAGATCGCTATTCGCCTCCATGGCTGACTCGGATTGCTGGAACGGCGTGATGAGACAGGACAACAGAGCGTAGACCAGCTGTCAACAATAGTCTAGAAGCCGCAATTTGCAAGCGCAAATGCAAACTAGGTTGGGCGGAAGATTGTAGTGGGAGTCGCTGTCACATCGCCGTAGCGCACAGGCAGGACAACACATCATCAGATGGAGCTAGAGTCTGCCACATCAGGAGTGGCTGGACGGCTGTCGCTAAGTTCAGCTTCCATGGTACAGGACGAACAGCTGTTGCCGTCTTCAAGTCTGCAACGGTGCATTCCACGATTCCCGCATTCCATGCGGAAGTTGCCGAACCAGGACCTCTTTTTCTTCGTGTGAGTTGGCTGCAATCAGGGTTGGGCGGCAGCAAACGGTGGTGGGCTCAGATCACAAGAGTCCCTGCGTCCGCATGTCCGCATGTCTACCAGTCCGAATTCTGGTAGTGCAGGTGGGCAAAGTGCGGTTTGGTGGGAGAGACAGACCCTGGTCAAGCTGGATACGACCTACATGTCACTGTCATTACGCGGCGCGACGGGCTGGGCTGGGCTGGGTGGCGGACCACCAAAGATGGCATGAGCGCCGCAAACGACGTTTTGTTTTTTTTTCTTCTTCTTTCCATCCTAGAGAGAGAGCTCAGACGAGATTCAGAGTTTGGATTGTTTGCTCAATGCTTCTGACGCTCAGCAGCGCGGGTATGGCCCATTTGTATTGCGTCATGTATTCCTCCATTGTGGACTTGGGGAATTTGCAGGTGTATCGTCTTGAATGGTCTCTTCGCGATCGATATTTGCGACATGCGATCCGTAGTGATTAAACCGTGCTTACTATGTAGCCAGGTAGACCCTTTTTTTATCTCCCATTTAGCCTCGGTCGGTTTCAGATTATCGAGAATCGAAGCGGAAGTACGGAAACTGCAGGCAAGGTACCCGTCTGCCAAGAATCGAATGACGGTAGGGGTGTTGACAGGCTGGTAGTGTGTCTCTCCTGTTATTAGTGTCTTGGAGTATGATAGAGGCCGAAGCACGCAGGATTAAGATTGGGGGGGATCAGGTTGATTCATGAGCCATAAGAAGACGGCGCACATTGGTTGCGTTGGGAGAGTTGATGATGCGTTCAGGAATGATTCGGATGGGTAGAGTGAGCACAGCCCAAAGAGTGCAGGAAATGATTGACAGCAAGCAATGTCTGTGTCTGCTCAAATGTCCGCGCATGGCTGTGCCAGTGGTGATGTGGCGTGGCGGTTGCAGGAGTTAGTGGTTGTTGTCAATTGGAGAGAGCGGGTTGCCATGCCCGTGGCCACCCACGGCCACCATCCACCACCGGGGGTTCCCTCACCAGCCCCAGCAAGCCAGCCCCCAAGCCCCGCTTCGGCACCAGCAGATGGTTCCTGTTGCTCTTATTACAGGGCTGCTGATGAAAGGTCGCAGCTGGGCTATAGCCAATGACGGACCTTGCAGTGATTTGCATCCCACACTTAGGATGCCCCAGCAGCGCAAGGCATGCACGCTAAGAAAAGAACCCAGTGCCGTTATGGGCCTTATCCGGCGTCGTACTGCGCTTTACGTACTCGCATCCGATCGTACCGCGCAGCGCAGCGCAGGCTTTTATTTTATTTTAAACAGGGGAGGGGGGGAGGGCAGGAAATAGGTACTGCTTAGCACCGGACGTACGCTGTACTAGTAGTAGTACTCTGATGACCGCATGTCGTCGATGAGATGACATCCTTGCCCCCGTATCGTCCGAAGACCCAACAGGAACAGAAAGGATAAAAAAAAAAAAAAAAAAAAAAAAAAAAAAAAAGGTCAGAGTCAAATGTTCAGACTGGGGACTGGTCGCAGGGTTCTCCGTGGCTGCCAGTATTAAACTTGAAGCCAAAGCACACGCCCCCCCCTCCCCCTTCCTGGTGTCATTGTTCTTATCCCCCTCCAAAGTTCCAATCAACGAAACTCCTGTTAATGCCGACGCCCTTCAAGTTTCTTCTCTGACCATTAATTCCCTCCTCCACATCCTGCAGGCACTTGCTGCTCTGCTCGTCGCATATCCTCGTCATTTACTCCGTACGCCTGCCTACACACAGGCTACACCACCTTCCCCGAAACCCTTGATGCTGGTAACTCCCAGCATCACCATGTTCCGGCACTGAACGTCGTGGCCAACTTTCGAATCCCATCGCTCCAATCGCCGTCCGCCTCCCCTCCTCCGTCCCACGTTGTCCAGTCCCACTGGCTCATTCGGTTCAATTTGCTTCCTTGGTTACCCTGCCTCCTTGGTGATTTCCTTCCCAGCCGATTGGTAAGGACCTAGGGACATAGAGCAATATCGACGCCACAAGGAAAGGCACCGTGACACTAAGGAAAGGGGGAACAGAGCCAACCCAATTATAGGCAAACCCACTGCCTCCGGGGGCCGTCTAAAATGCACATGGACTTCTTACGTCCCTCCTCGAAGAAGGGGAGGTCGCGCTTCTCAAAAGCCTTACCCGTCCCTCCGCCTCCGCCTCCGCCATATGACCCTCTACAAGTCTCTTCTCCGCCTCAACTTCCTCCTCCCATCTCAAACGACAGGATCAAGCAGCTCCCTTCGATTCCTCGAGTTCCAGTGAGGTCACCTCAAGTAACGTCTCCCGTCATGTCCGACAAGCCGTTGCCGCCACCGCAATCCCACAACCAGTCTCTCCCACCTCTACCATCCCTCGAGACGAAAGAGTTGCCCAGAATGCACATCGCCCGCCGTCCAGTCGCTAAGCAGCCCGCTCCGCAGTCAACCCCTCAACAACAGCAGCAGCAGCAGCAGCAGCAGCAGCATTCGCCAACCGAGTCTATTGGAAGTCTCTTGTCGGCATACTCGAGGAGTTCGGGCGAGTCACTTATCATGTCGCCAGATGGAAGTTCAACTCAACGAGACTCAGCCCCAATGTATGCCTCTGAACAGGACGGAACAAGACAGGCTAAAATCCTCACGCCCAACTCATTGTCATTCGGCGACAATGACGCGGCTTACACCAACTATGGTGCACAAAAGTTCACCTCAGACAAGAGCCTGCCGCCTGCTCCTGCCTTTGATTATGAACAGGGCCCACCTCCGCCAGCCAAATCAGGGCAGACGGCGACTGTCGGCAGTCCGACGAGCTTTGGGTCGGGCTCGCCACAGCAGCAGCAGCGGCCAATATGGAGGAGAAGATCTGTGAAATCGGATCGTAATATCGAAGTCTCTGACCTAAAACTGGCAGTCAGTCATGGTTCGACTGCCGCTTCTCAACCAAACACCGCACAACCCTCATCATATTCTGCCGTACCTCCCCCAACGCAACAACAATATCCCCCTCGTACTAGTTCTGGCTTGCCTGGTAGGAATATTCGGCCTGGACAGCATCAAATTTCTCCTCCAGCAGCAACTGCAGCAGAAGACGGAATGGGCCAGGAAGTGTCACGGTTGCGAGAGAAAATCTCGCGTCTCCGCGGTGAGGAAGGCGCGAACGTGGGAGCCTCTCACAGCGATACCGCCCTTTCGCCTACTCAACGTCTGCCGACTCCCGACTATGAGAAAGAGGATGTCAAGACGCCCGTTGTCGATACTGTTGTCTCACCCATCTCTCCAGCTTCCTCCCCCAAGCCCGCGGCTGACCAGGCAACGACCGAGGCCAAGCCACCCGTCCCGCGCAAGGCTGTTACGGAACGTAACATTCATAATGCTCAAAGCTTGCCTCAAATGCGTGCTGAGCAGCCTGTGACGAACAGCGAGGCACCTCCTACCATCAAACAGTTTCCCGTCAGTCCTCTCAGCCCCGAGTCGCAGGCGCAATTTCCCGCCCGGACCACATCAAATCAGCAGCAACAGCAGCAGCAGCAAAGAGCACAATGGCAGCCCACAGGTCAGGAGCATGTGCCCAAGTTCGCACAGCAGGGTGGCGACATGCGGCCTGCCTCTAGGGATCAGCGCCCACGCCAAGGTTCTGGCGAGTACCGCGAGCTGAGGGAGAAGGATATGCCGTCTGCCGACGCTCGCTCGTCCGCCTTCCCCCTGTACACCCCGGAGCCCCCCAGCCCATCAGTTGTCTATAACGCCCTCCCTATCAAGGACAGCATGCTTGACTGTTACGTCCGACACCGCGTCATGGATCGCACCCGTAACCGCAATTATGCCCTCACCTGCCAGACCTGCGGTAAGGCCGACACTGAAGATCGATTCAAGTGTCAATGGTGCTACGTGCGCATGTGCACCTCCTGTTTTAAAACATTCAACAGCAACCGCAGGGATCTCCGGAAGCTCCTTGCCCACCTCGAGGGCAACCCGCAGAGCAGCGATTCTCAGGGCCCGGCAGCTGCTCCTTTGCAGCCGAACGAAGCAGTCGCGACTGGGGAGCAGAAGGCTCAGCAGCAGCCAGTTGAAGAGCATCAGCATCAGCAGCACCAACCTCAGATGGTTGCTGCTTAATCATTTAACTTGATTACTTTCGATTCTTCCCCGCGCATGGACTAGGCATTGGACGGCTTTTTTTCTTCATTTTCTTTTTTCTTTTTTTTGTCAGGCAATTTCACCTAAAGCCCGATATTACGAATCACCAGGAAACCAAACCTCGTTTTGTGAGATTAGATAGAGAGATTGGATGGTTATACCCTTCTCCCAGATACCATGTTTGCGTATAAGTGGCGATGCCAGAGAAGAAGGAAAGGCACGCTCAATTCTTTTTGTTTTTGATGGACTATTGCTGCTTGCTCGACGCAAGGTCTGGCATACAACGGAAGCTAGATAACGAGACGAAGAATTGAAAAGCCTCGAGAGGTTCATATTTGATAAGCATTCTGAAACCCCGTATTCACTGTGTTTTCCGTGCATTGAGATTACGCGTATGTTATGCGCGCCCCCGAGAGATCTCAACAAAACCATGCACAAGCATGCCTCGGCCCGTCGTATGATGCAAAATAGCTCCGAGACCTACAACCTGTAGCACAACACAAGTCTGGGACATTAGCCAAGAAAGCCAGTCCCATTCAAGCCTGCAATCCGCCATACACCATATATAACCTACTCGTACCGAATTTCTTAAGGTTCCGGGAAGGTGGTAAGGGAAGGATGACGGGCGTCGGCAGCGTCCGTTCGCCCAAAAGTCGAGAGCGTCCGTCCGTACGCTAAGGGAGTCCTCATGCAAGGCGACGGGTAGACTTTCGACAGGTTCAAGTGGCCGCCGCCGAAGGTTTCTAGAAATACGTTACTTGGGTACTACCGTTTCCCGCAGCCCCTGGGCGCCAGCCAAAGTACCCTGTCAACTGCCGTTGGCTCCACCTATCCCGGGTGCGGACCCCCAGCCAACCCCCACACCGCAAGTACCACCCCCCCAAATCCCCTGGGATCAACATCAACACCGCCAACAGCAACTACACCTTCAGCCTCACGCAGCCTCCCGTAGCGATTTCTTTTCCCCCCTTGCCTTCGCGCCCGCACGCGGTGCTACATTAATAAAACGTCACGTTGAATGGTCAATTGCATGTAGCGCATTCAATCATGTCTTCGTCACTGGCTCGCGCCCGCTCGCTACGAAAACCGACGCAAGGCTCGACAACAGACCTCCCTTCCACCTCGTCGACCACCGCCCCGTCCCAGCCGCAACGCAACGCCTCTCCTAGTAGACTACCCGCGCCTCGTCCTGCAACACGCCCGACATCTCGTGTCGTGTCAAGCGGAAGCATCAATGACGCATCGGCAGCGGCAGCAGCAAAGAAGAAGCCGAATTTGATATCCTCGCTGCTGAGTCGGAGCTCCTCGACGCGCCAATCCGCAACACGCAAAGATGCCGCCGCCACGTCCTCCGTCAAGTCAGGCCCACCGAGCGCCCCAGCGACGCGGTCAACTGCATCAAGCCTCTCCCGAACGTCGTCGACGCGCGAGTCGGGGCTGACTAGGACTCGGCATCCCGCTTCCGCTTCTACGAGCACACTCCCCGGCACCACCGCGCGACCAACAACATCAGGCGGCTTGCCTCCCAAACGCCCAACACCGTCGACATCTTCCGCACCAGGCCACGCGCGCGCAAGGAGCGTAGCGACGCTGAACGGAAACACGGTTCTCCGACCACCCAGCCAACACTCCACGTCCTCTAGCGCAGCACCGAGATCACGTCCGACATCGATGTACGGCGCACCACCCTCTTCAGCAACAACGACAGCAGCAGCTACGACAAAGCGCCCAGGGTCGGCGTCATCAACGGCCACAGACCGTCCGGCATCAAAACCGTCCCTTACGACGGCGACAAGAACCCGAACCTCACCCACATCCTCCAAACTGGGCCCCAAGCCCACAGTCACAACACGCCAACAAGCGGCCTCCCCGACGTCACCCCCACGGAACAAACCCGTTCTCCGCCCGGCCTTCACAACCCTCCAACAACACTACTCCCCCGCCAAGTCCCTGGCCCCGAAGCCGTTGACAGCAACATACCTCGCCCCTCCCTCCCCGTCCAAACTACCCACCAACGTCGCCCTCTCCGCAGAGACCTCCCGTCTCCAGACCGAGCTGCTCCAACTCCACCTCCTCCACCGCGAACTGCCCTCGGTAACAAAACAATGGCACGCATCCGCCCGCGAGAAGCTCTCCGCGCGACACGCCGAGCTCGCAAAATCCTCCAGGGAACTCTCCGCGCTGGAATCAGACGCAGCGGAGCGAACCAACGTAAAGGCCCTGCACAACTGGACACAGGCCTCGAAACCCAGCGGCCGCGGCGTCATGGAAGAAAAGATACAGCGCCTGGACGCCCTTCTGACCGCCCTCTGGTCCCTTGATTCCCCGGGAGGCAAACATAACCGTCTCGTCCGGTCCTTTGAGCGCTGGGCATCCTCCCTCACCGAGCTCGAAGAGGCCCGCGCCAAGGCCGACGACGACGCGGACCCCTCGGCGCTCCTCGACTCGAACCTCGAGGTGCGGTTCGGCGGCGGCCTAGACGCGCGGTGGAAGGAAGAGTGTTTTGCGCTCGTCCGTCGGCTCGAGGGCTGGCAGGCTCAGTTGCGGGAGCTGGAGTATGTCCAAGAGGCGAACGACCACGAAGACGGCAACGAAGACGGCAACGACGACGACAACAATAAAGAGTCGCGCGTGTCGAGCCTGAAACGCATGTTGGACGGGTGCGGGAGCTTGATCAGGGATATGCTCGGCGAGCTGGCCGTCATGGAAGAAATCGAGGCCGCTGCCGTCGAGAGGGAGACGGAATGGATCAAGAAGATGAATAGGCAGGGAGACGATGGCCAGACTCGTAGAGATACCCCTAGGGCTGGTGCCGTTTGGAGAGTCATGTAAACAAGCGTGGCACCGCTCAAAGATAGAGATTGATTGATTGAATTGGGTCACGAGTTGTTTTTTTGTTTTGTTTTTTTTTGTAACTTGTAGATTCGTCTTTCTTGTCAAATACCAGCATCAGCGAAGAAAAGTATCGCGTGCAAATAAAAAAAACGCCCATGTCTCATTTGCTTCGGTCCCAGAATTTCGTATTTCTTGTTTGTGTGCCTGCTGCTGTTCATCTTTGCTCGCACTTCCCCCCCTCTCTACTCCCTCTTCCCTAAGACGTACTACTACCTCCTGCATGGTTTAAATGTACAACAACCTGTGTGGAAACCCCGATTTCTGTGCTTCCCTCGGGTTTCCCATCAAATCCACGTCTCAACCCAGCTCAAGTCGCCGTCCGTGTTATACTTCCACCAAGCGACACCTACAACGATGGCGGCCGTGCTCGTGGCCAGCATCCTACGGACAAAAGTCAACCTGTCAGATTTCGTGAGGAGTAAGAATTAAGTAAAACACAAAGAAAAGAGTAAATAAAAAGCAACAACCCCACTTCAGCCTTGGAAAACCAAAACAGGAGAGAAATCCTTACACCTTTCTCTTGCTACCGAATAACCGGCTGAATAGACCGCCGATCCAGTCAACGAAGAGCACGCGGAAGAAAGCATGAAGCCATCCGCCCTTGCGATCTGCGACGCTATGTATAGATGAAGGAGTCCCAGGGCGGTCGGCCGACGAAGATCCTCCACGCTTCTTGAGCTGGCCCTTGTGGCCCGCATCTCGCCCGCTGGTCGAGGCTTCCGAAGCAGTTACCCCAGGAGTAGTAGCATCGGAACTGCTAGGTTCGCCCGCCTCCTCAGGGGCCTGCACATTGATGCTGGGGCTATCCGGCTTGGGAACCTGCGTCTTGGGTGATATGTTTCCAGAAAGCTTGCCGTTGGTATTGCCATTAATGTCGGGAGAGTCTGATCTGGAAGACTCGGCACTCTTTTTGGACTTGGATGTAGAACCCTTCAAGACAACTCCCTCATCCTCGTCACTAGCAGGGAATGTGTAGATGTTGGGCGTTGGGCGCACGGCAGGGCTGGGAACTCGGACTGGGCCGGCATCCTCGCGGTCGGCTACGTCTGCGCTTGGCGTGTCCCTACCTTCTTCTTCAGCAATAGAGCCTAGAGATACAAGCGACCTGTCTGATGCCATAGAGCCGTGTGACTTTCTCGGTAGCTCAAGGTTCTTGCTATATCCCGGGCTTGGAAGTCCAGGAGAGAGCAGAACATCCTCTTGGGGCTCAATACTTGCTCTTCTTGAGTTGACGACGGGGGACAAGGGGGCACCATGGAAGCATGTTTGGTCTTCGTTGCGTCCAGTCTCAACCTTGCGTACAGCTTCCATGATGCCGTCTCGATTCGATGGCAATCTCTCAAGGGCCGGATCGTTCAAGTCGTACTTGTCGACATCGTAGTCTACTGTGCCGTGATGATCCGTCTCGTCGATATCGTCCTCGTCATCAGGTGGTTCGTAGGGACCCAGTGCTTCATGGGTAAAAAGAGGCGGAGGTCCATCGTCTGTGAGATCCTTGTCGAAGTCCTGGTAATGTCAGTTTCATCTTCTGATTACTGCCGCACAGATGCAATGAGCTTACTTGATCAGCGTCCAACTTCTGAGCCGTGTCGGCAACTTCAGCTGCAGTCTTAGCAACCTGCTCAATTGGCGTTGAAGAAAGGCGCTTCCTCTCCTCATCTTTGAGGCGATTCAGTGGTGCAAGTCGAGCCGTGTCATCTTCTGCATCAAGTTTCTCGGCAGTGTCGGCGACCTCTGCTGCGGTGTTTGCAACCTGCTCAATTGGAGTCGATGAGAGTCGTTTACGTTCCTCATCCTTTAGGTGCTCTAGAGGCTTGGGCTTTGGATCGAGTTGTGTGGTCGAGGCATCCATATTCGCGATATTTGTTGAACTAGCGGTGTTCTCCTCGTTTGTGTCCTGGCCATTCGATTTTGTACCATTTACTTGTGTAGACTCCTGAGATGCAGGGGCATTCAACAGGTTGTTCCGATTGCCAGCGTCGTCGGTCACTGCAGGGGGTCACGTCATGTCAGGCAAGCACAGCTGAAGTCGGACCAGGGTAGAATCATACCTGTGGCGGCATCCTCGTTAAGCACCCACCAGTCGCCTAGACCGACTCTGAACTTGTACTGGATCTGCGAGCTTGGCAAAACCTCGACCGTCTTAAAAAATGTGTGCTCTCCGCCCTCTTCGGTGGTGAACTGCATCTCTTGGGGCTCCCATTGTGGATCGGAGAAGGAGCCGGCGACGAAAATGGGCGGCTGCGTGCCGGGCTGGCGGTAGGTGATGGTAACGGTAACCATTGTTGACATTGGTTTCCGCAGCAAGGTTTACGAGTATTTGAGAACTAAACGAGTCGTCGTCACTTGGTCAACTCGAGTATTCGGGCAGTTTCCGGGCTGGCGTGGGCTTTTTGGGGCTGCCTTCTACGACACTTTCAGTCAGCCCAGATAAGGAACCTTTTCTTCGAGAGGGAAAGAGCTATGCGAGAGAAACAGAAATGGAAGCCGTCCCCTTGAAACCCACGATGAGGGTGGCGGATTGGAGGGAAAACGCTGACGAATGCGGCTGTCTTTGAGTGATACCTTGAGATGCTAACTGTGTGGAGAAAGAGAGGGCGTTGGATCATCCAGTGGAAAAAGAAGGTAGACAAAAAAGCTCCCGGACGAGACTCAATTCTTTGAGAGGAATCCAGAGTGGAGTCTCCAAGTGAAAGTGTTTCACGCGACGAGGAAGAATCGGGGGTTACGTATGTGTGCAAGTGAAACAGAGTTGAGGGAACGACCTGACTTGATGATGCAAGAAGGGGTTGGTGAACTTACCGCACGACGGCAGAGATACGCTGGGTGGACCGGAGGAAGGATGCCCAGATGCCCCCTAGGACCTGGGGACACCAAAGAGTGAGGGGAGCTCAGATAACAGGAAGATCAGCAGCCGGATGTCTAGCGTTTGGCGTGGATGGTGCAGCAGTTCAGAACAGGGAAGCTGCAGCATAGGAGGGGTTCATTGCATGATTATGCCATGGGTGCTATGTCAAAGGTTGGGAAAGCCCGAGGTAAGATGGGAGGGAGGGGCACAGTAAAAAGAGGTTGGGAAAGGTGAATTACTGTGTGTTAAGGCACTATGAAGGTCAATTGAAGCAGGGTATTTGCCTACCTACATCAGCTGAGGGATGTAGTGTAATGAGGCGAGATGGGATGGTCAGAGCAGACGCGGAGTGATGACTTAACAATTACTTTGGCAAACGTACTAGTATCTTGTTTAGTAGCAATATCACAACCTAAGGTTTGTGACGGCATATCTCTCCCCCACCACAGCTTCAAGCTTCGCGATTGTAGAGACATTTCCAGGCATGAGATTTGAGATTACAGCGCCTTCTTGTCGCTGTTGCATCCACTTTTATCGACGGACAGTTGCAATTGCACTGCACAAGAAGAGAAACTGTGATCACCCCGATGATTGAGCAACAACCACCATCAGCAGTACCAAGGCAATTACTACCCGAGCAGCGCCTGTCGGCATGCTTTTTGCGTCACCATCCTTATCCCTGATATGTCCCGAGCCCCAGAGTCGAGGGAACATGCCCATTGGCTGTAACTGCCCATGTATCCAAGGTACTGGGGACTTTCCCGTAATGCACGAGCCAGGCCCAGCCCCACCCCGCCGGGATATTCGTGGGTCTTTGAAGTGAGGCCCAGACCGAGACGGACACCGTCACCTTGAGGTCTGGGGTAGCTATCAGCCAACTCCATCATGCCACAGCACATGCTGTTTGGAATGGACAATCCGGGACGATGCATTGCAATCAAATTGCTATTGTTATCCACTGAACAAGAGCACAATCCCCTGTTCTATCAGGATGGACAGCCATAGCTGCCGACATGTTTTCTAGCGTCGTCTCTGCCACGCCGCGCACCTTTCCCCATGTATCTTGCTGCGTACTGCTGCATCTTATCGCGTGATAGCCAATTTAGTGCAAGAATTCTGAATACTTATTACTGAAGGATAAAATAATCTTTTAAAAGGCAATCGTCGTCACTGTGAGGCGCAAACTGGCCGGGTGGTTTCAGGTGCAAGCAAGCTCTGTGAAGTCAATCTCGTAAGCTGTTTCCAGGTCTCAGCCAAATCCTGGTTCCCTGGAATCCTCCGTCCCGAATCTCAAAGAGCATAAGCTACTAGTAGCTGTCGAGCGTTCAGGTCGCCTAAACCTCAAATCATGCGTTCAATCAGCATCTTTCTCAACCAAAGCATTGGCATCTCTTAGTGAAGCAGCTGTGAGCTGAACCGCTTTCTGGGGTTAGTTAATTCAGTGCAAGCGGGGCTCCGTCTTGCCCCAGTCGGTTATGGCAGCAACAGGCCCTGGGGTCACCCCCGGTCAGAAAAGCACTTATTCTGCCAAAGGCGGCGAGTCCCCTGGCCAATGACGTCCCCCACCGATAAGGCCCTTATCGGGCTGGATCTCGCAGTGCGTGCAATTATCCAGCGACAGGCTTCCAGAAAAATCCACTTCATGAAACAACAACATCATCACCGCATGAACTGTGACGTGGCATAAGCAAAAGACCCGAACCGGGGACCGCAGCCGCAATCTTCTTTAGCTCATCTATTCTTTCAAAAGCCCATAGCATAGCAACTACCATCCAAAACTCTATTCTCCGTCTCTACGCTACTTTTTTGTCACCATGTCTGCCCCTCCTCAACTGATCCACATCAAACGGAAGCGGGGCGATGAGGATGCGCCGGTCACCTACCTTCGTACAGCATGCTCTTCTGTATGTGTCCCGGAAAAATACAGGCTAACAAGCAATAGAACTTGAACCCGGGTCTAAACGACACTTGACCGGCAGCAGCTGGGTCTACCGGCGTCGCATAGCAGCTATCAAGTCCAGCTCCAGATCTGGCGCAGGCTCGTTGCATGGCCATGCCCAGACGAAACCGATTATTCAGACGTCCAAACCTGGCGACGAGCTCTCGAGACCGAACCGCTCTCCTACCAAGTCCGCGACCAGTCCCACGCCGCCGAACGATGTTCCATCCGCGAGCGACCCAGTAGCCAAGGGGCAAGCAGCGCCAGCGGCAGTGCCCCAAGAGCCGCAGCATCCTGCCAACCCTGTGACCGAGCCTAGGCGATTTCACATGTCCCGCTCCGCAATGAGCTCTCCAGGCGGTAGCACGATACTCAAAGCTGGTGGTGTGTCCAAACGGGGTCGGTACGGAACAGCAGTCTTTGTCGAGAGAGGGAAGAAGAAGACGGCGAAGAAACTGTCCGACAAGCTAGACACGAGGTCTGCTGCAGGAGCAACAGAGATTCCTTCCGCTGCATCTATGGACGTCGAAATGGGAGACGTCAAAACGCCAGCCCCTAAGAAGCCACTAGCTAAACGCCCTCCCCAAGCAGCTACTGCAGATGTAGAAGCACAGCGTAGACCAATGCCCAGCGTAGCACCTACCCAGGACATGAGTAAGATTGCCGCCGACATGGATCAGTGGGTACTCCACGAGATCGGACTAAACCTCAAATCGATGGAGCAGCATGCGCCGCCCCCAGCTGCTGCTTCGCCATCGCGGTTTAAGCCCAAGGCCCCCGTCAAGCGCTTTGCTGAGCGACACCCGGAACTTGCGAAGGAACTTGACGGGGGTGACCGTGACGAGTCCATGACTGACGCGAGCGACGGCGAAGATGACGACGACGATGACTATGTTATTGAGGTATACGAGCTGGCGCCCTCGAAGCCTGTCCTGGCCAATATCCCGCCCGAGCAGATTGGTGTGTTGCGGTTCGATACTCAAGAGGACATGGAGCTGTTTTACGGCAATGAGGATGACGATGATTCGGATAATGATGATGACGAGGATGAGAATGGTGAGACATACGCTTTTCAGCTCGCTTGTACTCCAGAACATGTCTGACTAATAGCATTGGTGCGCAACAGCGGAAAATCACTATACGGCCGACTACCCAGAAGACGAAGTGGATTCTGAAGACGAATACGACCGTCACGCCTACCTCTTCCGCAACGCCAATGCTTCGGACGAAGAAGAGTACGACTTGCGCAACCAAGAGGAGGATGAAGATGAAGACATGTACGCCATGGAAGGTGACGAACGACGGGATGAGGAAGACCTTTTCCAGGAGAAGATTCGACGGTATATCCGCCAACATGGATCGAACTGAGAACCTGTTTGTTGCTGCTGCTGTAAAACATGGCCTTAAAATGTATATAAATTTGATATCGCCCTTTGGGTGAGTATCTTGTCATTGGATAATGAGGGCAGCACAGCACAGGGGCACTTTTCTATGACTAGACCCAAGACCTTGGGGTCGAGCAAGTATTTGTTTGGACATCTGATATGTTCAATTGAAAATAGCCTAGCGTTCCATTCCCATAGCTACAATGGCAAGTTCGCCTTTCGTCGTGTTTCTCACGCAGTCTGTGCTTCTGTTCCAATAATCGCGTTTGGACGAGAATTTCATTCCTAATCTTTACCATCCCAAGCCCAATATGCCGTTTGTTCGCCCGAAGGGGAAAAAAAAAAGAATCAAGACCGTTCCTTAAACACCGGAAAAGGGGAAAGCGGAAAATGGGTGCGCCTCTCCCATTCATATGGAAGAGGGCAGAAAGAAGGAAAGAAGGAAAAGAATAAACAAGGAAAGGAAAGGAAAGACGCCTTCCTGATGCGAGACGCCGAATCACCCCCACTCTCTCATAGGTGGCTGCGAGATTGACATGTGGGGGGGAATGAATGCATCCCATATCTAGCATCAAAATGCTGTTGTTGCCCGGACGCCAAGTGATGAGTATATACTGACATGCTGAAAAGAAATGTGCCATGGGAGGGGTCATGAGGAGGACAGCCCCTCCGGGAAGAAATGGACTATTTGTTGCGGTGTTTGACCCAGGCTCACATGATGGTGCATGACCCGACAGTCCGGCCTCGGCGCCGACCGCCGTTACCACCATCCTCCTCATCGGCGTGGAGCATCTGGGCCTCTCGGGCGCGACGTCTGCGACGGCGGTGTCCAGCCCCAGTTGCGCCCGCCTCCTCGGTTGCCTGCATGTAATCGGCCCAGCGGCGCTCGAGGCGATTGGCCGAGGCGAGATCGCCGCGGAGTACACGCTTCATGTGCTCGTCCACAGTCATTTGAAATTTGTAGAAACATTTTAGGCTGATGGCCTCACTGGCAAATGCGAACTTGCCAACCTCGGCAACAGAGGGCTTCGACTGGGCATTACGGAAGAGGACCTCGCGGATGCCGGTCCAAGTGACGTTCTGGCAGTCGTAGACAACCATGTGCAGTCCAACCTTGGGCTTGGGCCTCCTCGCGGCGCTCTGCGAGCGGCCGCTCACCATGTAAGCGGCTTCGGCGAGGACTAAGTCGCTGATACGGGTGTTATCGAGGTCAATGCTCCTCAAGTTAACGCAGTTCTTCACCACGGGTAGTACACCGCTGTCGCCAAGATTCTCGCAGTAACTGATAGACAGGTGCTCCAGCCAGGGAGCACAAGGTGCCTTGGCCAAGTGTTCTGAGAAGAGGCTGTTGGTTAGATCTGCGAGGTCTTCGAGTTCGACGTGTGTTAGGCGCGGGGTGGATGCAAATATGGGCTCGAGGGCTGCGTCGGTCAATGCGGTGCAACCGGATAGTCGCAGTGCCTGTAAATCTGGAACATTGTATCCCAACGCCTTCACTCCTTGAGTCGTAAGACGAGCGCATCGGCTCAGGTCTAAATGACGCCATTTCCTCGGCGGCACCACAGGTAGGTCGGTCAGAATATCGATTTCGGGGTCTTCTCCGTGGACCATGATCTTAAGCGCGCGATCGTTGAGCTCTGCACAGCCATTCAGGACCAGCCTTTCCAGGTTGTTGGTCGTGTAAAGCATCTCAGCAACTTCCAAGTTGTCAAAGCCCCGAACTTCTCCAGCCCGAAGATCCTTCAACTTCGGGCACCCCTCGAGTACTGCCTTGATTCCTCTGGCATCCATGTGTACGCACCACGAGACGTTGAACGTTTCCAGCTGCGGGCAAGACTCGGCGATGATCTTGCAAGATATGTTAGTCACCGCGGTCAGCCCAGTCAAATTGAGATTGGCGAGTTTGTCATTGCTCCTCAACAGGCTGTGTAGAGTGTTGCGCTGAAAATTTCGGCATCCTTCGAGCGTAGCGTTGACCAAGTTCTTGCAAGCCTTGACAACCACCTCAGCCCGCTTATAATGCTCGACTTGGACACAACCTCGCAGGTTTAGGTCCTTGATGAATGGTCCAGCAGCCATAATAATCCTCGCCAATGACTCGGCAGGTATTATTTGATAAAACTCGGTTGCGTCAAAGCACGTCCACAGTTGCCCGTCAAAGCAAATCTTGTGAAATGTTTTGCTGACACGTGAAGTCCGCACCAGCTCTTTGGGAGACAGGTAGGAAAATATCTGAACCCGCATTTCGTGCGGCATATTCTCCCAAAAGTTGAAGTCCCGCTTAGGTACCGCCGGGTTTGCGATTTGGGTCTTGCTCGTGGTTCTCAAATCGCCTGGAAGCCCTATCGACTGGGGCCCAGGAGATTGGGTTGTAGGGATAAAGTTATCGACCCTTCGGATTGCCAGGCGGCCGTCGACACCTTCAAATTGAATTATTTCGCTGGACGGCGTCGGCGGTACAGAGCTCGAGGCACTGGCGTAGCCTGATGCTGTCGCTCCTGTGGGGAAGTAAGAGTCGCTACCAAAGGAGCTTCCAGCGGTTGATGGTCCCGCCAAGCTCACGCAAGAGATGTTCCCGCGGCCCTTCTGAGGGTTGCTATGTGACCTCACACGACCACTCCGCGAAAGTGACGGCGAAGAAGACATTCTTTGAATGCCACAGAGCACACGGTGCCGGCCTTTCGCCTTGTTAGTCGGTTCTGGGACACCAGAACCTTGTTCGTCAACCACCTCCATCGGGGTTAACCCCGCGGAGAATCCATTGGTGTCGGCCATTGTCGAAAGTCGTAAGAGAAGTCGTTGGACGAGGGTTCATGCAAACAGAAGCCGGAAAAAAATGCGAAGTGTCGAGCTCAGATGTACTATTGGCGAATAATTTTCACGTAACCCAAGAGCCGGCATTCAAGATGCGTAGTCTCTCGTGGCGCGGAGCAGTGAATACTGGAACTGCAACTGGATTTCGAAGATCCACTTCGACCCTTGCGAGGGCAGAGCGCTCGGAGTAGTCGGTGGACGGTTCTATTTCATAGTCGGCGTGTTTGGAACAAAACGTTCGAACTGAATCAAGAAGCTTATGCAACAGAAAAGGTCTCTAAAGAAGCAGATGAGACATAGGGGCGCGAAGAACCGGAAAAAGTTGTGGTCTTGAGGTGCTGCTGGAGGGGGGAACAGCACCCGAACGGAGGGGTGGGTGGGCAGGCCAAAGACTTGGATGGGGATCTGCTATCAGAACGGGTGTGAGCCGGCTATCGATAATGGAGGTCAGCAGATAGTGGGGTGTGGAGCCTCAGAAGGCTGGAGGAAGTAGACCTACGGGTTGGGGCGGAGCACATGGCACACCGAAGCTCAAGATATCATGGCCTGTTGGTATTGCGACAAGGTCACACGAGCAGTTTGACAAAAACAATGGGCGGTTTGTTTTAGAGATGGGCTCAAGTGTAAGATAGGGAAACTCTGAGAGAAGGGTTGAGGAGAAGAGGGTGAGAGAGTGTGTGAGAGGGAGGGGGAAGAAAAGGAAGAAGAAAAAAAGAAAAAAGAGAAGTAGTCGAATGGAAACACCGCAGACCACAACCAAGACTGTTAACGACTATGCCAGTAACCACACCACAGGGTAAAGGAAGGCTGAAGCTTAAAACGCGCTCAGAACGGATGCACAAAACGGCCCTCCAACCCCATCCAGACGGCGAAACAAGGTCCCTCCTTTCGATGGGCACCAATGGATCCTGGCTGGTCATACACCCACCAGTCATATCTGCCAGAATGCCCAAGTCCCCCCGTCTAGTTGATGGATCTTTGGGTCTGGAGTTGGCCACCGGCTTGAAGAAAGCCCCCCTCGGTTTCTCGGCTGCTTTGGGGCAAGCTACTAGCATGAACAGAAAATCCCGCCGCAAAAAGGTCCAAGTTGGCCGTTTCTGACCTGCCCTTTTAGCTGCCCTACTAGGTGCGGATCACTGGGCCGTACACACGGGGTTGTGGAAAGCTGGTCTAGGGGCACAGCAGCAAAAAAGAGGAAGTCTGGAAGCAGACCCCTTGATCAGCATGCACACAAAGATCAGTTACAGACAGGACTGGACCAGCCAAGCACACCAAGATCGGAGGCACACCTCAGCACCTCGGGCCAACAGCAGAGAGGCGAGAGACATTGGAGGTCGATACTGCAGCGGCGACCCAGTGAGTGGCCAAGAATGAATATCCACTCCTTCTGTGGGGCCCGTAGCCCCGACAAAAGAGCGGGCAGGTGGGGGAAAACGAGGGGAGAAGTCGAGGCCCGCCCGGAGTGCAGACTGGAAGGCGCTGTTTCTTGCCCCAATCATTGGAGCTTTAGTGAAAGGAAGTGGGACAGGATGATCCTAGCTCCACAGCGCACAGCCAGTTAGATCTCTACTAACTAACACCACAAACATCAAATTGAGTGAGAACATGACATGGACAGCAGGTGCACACTCATTGTTGTCTTCTTTTCGTGGCACCATGAGCAGCCGTCATCCCGCCAAATAGGTAGTCAAATGATGCGATGCAAGCCCTTAGAATGGACGGAAACGTAGGGGACCAAGACATCAGGGGACCGTTCAAGCTCCCAACGCTGCCAACACCGCCAGTTGCTACACGGATACGTGGGGGATCGGTCAACGACGCTACTACCAAACTTCGCGACAAGGCACGCCACGTTGATACTCTCTCTGTACGGCCAACATAGCACTACTGCTTTCCCACTGCTACTACTCCGTACAGATCCTCACCGCAGGGTCCTCCGAGCGTCTGGTGGTAAGCAGGGACCCTGGCATTCGAGCGTACAGGACCAACGAATCCTGTGCGCTTCCCAACACATGTCCGCCTCCTCAGCTTTGCTAGCGCCACGACTGGACCCTTAACTCTTGCTCCATCCACACTTGGTTGGAGTGATACCAGCCCGGGATCCCGCCCGTTTATGTCGGTTGTGAGACGTTTAGAGGAGCTCGTCTCCAAAATTCCCCAGCCTCTTCAACCGCCGGTGCGTCCTTCCGTCCACGCGCTGCACGACCGCGGCGTTTTGCGAAGGGTACTTACAAATGCTAGAGACAGCAAGATGCTTGTGCCACCTGGCTTGCACCTGTATCCATCTGATGTGGCAGAAGCCTGGGCGCCGACTGTCCGGTTCGAGGAAATCCACCCGAAACTGCCAGGAAACGGACTGACTCGCTGACCGACCGCTTAAAGGACGGGACGGTTGTTTCTCCTCATCTTTCTCTCGTTCACATTGGCTTGTGGACATTGTCTCCATTCAACGGACAGAACATAGAATTCGGGTATTGCTGCCTGAGAGTAACCTTTGGGGACCAACACCCGGTCTTACCTCTTTCCGCATTCGAATGGTCTTTGGAGAGGAAACACTTCTCCTCGAGTGGCACTGAATCCGAACTTTTTTGGTGGGGCTGACACTGCCATTCCCGCACTTGACGGGCGAACCTGGAGTGATCAAATCCGTCCTTGAGCCTTTCAATTTTTAGAGATCCTCGCCACCGTCATTCCTTGGAACTCACGGCAAGTCCACTAAGACGCAAGCAATGCGGATCCTAACCCACAGCTCGTCGGGTTTTCTAGGAGCCAGTTAAAGATAAAGCCTTGCTCATATGAAGCCGAGCCGGAGCTGATATTGATGCCTTTTGAGGCTGCACACGAGACTATCCCAGGCAGCCAGTGGCAGCCGTATCTGCAAAACCGCAACAGTATTGAAGACCTTCATAAACGCATTAGTGCTGTTTTGATGCTACGAGATCATCATGCTCTGCCATTTGGTCTTGTTGATAGCGTGCTGTGCTAGCGCCGACTAATACCAATACCCCTACACTTGGTGAGTCGGCTGATGCTGCTCATGCCGAAAGTCGGGAATCTGGTACTGCCACCATGACACATCATGCGACTTGGGTACAAGAGATTAAGGACACGGCTGCGATGAGCCACGCGACACTCTCTCCTAAGAGCACATGCTCTTGGCACATTGTGAATGATGGTCTTTTTCTTAGCATGAATGGCCATTTACCAATACCGCATATCGTCATGATGGATGTATATGGCATTTTTCCGTTCCTTCAGAGCAAACATCATTCTCTGGATAAACTCATGGTCTCTTGTCTCACTTTTTGAGTCAATGGAACCCTGCTTTCAGGGTCAATAGGCGAAAAGAGTCGACGTTTGTGAACGAATTGTGTGCTAGTAGCAAAACTGAATTGTACGTGGCGACAACCAAGGCAGTGATGGCTATCCTTGATCGCTTTTGACAGAATTCGCCAACCTCCTGGGAGCAGTTACTGCAAATCTTCCATCGACTTGACGATAAGATAAACACCCGGAAGCTTTCTGTCGGTGGACACCTCATCCACGTGCTACCCAAACCTCCGGGATCCTTATTTATTTTATTTTTTTCAGATCGCGATAAGATAAGAAGCTGTCATATGGTCCGGTCCAGGCATACTCACTGTTTAGTCATGGACTAATAGCAACAGGTTCGGCATCCAATCGCCAGCAATATGGTCCGCAAAGAAGCCAACTTGATAACTATTCCCGGAGCTTGTAAACTGTCGGCCGACCGTTGCTTGGATGAGAGAAACGCCACAGAAACCTGAGAACAAGCGGCGCAGCAGCCAGCCCGCCCTTGAATGGGAGTAACTGCGGGGTTAAATGGGCAGGTGGTGAACAAGCACCTACGTCGCCCAGATTGTATCAATCGCCATTTGTTATGGTTGTTTACGAAGCACTGTGTTGCTGAAGATGTTTGATGGTAATGGCGGGATATTCCAGATTGAAGAAGCATGGCAGCCCGCAAAAGCACGTTCGCGTTCGGTCCTGGGCTATCAATTTGAGTTTATTCCTAGGTACTCAAACGAAGGTAAGAGAGTTTCTTGGAACTTGGCTAGTTAGTTAGATGCAACCAAGGGTCTGACTGTGCGCACTGTATCTAGTGACGGTCCTATTTTCTTCTTGGATATTGAAGCTTGCAGTTTTGGCTGAGAGACAAGGGACGGTCAGAGTATCGTCGGAGCTCTGATACTCGTGAGCTCATGATTTTCACCTTCGTCACAGACACTGCTTGCTCCACATTGCCCATTCGCATGTTAGACAAGCAGACACAAGCCATCCACCACGGTCTTTTTTTTTTTTTCTTTTCTTTTTTCTCCTTTTCTCTTTTTTTTCCTTCTTTTTTTTTCCTCTTTTTTACTACCAACAGGTACCTCACAGCAACATAGAGCTCATGATGGTGTAGTTGCCGCACGGAGCCCAGCCTGGTTCTCGAGTTCGGATCCGCGGACTTGGCAGAGTTTTGCTTTTGGCTGGAGAACAAACAACCATGGTAAGGGATCTATTGGGTTGTGAAGTGGTGTTGTCATTAAGTGAGGCGGTAGACAGGGACCCGCCTTGTGTGGTTGGCTGGGTGGCCAGCGAAATGTTTGTTTTCTTTCCCGTGCCCATCAACGCAGTGCTTCCGCAACGATAAGATCTGGTTTCGGTAGGCGGACAGCGAAGTCGCACCCGTAGCGTAAGGCGAAGAGCATGCAGGACAGATGGCGTTGGTGTTGATGGTGATGCAATTGTCCAATAATCTGAAAAGATGTGAGCGACGATGACTTGCAAAAGCAGCTTACGGCTTGAACCAGCAGGTGGCCGGGCTTGGCTGCGGTGCTGTGACGTATCCCGGAGTATACCCAATCCCTTGTTTATAGTGTAGAGAGCGGCCCCCCGGGAGATTGGCGCCGTTCAGGTCCACCGGTGGCCGTCCAGCTGAGGAGCTCACTGCTTCACGTGTCACACTGTGGCAGGCAGCTTGGGGACAACAACAGCCATGCATTCAGTGGGCTTGCTCCCTGGTGGGCCCCCCACTTCGCATCCCTCCTCAAGAAAGAATGCTGCATAACACGCCTCCCAATCAGTGTTACATCCTCTTCTCGGCCCTGTAAGTCAAGCCTGGAACGGATGCTGTGCGCCCACCAGAAATTTGCTGTGATGTGCGGGTTTCTTGGGAGGGCCTTTTCTTGGGAACGAGAGAAGGGTTTTTTATGAGGCAGCTGGACACACCCACGCACACGGTGGAGGGAGGAGCAACGGACGGATGCATCTCAAAAATTTCGATCAATAGAGCAAGCAGAGTGGGTTTCAATCTTTTTTTTTCTTCCCTCTCTCTCCCTCAACGCCCTCGTTTGCCCTCCTCCTCCTCTTTTTTTGGTAATATTTTTTCATCGTGCAAACAACATTCCAGCTCTCTTCGACGATACCTTCTCTCCCAAAAAAAGTGACATCGAGCCTGAACTGCACCCCGTTAACCCTCCGTACTCCAACCACTCCCGTCGCCCGCCGCCATCGTCCGTGACGTGACGCCCGTTGTTCCCTCAAAGCTCCAGTCTTTGCTGTTTTGGCTTTACAAGGGCAACTTTCCAGCTGTCGAGGGCCCCCTCTCCTTCAGACAAGCATCTGCGGCAACACAGTGGCGCTGAACTGTCCTGCTTTCCCCCTCCCCCCAAGCTCTCTTACCTCACTGCCCCGTCTTAGGTCATCTTGAACAATTTACGACAACCCTTCTGAGAGGCCCAGACACACACACGTGGTGATTTTTCGGCGTGTAAAGCCAGCCACTCACTTGCCCGCTCTCACTCACTCAAATCACTCGTTCATCTACTCTTCTAGCGCGCTTGTCCACGGCAGAGAAGAAGCACAAAAGAGGGAGACACACACAGAGAGAGATAGAGATAGAGATAGAGCAAGAGCACTGCACACACAGCAGAGCGCAAGCAGTTGGTTCCGGTAGTAGCATCGGCACTGACTGGCATTGGCTCTCGCACTGGCTCTGGCTCTGGCATTGGCATTGGCATTGGCGCTTGCACTGAGGTGGCACTAGCACGGCAACGACTCACGTTCCCTTTCCTGGTCCTTCGGTGAACTGGGGCGGTCCAATTCCAGATCCAGATCCAGAAACAGACGGGGCTCACTGTCGACTGCCGACGGCTGCTTCTGTCTGCTTCTGCACCCCAATCTCTCCAACTGCTCTGTCGTCGGATCATTCCATCGATCCTACCCTTCCCACTTCGCCTTGCCTTGCCGTACAGGTCGAACCACCAATACAAGAGAAAGAAGAGGACATACCGTGTGAGGGGGAAAATAACGTTCTTTAACAGCTTGGATTGATCAACCAGCGAAATCTCCCCTTACTCAACCTTGTGGCAAACCTTACCCGCCAACCGATCCAGCCGATTTCCCTAACCTAGAATCATCAACTTCATCCACTGGACCTATCTTGGGGCATTTGCATTTGTACCTTTCGCTGCGACGGCCAGCACTATACCCCCCTCTCAAAGCCCAGTACTTCATCCACCACCATAACCACCACCACCTCCATCGGCACCACCATTTGCTCTCTCGTACGTCTTCAGAGCACATCGACGACCCGATCGATACCTACCAGACAACCTGACCTTTTACTGTCTCTAGACCCCGCCGAATCCGATCCTGCACGTCAAATCCGCTGCCTGCCCGCATTTATCCCTAAATATTATCCAAGTTGATTTGCCATTTCTTTTTCAATTATGCTACAGACGCATGGGGGACCTCACGACAATGGTACGTGATCCAACCACGCAAGCCCACATCTCGAATTTCGCGACCTGACCAAGACACACACGTGTTGCAGGCACCGACAAACATCACGATGAGCCGCGCGGGAGGAGCAGAGTCCCGACAACCCAGTTGCAGCTCCCTAAGAATCGAAGTACCGGAAACCTTGCAATCATGACCGACCAACCGGGCCGCGGCCGAATGCGCTTCTCCTTCGATGCCGGCTCTGTTGCCGAGAGCGATACGATGACAAGGTTGGTTTCTTTATTTTTTGATACACTTTGACCATTCCTTCCGGTAGGCCTGTCGAGCCCATTTCGAACGATTCGATCGATATACTGTATGGGGGCTCGCCAAGACCTGCGTACCTTGTACACGTTGGATTGTTCTCGCGAGAGTACGACGCGCAAAACACAGTGTGGGCGGCGCATCGGGACCTAATGAGACAAAAAGAGTGAATCCAAGTGGCAGCTGCAATGCGACGCCTGGCAATCATGCGTGGCTCAAGAAATTAAGGCTATACCCGTATTCAAGAACATTCATGGGCGGGGCGGTAGACCTGACGGCCGTCACGGGTGCTAGTGTACCACTCGAACTGTCACTGGGTGGCGATCGCACGATCACATGGCAACCCATAATCAGGCAAGGCATCGTGTTGCTGACAAGCCTTCTATAGCCACAGACCGTCCATCGTAACAGACCACGACCATGGCCTCGGCCTTTCTGGACTGCGTCGAATTCGACAACAACCCTCTTCGCGAGCTCCGACAATACCCTCGACATCAAATCCGGCCTCTAGAAGCTCGTCCATTGGACTGTCGAGATCGACCTCCATGACGATGTTGATGGCAAACGCTCCCGGCATGCCGTTCAACTCGCATCCGTCATCGCCCAACTTCTCCGAAGACCTCTCTCGCTTCCCGTCCGAGTCGTTACACTCATTTTCATTTGCCCATCAATCAGAAGAATACATACACAACCGCCAGAATGTTCTCAAGAGATCCATAGAGTTTATGAAGGACAGGATGGGTTGGTCCGCCTCATCCTCGAACATTGCACTTGCGAGCGCCCAAGCACGAGCCTCTGGCGACGTTGAGACGCAGAATATGTTGGATTTACTGGCCAGGGCACAACTCGTCGGCGCGGGTAACCTTCCGTCTCACGATCAGGCCATGACAGGCCCTCTTACCGGACCTGCACAAGTTTCCGGCGAGAACCTGTTTGACGCAAACTTCATCCCACGGACGTCGAGCCCCGAGCCTTTCCACTCTCCCAGCGCATCCCCTACTCAGACGCATTCAAAGGCTTCTTTTTCGAATAGGGAAGAGCCATCAAAAAAGGACCCGGAGGAAAAGTCGATGCCACCGACAGGCGACGCTGAATCTGAAAGCTCGAGTAGGACCCCGACGAACGAAAGCGGAACCACGACCAAGACGTCCCCGCCTCCGTCTCGCAGGCTCAGCTTGAAACGCACGTTGACAGATACACTTCCTGTTTCGGTCCACCAACAGTTGATGGACACCATGGCACAGCCATACTTGGCGGTTCATGAGCAACTTGCGTCTCCCACAACTGCACATCCTCTCTCTACAGGTAACATGCCCAGCGCGCTTGGTCCGGCTGTCCATGGTCACTCGACAAGATGGGTTCCTGCCGCGCAGGCCATTTTCACCACAGAATCGAAGCCGCCGTGGACGATTATTGCCGCCAACGACCTAGCTTGTTTGGTTTTCGGAGTCACCAAGGCGGAGGTTCGGCGTATGGGAATTCTCGAGGTTGTCCAAGAGGAGCGAAGAGCGTGGTTAGAAAAGAAACTATTACAGATGGATCCCGAAGACAGCATCAACGAGGCTGAAGATATTACGGCAGCAGCACCCGCACCGACTTCTTCAACGACCTCACTTCTGGGTGGCCGAGGGGGGATAACGGCTCAGCTTCTAAGCAAACCCAATTCCAGGTCACAGCCACCAAAAGCCGTTACACGCAAGGCACAAACCGTCCATAGTGGAGATCCTAACCCACCAAAGCCGAGAGGAGGCTCGCGGCATCAGAGCAGTAGATCCAGAGGAGTGTTGCTGTGCGGCGACGTGGTTCCCATTCAAAAGAGAAACGGGGCAACCGGTTCCGCGAGTTTGTGGGTAAAAGAGAAGCGGGTTGGCTTAATCTGGGTTCTCGAGGAAATCCATGAAGACGTAGCCATCATCGCACTTGACGACGAAGGCATCATTCAGAAGATTTCCGGAGCCACAGCACCGATATGGGGGTTTGAGACATTAAAACCTGGTGTGGATGTCGGGAAGCTGATCCCGCGCATTCCTCGTCAAGGTATCGATCCTCGCACCGGGGAGGTTGATTTTGCCCAAATTGCGAGGCGCAAGTTCTTCACATGCCCAAACCCGGCCAAAGTCAACATTCCATGCACCGTTGAGCAGGTACGGGGGAAAACCGAGTTACGAGTCTCGAGCTTCCCGCACATTGCAGGGATCATCGTCGTTGACCCAGAGAATCTCAAGATTCAAAGCTCCAACTCGGTATTCTGCGGAGCTCTGTTTGGGTTCGAAAAGCCCGATGGCATGCCCATTGACTCGCTGGTGCCGAACTTTGAGAAAATACTCCACATTCTTACAGAGGAGGATGGTATTCAGCTACTAGACGGGATTGTGGTACCAGAACACAGTTTCCGCCGGGCATCGGCCATCCTTGGTCTGCGGGAAAATCGTCCAGATGCCGCGGCAACATTCCTGCGGCCCGAAGGGTTGCCAGGAAAGCACAGAGACGGGTCGGAGCTCAAGATTGACGTTCAGATGAGAGTTGTCAGAAGCGCCAAGCAATCCACTGTCATTCAAGAGACGGTCATTGAGGACGAAGATGAGGATAAGGGCGGGGCGACCCAAGACGATACTTTTTCGGTTACCCATTCCGAAATGGTTTTCGCTCTCTGGATTACTTACTCCAGGCACATGCACGCCAGCAGATCCAATCTCGGCATGACATCGGGCTCAGCCTCTGGAACGACGACTCCCTTACATCAGCCATCGCCTGGACAGACGCCCGCACACACACCACTAGAGATTAGCTCGGATTCCGACGAACCCAAATCCAAAGAGACGTCGTCGACTGCATCCGCCATCACCAAACAACTCAAGGAAGTCGCAATGACGGCCGCTGCGAGGTTGACTGGTGTGCATCGAACCTCGGACAAGAAGCAAGAACAACCTTCGGCTCCCCGAGTTGTCGAACCGTCCCACAAGAAGACAATTGACGATTTTCAGATTATCGAGGACATGGGCCAAGGTGCCTATGGTCAGGTGAAGTTGGCCAAGTACAAGACAACGCAGAAGAAGGTGGTTTTGAAGTATGTGACGAAGCGACGCATTCTCGTCGACACATGGACCCGGGATCGCAAGTTGGGCACGGTACCTTTGGAAATTCACGTGCTTGATTACCTGCGAAGACCTGATCTCAAGCACCCGAATATCGTCGACATGGAGTCCTTTTTTGAAGATGATGTGAATTATTATATCGAGATGGCCCCACATGGCCTGCCGGGCATGGATCTCTTCGACTACATAGAGCTGCGCAGCAACATGGAAGAGGCCGAGTGTCGCAGCATATTTATACAAGTCGCCAAAGCCATAGGTCACTTGCACACGAAAGCGTTGGTGGTTCACCGAGACATCAAGGACGAGAACGTCATTCTGGACGGCGAGGGCCACATCAAGTTGATCGACTTTGGAAGTGCAGCGTACATCAAGAGCGGGCCCTTTGATGTGTTCGTGGGCACGATTGGTAAGCTTATTTGTCTTTGGCAATCGTGGCATAGGCTAATGAAAAAATTCCAGATTACGCTGCGCCTGAAGTTCTCGCGGGCAAGCCCTACGGCGGCAAGGAGCAAGACGTCTGGGCACTGGGAATCCTGCTGTACACGATCATCTACAAAGAGAACCCGTTCTACAGCATCGACGAAATCATGGATCGTGACCTCCGGGTGCCTTGGACGATGAGCGATGAAAGCATAGACCTGGTGCGATGCATGCTCAACCGAGATGTAGAGGCGAGATACGACATCAACCAAGTGCTCTCACACCCTTGGTGCCAGGTGATTGATGATGAGTGACCGACTTGGACGGTTTACGGCTGAATATGGAATGAAGGGAGGGGGGCAAGGCCTGTAGAGGCTACGAAACAATTTGGTCAAGATACCCAAGAGCAATCTTGAACGGCACGCCTTGTTATCAGACACAGCCAGGTGTGCTTAAGAGAGAGCCATTTGACGCAAAGAGACGAGTTTGTTTCTTTTTTTTTATTACTCTCTTTCTTCTGTCCCCCTTGTCTTTCTGATGTGATGACTTTGGGAGTGGGGGTGTATAGCATGACTGGAGGAGGAAAGGGGCTCAACGAAGGGAAAGTACCTTTGGTAAAGGGGAATAGGGTCTGCATGGAGCTCAGTGGCATTTCAGCGAAGACAGAATTCAATAGAAAGAATTGCGGTTTAGCAAACGGAATTGGACCGGAGACGGCGTAGTGCATAGGGAATATAAAAAACATTGACACCTGAGCTTTGATGGTATTGTGAAGGCAGAGACCAAATGGCGACCTATGTCTTTATGAAGGCGCACTTCTTTGACTGATGGAAAACAGGCCGTCTATATTTGGAAGGCGGGACCTGAGCTCGGGGCTTGAGAAGGCATCGTTTGTGTCATGCGGCATGAGGTTGCGTTTTCATATGCGGTTAAAACGCTGCCCCCCTCCCCCCTTGCTGAGCATTGTTGTCGTCCTCGTAGCATACGAATGAATGTGTGTTCCCTCGCGTGCTGTCTCGGCGTCGGCGTGAGGCGAGTATATAGGAGCCGCAATGTTTCCCGCCATCAGCCCTCTTTTCTTAGACATCGCGGGTCATCACAACGCGCTCAAGCTTTCATCGAGAACGCCATTCGACATCATGAAGCTCTCCCTCTCTTCGCCACTGGCCTTGTCCCTCCTCGCTCTGGCAGCCTTATCAAGCGCAGCTGATGCCCCCAAGCCCTACGTCCGCTGCAACGTCTGGAAAAAAGGCATCCCCTTCACCCAGCACTTTGTGCTTCCTCTATGGCTGCGCTATTCCGTCGAAGCGCACGACATCCCCGAGGGTGAAGACGTGCCGGCGCTCTGCAACAAGCTGTGGAAGGAACTGAAGCAGTTTGCGGGTAGCTGCGTCGTCAACATCGACAGGCCGCATTGCAAGGCCAACGGGCCGACGAAGTTGCAGTGGGATTTCAGTGTCGGGTTGGGGTGCAATACGGGCATGGTGCAGGCTGCTTGGTGGGATGCGGTGAAGGACCGGATGGGTTTGATCAAGTGTGTTGATGTTACATAGTGAGTGAGGGCTGGAGTGTGTGGTGGTTCCCACGGTTGATTTGCTTCAGTCACATGGGAACAGACCTTGTTCATTTCCTACGGTTTTTTGTTTTTTCGGGACGATGGAACATTTGACGTGTATATTCAACTCATTTGGGTTTCTGTGAGCTGGTTAATTAACGATTGAGTTGAGAATCAGGACTGAATACGGATACAAACTTTCTGGGTTGAAAATTTGGCATCGGCACTCCATTCCAGGAGGGCGCCCTTCAGATCTCGGCCAGATTGACGTTCGCTCAAATGCAACCTTTAACTTTATAAAGCCAGCTTATCGATAGGTCCCAATCCTCCAACTGCAGTACACCATCACTGACTGACATGAACTGAAATGTGTGCAACGGCTGATGGCGGGGTAATGTCATTGGCAGGCCGCGAAATCGAGACTGGTCCCGCTACCCCACTTCGTTCGGAACCCACCCCCCCCTGCGTGCTGCCCCTCCTCAGTCCCTCTGCTCTTACCTCACTCACCTCAGGTACGGCCTACTACGTAGAGCGCTTCGGCTTGGCCCAAGCTTCCCCCAACTCCTAATTAGTTGCTCACCAGCCACCCTTCAACTAACTACATCTCACCGATCATCAGTTTATGCCAATCATTTGTGGCTTGCAGGTTGCCGGAACTTGATGTGAATGTGAGTTCCGTCGCTTCCGTCCTCTTGTAGGTTAGTAATAACCCTGGTCCAGGGAGTTATCGGCACACGATGAGAGCCCTCGATGAAGCCCAGTACGTGCGAGTCACATCATCACAACCACCCTGACATCATCGTCAGCGACTGACCCGTTCTTCAGGAAACGGTGGGCCGAGACGTTGAAGTATGCTGGAATTCTGCCTGATTTGCAACGCGCGGTGAAGTACAATGGCCCGTCGAGTCCCTGTATCTCGGGTTGCAGGTCGGTGTGCTGGAAGGTCTGTATTCCCTCAGTGCCGGCCGCCTCAGGTGAACCCCCAAACTGACGACTACACACCTCCAGGCTTTTTTACTCTTCCAAGCTGCCGATGTTGCAGAATGGTCACAGCACAATACCGAATCGCGCAACTACTACTCTCAACAGCGAGATCATTTTCTGAAATTCATCAAGCATCCTGAGGAACTGGCCAAGGTGGCCGTGGATCCATTGGCCGATGACCCCAAAGTTAGTACTTACCGAAACCTGCTCTTCGCCCACAAGCAGCTCATGCTCCCATGTAGTCACCGTGGAACACTGTTCGCCAGGATGAGATCATCAGGGCAGAAATCGCCCAAGATGTCCGTCGACTGCCAGACGAGCCGTTCTACCACGAGGAACGAACCCAGGCGATGATCATTGATGCTCTGTTTGTGTACTGCAAGTTGCATCCGAACAGTGGCGGTTATCGTCAGGGTATGCATGAGTTGCTGGCTCCGATTGCCTATGTTGTTCATCAAGACGCCCTTGACCGCGAGGCGATCTCTTCGAGCGGCGTTCCCGTCGATGAGACAATGCTTACCGTGCTCGATTCATCCTACATCGAACACGATGCCTTTGCAATGTTTTCAAAGATTATGGAGAAAGCCAAGGCATTTTACGAGGTCCAGGACTCCATTTCCAAGGCGGCACTGGCGTCCGCTTCCAGAGACCGGGTGGAAACTTCGGCCATTGTCGAGAAAAGCAAGTACATTCATGAGGTGTGCTTGGCCAAGGTCGACCCTGAGCTAGCAAATCACCTGAAGGATATTGAGATTCTTCCGCAAATCTTCCTGATGTAGGCGACCTTGAGACCTCCACAACGACAATAACAACTACTAACAGCCACCATAGTCGCTGGATTCGCCTTCTTTTCGGGCGCGAATTTCCTTTCGACCAGCTCCTCGTGCTTTGGGATACCATGTTCGCCGTCGATCCCTCATTAAGCCTGATAGACCTCATCTGTGTCGCCATGCTTATCAGAATACGCTGGAGTTGTTAGTACGCCCCCATCGTGCGTTGTTGCCCCTGCTAACGGAGTACAGTGCTTGAGGCCGATTACTCCGTTTGTCTGCAGTTGCTGCTAAAGTACCCAGCACCAGAAGCTCCTCATGGGCCGCATACGTTCGTAGACGATGCAGTCTACCTCAGAACTCATCTGAACGTGTCAGGTGGCACATCCCTCATGTTGAAGTACACGGGCAGGGCACCTAGCACGCCTGCGTCGGCGAGTAGCTCGCGACCTTCGACGCCGATGGGTCAAGCGTTCTCGTCTTTTAGAAACCGAACCAAAGGAACCCAATCACCAATACCCTCTCCGGGACGGTTCATTCAGCAACAAGGCGGCGTGGAAGCTCTCTTCCAAGGCGCCGCCAAAGGCATGCTTGAAAGAGGCGAGAAGCTGGGCATCAACCAAGCCGTAAGGGATGCCATGGGAGAGTTCAAACGGAACATGCAGGGTCTCAACGAGGTGCGCTACTCACCTCGCACAGTGAGGCAGCTACTCAGCGACGAGACGGCGGCACAGGCGGTCGCTGCAATGGAGAAGAGAAACAAACTGCTGGCAAATATGCTGGAAGAGACGGTCACTAGCCTCAGGTCTTTAGCCACTTCCGACCTCGACAACAAGGTCAAAACGCTGGAGCTTGCTGAGGTTGCCGCTGCCAAGATACAGTTTGTCAAAGTCTACCTTGAGGATTCGACGATCGAAGTTCCGGACCTAGAGAGCATCTCAAGCCCGCCGCCTGAAGAGGTAAAGGATGATGTTCCGATGGATATAGGACCAGATGACAGCGCCGTGCTTGGAGGCACGACAGCGACGGAGAACGTCGCGAGAGTTATCTCAACGCTATCGTTGGCAGAAGGAGGAAAGTCAAAATCACCAGATCCGCCTTCGCAACTGTCTGACGCGATGGAAATCACGCAAGATACCTCATCAGGACAGACATCTCAACAACCATCGGTGTTGGTGTCAACCACATCTTCGGAGAGTTCCTCGCCAAAAGTGAGCCGACCTCAACCGCCGATACCGACACGATCGACTCTCGCACAATCTTCATTCTCGTGGATGCTCGAACCAGACCAACCGGCACATTCAGCAACGCCGCCGCAGCTGCCAAAGGCAACATCGGGAGGCAACCACCGCAAGCGACCATCGGGCAACATCAGCAGGGAGCGTAACGCATTCCTTTTTGGCGAGGTATTGGCCGAGTCGGAGGACCAGAGCAAACCTGTCAAGTCAGATGATATATTCGGACTGCAGCCAATAAGCAAGTCCAGGTCTCCGTTTGCATGATGTACATGATACACTATTAGAGTTGCAGATAACGTTAACGATGACAAGAGCTGTCGTGGAAGAAGCAAGATAATGACGGGTATACGAGTTGCAGATCTCGCCGAGTGTTTGTAGACCGAGGACTCAGAGTCTGACAGAGCATAATTCCATGATACTGGTAATTGTCCCCTTTGTGCCCACATGTCTAGTGCATAACCTAGGAAACTTGTAGTTCATCTAGTTCCTTTGCGTACCCTTGGTCTTCCCAACGCAACCATGGAACCCGGCATTTTATGTTGGAACCTGCCACGAAGTGTGGGTGGACTCAAGAGGGCTAGCAGGTGCATGCAATGTGACAGGCCATGGTCAATCCCATTGCTTATACATGGTTGGACAATAGGACCTCGCCTGACTTTATGGGGAGGAAGTAATGGGCCGAGGTTCTAAGGCGACACCCACATACCAAAGTCCCTTTCATTGCCTTTTTCTTCACAGCTTCGTGTCTTCTGCCGCCGGCGTACAAGGCTTAGAACGGCTCGCTTGTGGCTCTCCCCCTGCTTTGGCATGATCCTTTAAGGGCTTTCTGAGTTCCCGCAGACCATTTGTTCCTCGTTAGACAGAAACCCCCCCCCCCCCCCCCCCCAGCAAGCCAAGGTCTGTAGGGATTAAGGCACAGACGAGCAAGCCACTTTTTATGCGTCCCGTGTTGATCACCGGAACTGGCAGTAGTCTCCCCATACGTCTATCTACCCAGGCCGCCTTGTCCAAGGCAAGCATTGCCGCAGCTTGACGAGACGGTAAACCGCCAGTTGCTGAACGAATCCTTCGAGAATGCTTCCATACTGGCATCACAACAATCATCGACGCGCCGTCTAGTTGGTAACACGCCGCCCCACGCGGATTTTCCCCCAAGCCATCTATCCCTACAGATAGAACCCAGGAAAATAACACAACACGCAGAAAGGGCGCCTTGCATCGCCACTCTCGGACCAACAAAGAACAGCTTCCTAGAGAAGCATTTGTTTGTGTGAACAACAGCAACCGACTTCAGGCATGTCAAGGACCCTTGTCAGCGGAAAGCAAACATGCAGCAATCACCACCAACGTCCCCACCTCTTTCTTCATGAATCCGCTGCAAAGCCTACGCAATAAAAGCACTTTTGGATTCTTCATGATTGCAGGGGGGTTGGTCCACTTCCAACAAAGAACATTTCGTCCCGGAACGCGCAGTTATCTACATGGTAGACAGGGGTTCGTCCCAGGTTCAGGAACCCGTACACTTGACAAGCCCTTGATGTCTACCAAAAACCGTTACGTGGCGTATCTGTTCCAACGGCTTCGCACCAAACTTGCGCCACATTACTTTGAAGAGAGAACAACTCCCAACGGCGCGTTGTCAGGATTTGTGTGAGCCACACCACAAACACACCCACCACCTCCTTCATCTCTCTTCCCTCCTCGGGACCCTAGAAACAGGGGGGAGATATGTCACATAGTTTCTCCAATGACAAACTCTTTTCTCTTTCCAAGGCAAGCAAACAAGCATGTTACAAGGGGGATTAAATAAAAAAAAGGAAAACCAAACCAGCCCTTGACCCTCGACCCTCTTTCATCAACAACAGCAACAACTACACACCACCACCACAACCACAACCATCACCCCCTTGTTCCCAGTTTTCAAGACTTGAGATCCTTTCATCTCTGCAAATCCTCGTCCTCCCAACGGTCTGTCACCTTTCATCCACATGCGCCACCAACAACTGGAGCTGGCGGTCCCAACAGCCTGGTTCGCAGCGTCCCCTTCTCGGACTGGACTGCTGTGGGAGAGAAAAAGTGGAGATTGAGAGATCAACAGCACCACCGCGCATCTCCACCCACGGCCATACCGTCACGATTCTTCATTTCTCCATCACTTCCTACCTCACCGATCCTCTCCACACCAATCCTTGGCCAACCCCTGTCGCTCCAGTCCTGGCCTCCCCCCCCCCCCCCCCTTGCCTGGTCTTCTTTGGATCTTTGGAGTTTCGACAACAATGATCAGCCAGCCAGTGGATTCAACCTGTTCCTGCGTCGAGGGAACAAAGCTGAGCTGCCCCCCTTCAGATGTGATGTCCTCTTCACTCGTTCCCCCGGCTGTCCGTTTTTGCTTGCCCTCTTCTATCTCACACACCACCCCCCCTACTAACCGGTAAACGCCACCAAGTCTGCCTCTTCCCTTCCCTGGCCCCCTCCAAACGCCAATCCAGTCTCGCGGGACCGCCGCATCACAATCGCAAGCTCATATCATCCGTAGCAACAACTAAGCCCCGGAACCACCGCACCACAATCATCATCATCATTGTCATCATCACCTCCGGGCCTGTTTCCCCCCCTTGACCTTGACCTTGACCCTGACCCTGTGAAAAACTCAAAAAGAGCACACAATTCGACCTTCCTGCCGTAGGCGCAAGGACCATCGATCCCATCTCAAAGCCAACCCAACAACAACAGTGGGAATAGTTGCGGCCCACAAAATAAAACGCCCTGTCTACGCACACATGACGACGTAACCACGAACAAACGTGCAAACCCACCCGCAAGCTCTCTCTCTCTCTCTCTGTCTCTCTCTCCCCTTTCACACGAGGCTATGTGAACACGGCAGCCCCCGCAAGAGAGACGACAGATGGGGAATCCGTAGTTTGGTTCGCGGCAGAATACACGTAGAGCAGAGTAGAAAGATAATATACAAGTTTCAGACGTCAGCAGCGCAACAATTGGTTGTGTTTTTTTTTGTTTTTTTTTCGTTTGGTTTGTTGGATTGACAGTTTCCCCCCCTTGGTTCCGCCCTTCAGGTGTGGATTTGTTTATCCCCTTATCTTCAACGTGACCGAACCCCCGGAAAGATATCCGGGGGCACACACACACACTCTCTCTCTCATCCCATCCCATCCCTCCCTCCCTCGTTGTTTTCCAGTAAGCAGGAACAATGGGGGGGGGGGGGGGGGGGGATGAAGGAGAGAGAGGGACAATGGGTATTACAAAGGATCCATCCAGCATACGCAAAAACCTCTCTCCCCCACCCCCCAACCCCTGGCCAAACCCCCCGCAAACTCACATCACGGTCCCAAACCAGCGGTGTCCTTTTTTTTTTTTTCTCTTTTTTTTTTAATATTCCAAAGTCGGAAGGGGGAAAGAAGAAGAAGTAGTAGCAGTACCTGAATCGTAAGGATTTCTCGCCCCTTCTGACGCAGCAAGATTCCCGTGTGTAACGACCGACGTAGTCACAGCATCTCGGTTCGTCTCGCAGGTTTTCCGACCATCGGGCAGACAACTTTGGAGGCCTTTTGCTTTTGCCTTTGCTTTTGCTTTCTTTAATAAAAAATCTTTTTGTCTAAAATCTACTATTATTCTTAACCCGCTCCCCCCTTTGCCCAGAGGGGCCGGGAGAGGATCGTTTTTTTTTTTTCTTCTTCTTTAGTTATATACACAGGGTAGCAACAAATGCTCATCCCGACAATGACATGAACAACAGCTGGTGTGTGGAGAATCCGGTCCCCCTTCCTTTCCACTTCCTTTCCACTTCTTCTCCCCCATCCTTTTTCCCCCTTCCCGTCGAGTCCTCTCCGGACTATCCCAGTTTAAACCAATGCAGATGCAAAGACAGGCCAGGCACTTCGTATATCATCATAAAAACCCTGCTCAAGTAACACCTTGTCGGAGGCAAATAACAGTTACTGTTTGTCGGGTTGACCGTAAAACAAAACAAAAACCAAGAGAGATAGCGGTAAAGAAGGAAAGAGAAAACAGAAAAAAGAAAGTGGTCATTGTTTTGCCTATTCGGCAAACAGACCGGCAAAGCCCCCCGCTATTCGCCTCCCCAACGCGCCTGGTATCTCGTTTTGCCCATGACACCCCCAATATCCCAGCCAGAACACATTCAACTCCATGTCATTTCATTCCTGCGTTCCATGTCCAATCCCTATCCTTTCCAGTCAAGATCATCTCAACTGTTCCAAAGAAAACACCGAGAACAAAAGTGGAGAGAAGAAAAATAAAAAAGGAAAAAAGAAGGGTTGGTCGGCGTTGGTAAAGGTGCCAGCCCCCGTTGCCCCGCGCTCCAAAACATGTGTCCCTGATGGGAAAGAAAAGGGGAGGCGAAAAATAACAGACCAGAAAAAAAAAGAAAGGTTGAAACTCCTTTGAACCCCGGTTTTGATCTCTTTGCTGCACTCTTTTCCCCTCTCCCAATCACAGATCATCATACACAACTGGAGACGCTCCACAAGGTGTTCTCCCGGATTCTTGGGATTTCCTTCTCACGGGAAAAATTGACAAGACGGGATTGGTTCCTGGAGAGATTACACAATGACAGCCCTGGTTTTTTGTGTATCCCCTGTTTTTGATCTTGTGTGAGGGGCCCCTCTCCCCATCCTCGTGTGATGTGTTTACCTCCGCTGTAGTGTAAAATAAACAGACGAAGAAGAATGAAGAAAAAGGTATTGGATATCAGTCATGAGAAGGAACAAAATTCAAGATAAGAAGAGAAAAGAGAGAGGGAAAAAAAAGAAGAAGAAGAAAAAGAGAGAAAATCGAAGGCTCAAAGCCTGCTGTTCTGAATGGCTCGCCTGCGTTTCTTGCGCTGCTCTGCGGCATCGAGCTGTGCTTGTCTTGCGCGACCTGAAACCGACTGTTAGCACCCAGTAACTCGGATCTGCACTACGAAAACCTACCAATCTTATCGTACTGCCTCTTGTGCTCCTCAGAAACCCAAGAGTACGTAATGGCTCGTTCAGGGTGCATGGCCAACAGCCCGATGGAGTTGTTCATTTTTTTGCCCTGTTCCCGTACGTCACACTGGAAGGTCCGGGGGTTATCGTCCTCGTCAAAGATGAAGAGGTTGTTCTGGTCCGTGGCAGGGATTTGCTTGTTCTTGCGGTAGTACACACCCTGCAGTCCTTGAGGGCCGCGCTTGTGACCCTTGGCCGCGTCCTCAGGGAAGACGGAGGCGTATTTCGCCTCGACTTCTTTCCAGGAGAGGTGGTGGTCCACACGGAAGTAGTCAATGAAGTCGACCTGCTGAATCGTGTACTTCACGTTGCAACGGGAGCCCGTGGGCGAGCGGCGAGGACGGCGGTTAGGGCTGGAGCCTCCTGTGCGCATGGTTACGGGAAGCCTCTGCTGAAGGCGGCGGCCGGGTGGTGAGAGGGGATGGCTCCTGTGGGTTGGCGACGGGAGAGCATCCGGATAAGCCATGGGTGGGATGGGCATGCGAAATGCTGTGGGCGACGAGACGTCGATGCGCGTTTCCGGAAATGAGCCTATGGACTCGAGACTTGTGCGGCGAGGTCCGTTGAGCGAGCCCATGAAGCTTGAGCTTGACGGCGCGGAGGGGAACTCGGGTTCTGGAAGCCGCAGATCCAGCTCGCGAAGGCGCGGGAGGGTAATTTGTGAGTTGCTGTTGCCGCCGTCCTTGCCGAAAGATAGGTGGCTGTTTACTGAAGGCAGGTCCGGTGATCTAGGTTCTGGAGAGGAGAACTGGGAATTGGTTGACCTCGTCATTCCTGGGACCGGCGTGAGCCTCTGCTGATAAAACCAATGAAAAGCTACCGGGGAAAGTGGTTCCATACCTTCAGACTTTACCGAGGAGAAGCTTTGGGTTGGAGAGGGAAGCGTGGGCGATTTGATGTTGAAGGAGGCCATAGAGGCGAGGGTCGTTGCGACTTCCACCTCATGGCGAGGGCCTCCCGAGGGTTTCGATTCGTAGCGGGCATCCACGTCCATCCTGTCGTCGTAGCCAAAGGAAGAGAGGCTGGGGAGAACACGAGGCACGTCGTCGTTGCGAGCCTGGTTGAAAGTGTTGGGCGGCGGCAGCCTGTTCATGTCGTGTCGGTGTTCTTGTAAGCCAACAAACATGTTGTCTGATATTGTTGATGAGTCTCTGGAGTGTCGAAGAGGAATACTATGTGATCAAAGACACAAAAGCCGAGGACAGAAAGAATGGCCTGGCACTTGCGGAGATCTTATCGATGAAGAATGGTGAAGGACTTTGGGGGCGAGGTATGTGGTTGATCGGGTTGGGAGAGACGAGACGAGTCATCGACAACGGGTCAGACCCTGATTATCAAGTTCCCGTGTCCGTGATGGATCTATGTCTCTGTTATACGTTTTTTTATTCCTCCTAGGAAAGAAAAGCTAGCCAAGACCCTGGTTCGGGGACGGGGGTTGAGGATTGAAGACCAGGTTATGGCTGTAGCTCTAAGCAAGGGCCCAGGGAGATCGGGCTCCGCCTGGAGGCTTCTTGACAGCGAAAAGCCGTTTCTTATTCTTCGGTACTAGACAGTGTGCAGACGCAGGCCAAAGGGTAGATCCATAATATGTATCCTGCATGTCGCCCAATCTGTCGAGTCCTAGGCTGGCGCCGAGTGCCCCTCCTCTGGGGACACGACCCCGGTCAAGATAGGCCATCCATCTCCCCCCTTCTGCATTGTGCATTGCGTTTCCTTACGAAAATACCTTCGGGTGCGCCACCTACTTATGAATGGGTGGGCATGGGGGGCGGGTAGCAAACAAGGCTCTGGCCTGTTTGGGAATGACGAGGACGGGGATGAAGAGCAAGGCATGCAAGCAAGAGAGAGAGGGAAAAAAAAAAAAAAAAAAGGCTGCGAGACTACGAGACGGGGAGGCGTGGGAATCCAGAGTGAATAGAAGGACCAGCGCCCGCAGGTCGGGGGGGTCTGCAGGTTTGCAAGGGAGAGTTAACACAGTCGACTTGTTCGAAATAGTCGAGATGACGGTGCATAATGAAAGGACGGATAGTGAACACTGTTCAGCAGGCAGTGGTGGTGGTGGTGGTGGTATTCGGGACTGCTGCACAGTCGATATTCTCCTCCGAGGGCGCTAGTCTTAGATCGAGCTGCGCGTCACAACTGGTGCGTGAGGTCGTAGTCGCCCGGGGCCGAGCTGCGAGGTCCACTGTCTTGCGGACGTAGCAGAAACGAATAACGAACAACTAGGTATCGACTGGGGACGCCATGGGTGTGATTGTAATGGTGGGGATACGCCAGCCCCAGAAGGGGGATGCGTGTGTCTGCAGGTGTGATGAGGGCGAGGTGAGAGCGAGCTGGAGAGTAGCAGGCCAGGGGTGGCCAGCAGGCCTAGGAAAGGTAGACATGGCATGTATATCATGTTGTGCTGTGTGCTTTTGTTCTGCCTTGTGCTACCCCAAGTCTCATTTGCTGTTGGACCAACATGATGTTGCTATTGGCTCTTTCTGGGGGGTGGCCCCCCAAGCCTAGTCGAAGATGAATGTCATAATCTGGTTGGAGTATCGCTGTCCCGGAATTCTGGAAGCGAGCGTAATAATAACAACAATAATAGAAGGTGGCCCTGGCCTTCAATGTGCACAAAGTATTAATGCCTGTCCAGTTTGCCCAACATGTTGCAACTGTTGTTGTTGTCGCCGGTATAACAAAACGGACCATGCCAGTGATGATTGTCAGTCGCATAATTACGATACCATCACGTTCTGGATGCCTCCCAGTCGCTACCGCATGTGTTTGCAGCGAGAGCGTGACCTGTTTCCCCAGTGTTAGAGTCGGTGTGATTCTGCATCGCGCTCGCTGCGGAATGGAACGCCCTCTCTTTGGCCGCCCCCCGCCTCTCTCTCTCATTTCCTCTCCTCTCTCAACGTCTCTTTTTCTTCTCTCTCCACACACACACACACACAGACATGCATAGCTGCAAACCCAAATCTCGCAGACAACCCCCTCTCGTAATAATTCAGGTTTCTGTCTGAGATACATTTCTGATTTGAGAGAGAGACACATATCGGTCCCGCTGATGGAGGGGATCGATAAATGGCCGCCGATGGATGGCCACGCGGTAGTCGTCGACTGCAGCCGCCTTACCGCCGTCTGTCAAGGATTTAGGAAGACGGTTTGTGGGGCCGCCGTTCTGCCTGGGCCCTCGACCGTCCGTTCGATTGCTGCGGGGACCGCCCGACGAGGGTGGTAAGCTGATGAAGAGGTGGTGGGAATCTCTCTGCAAGGCCAACGTTGACAAGGTTGGGTACGGTTAGGTTGTCCTGGACAAGGGGGGGAGGGGTGTTCCTTGGCTGCAGTCCGTTGTACCGTAATTTGCCCAAGGTCACCATGAGCGCATCTGGATTTCCAACATGATTCGAGTCTCAGGAATAAGAAAGCGCTCGCCGCCGCAGATTTCGATGGCTAGGTGACGGATGGCGGAACCGAGCCCAACCCCTACTCTCCACACCACACACAAGAAGCATATCTAACGGCCTTCTTGTGGGCTTGTGGACTCACTATCCGCCGCTCTCCGCCTTCGCCTGCCTGCGCCATCGAGCCTGTCGCCGACTCACCGTCTGGACAACGAACCCCAGATTTCTTCTTCCATTTCTAAACAGGTGCCCTGCTTCGTCTGGACTCTTCACTAATTTACCTCAAAGCCACCTCAAGCGCGCGCTGCTACATTCAGGGATCACCCTCCCTTTGCCAAAGCCACGCGACGATGGCTGGGCGAGTATGAGGTGCAGGAGCGTTCGCCACGATGCAATTACTTGTTTCTTTTTTTTCTCTCTCCTTCGGTTGGCCGCCGTCTCCTTTACCGCTCTGACGAGCGGTGATGCAAAAAAGGCTTCTTGAGTCCAAAGTATCTGTACCATACCCTTGTCGTTATTTAGTCGTGGTTGGACCACCTTGAACCGCCTCTCGTATGTTGGTTTCTGCAAACCTCGATCATCTGGCGTTCCTAATCTCGCAATCTCTCCTTTGCAGCGAATCGCTCGACGCAACACACGCATTCTGAAGCGAGATCTCCTTTGCAATCGCCCCCTTTTCCCCACTGACTTATAACTTGAGTTGCTTGCTCATTGTTTGGTTAACTCTGTGCCACCCCGCGTTGAATGCCTCAACGCAAATCACTTGCTGTAACCGGCAAGAAAATGTTGTCAACGGAACGCAAGCCACGAGGTTTCCTCCCAATCGTCCTAGGGGATACCGTTACGTGCCGATTTGGTACGAACCGAAAAGGGGATCATTGGGCGGCCGTCTTCGGCCTCATTCATGGCCAGCGCATTATCTTCGAGTTGCCCAACTTTGACAACTGCAGATACTCGTGCCAGAGCGGCTGCGCTGTTGTCAATATTACCACCCAAAAAGCTTCGCCCTGCATTTGTATGGCCATCCGTAGTTCTTTTTCTGGACTTCCTTTTAGAACCTATCTGCATGTCTCCTTGGGTTAATGCCTGTGGTAGAGATCCGAAACAGACAAGCTCCCCGCCAGCTTGTCGACGTGATCGACAGAAGCATGCCGCCCAATTAAGCAATCGTCTCTTCCATATTCCGCCATCCGTCGCACCCTGAGGCTGGAGTGAGGTTGGTAGAGGCCACACACGCCCCTCCACGGTCATCTACTCTGCAGGAGGCCCAAGGCTGTACTTTCCTTTCCCTGTGAGAGGCACATGTATATTAGTCAAATCTGCCATCCCCCGTTGTACACATGTCAAGACGGATGCTCGAGGCCTGGTCCATGGCGAGGCCCTCTCTCTTGAGAAGAACGGTGAGCACGTATCCGACCCTCCGCCTACCGGTTGCGTATGGCTGCTTACGGCCACCGCTCTTTTGACATAATTGAGATGATCATGAGCTCCTCATAGACTGCAGCTTGGCAAAACGATGGTGTTGCGCTGCTTGAACCTCATCCCCACTGTTGGCACGCCCCCTGTATTTGCCATCTCAACAGGAACTCGTCGTTGAGCATCTGAGTCAAATAGTGTCAACCTTCACCGCTAGGGAGGGAGATGATCGAGACAGAGTCGAAGATTATTACTAGGGTTTCGGCAAAGACACCTGGCGACCTAGTTCGGAAGACGCATCTGGCACCGATCGGATCCGAGGTTGCCACTCCGTCAAGCTCCCAGGCGAAGGGGATCTCAAAAGCTGCTCAAAACCAAAGAGCTTACCATAAGTCCGAGGGGAATATTAGCGTGATGAGTCGTTAGTTTTTGCCCCCTTTGATTGTTTATTTTTGCCTCCCCCTTGAAGGCATTTTCAACACCTCGTGCCACACTGGAGGAGGCCTGTTGGGTGGAGAAGCACACCCGCGGCACAGCTGTGCCAGGGTCTCTTTTCTTCAGCATAGCGTCACACCAGATCTGGCTCTCGTTTCTTCGTCGCGGCTTTCTTTCTGTATGCGGATCTCCTGGGGCTCAAATATGGGCCCAGTAATGAGCGATACTGAGAAATGACGGGTAAGCGCGGATGCTTGCTTGCTGTTGAGCTGCACTGTGATGAGAAATCAGCCGATTGAACATTCGCCAGTGAGCCCCGCGAGGGACTTGGTCGTCCTTTTCGGGAGCTAAGGTGTCAAGGGATCGAGCCACCAGGGCAGCGGGAGCGGCGAGACGCAAGATACGAGCACGTCAGTCGTCGTGCATGTGCTCATGACACATGCTTCTGATACGAAATTGGTTCTTCATTCAAGGCCACCAGTCTTGGTCGAAAGCCATCCGGTTGCGAAAGAAAGGGGGGAGGAGCTTGCATTTCGTCAGACAGTAAATGTGCTGGAGAGCAATATTTCATGAGGCCACAGAAGACTGTTGAAGTAGGATTTAGGAGCAATGAAATGGTGTGGCAGCTGGAAGATGAAAACGACAGGGGTCTGTCTGTCATGGATTCGGGGCTAGCCGCTGCGTTGACTGGCTCGCAGATTTGATGCTACCCAGTGCGTGCCAAAGACATGCAAATGATGCATCCCGCAGCAGCTAGGCAAGTCTATCCGGCATTAGCTGCCATTGTGTATCGGCCGCAAGGCAGGTGGTGCGGATCGGTTTCTGGTCAGGTCGCCGGCGACTCGAACCTGTCGCAGCCTCGACCCTTAGAGCGAAGACCTAATCCTCTCCTCTGAAAAAAAGCAATGAAAATGACGAAGCGCGCCGCCAATAAACCTGTCCCTAGAGGCGATGATGACCTGCAGGTCTGTAGGAGGGTGCCTTGTCAGGTCTTACTTTTCCTTCCACCACCACGCCCAGTGCTACGCCAGCGTCCACCTGCGACGATTTCTCGGCCGCGGAAAACGATTCATCACCTGAGAATTTCCTGTAGATAATTGGTGCGTCAGCTTTCTGAAGGGAAACAGGCTTGACAGAGTTCTTGACGAAGGGGGAAAAGAAAGTGATGGGGGGGGGGAGGGGCGGCGCCATTCTCTCTCACACACACCAACCAGCCAGTGGACACTGGACAGTAGCATGGGTGACTGAGTCCGAGATCGCTTATTGGTAGAATCATGACGGGAAGCGAGAATTCCATCTTACCATCCCCTCTCTTCGCCTCCACTCAAGAAGCTGCAATCACTGTTGAGCTCACAAGCCCACCCACCTCCAACTCCACGGCCATTTCTCCAAGAGTTGCTGTCGGCCCCAGCGCCATGACCAGGACCAGGACCTGTTGGTTGTTAATCGAAAAGCTCGTTAACTGATAGTGACGTAGGGGACTGATCCTACCATCGGTTCCTGACGCTCGTTCCCAAGCGGACGGCGATTTTCTCCGGTACACACTCAAGCCGCAGGTGAAGGCTCGGAAGTCTTCCGCGTCAATGGTCTCGGGCATGACCCCGGTAAGCACTCGGCCAAGGGCAATGATTGATGCTGCGTGCGAACAGAGAACTACAGCGCGCTTGCCCTGGGCGTCGCATTGCTCAATTATGGCTTGAACAGCGGCTGCGAGGCGGTCGTGCAATTGGTCGATTGTCTCGCCGTTGCGGGCGGGAAACACACGGCTCTGATACGTCTCGTCGTAGTGACGGAACATGGGCTTCAACACTTCCGGCGAAGCCGGCGTCGGATGCTCAAACGGGGCGGCCCCATACCATTCGCAGAGGCCATGCTCGGGACGAATAACGGCAGCATCACTCTCAGCTCCTGCGGCTTTTTCGCCGAGGCGTCTGAGCTCATCCTCCTTAAGAGACACGAAAGGTGTGATGGTTTGGAGACAACGATAGTAAGGACTGGAATAGACGGCTTCAATGGGAGGGTCAACGGTCATGAGGTGAGCGCCCAGTTCCTTAGCCTGGTCGACGCCGTGTGCTGTCAGGGCCGGATCCGATGGAATTCCTGTAGGGGATGGTATGGACGCCGTGTAACTGCCCGTTGCAGGGTCGACAAGCCAGTTGGACCGGAACTGGTGGGTGCCAAGATTACTGTCAGATTGATTCCGGCAAGCTTAACAAGACAAATACACCCAAGTGGCCCAGCGGCCAGCGCCTACGACAGACACCCACACCACTAGGACCTAAACATGGTCAAGGTCGAGGACCAAAATCAAACTAGGGCTAGGGTATCGTGGTTCAAGTCGCGAAGCGAAGGGTGCTGGTGTTGCGAAGAAGGAATCTGACCTAGCCCGTCACCCTCGATCCTCATTGGGACTTTTGGGACCAGAGCGGAGTCGCGGACGGGGACGGGACGGGGACGGGGACGGGGACAGAGCCTGATACGAAGAAAGGAGGTGACGAGAAGCGAGGACCAAGACTTACTCCATGGCGGGTAATGTAGATTACTTGCAATGACATGACGGCGGGCTTCGCAAACTGCAGTGAACCCCGGCTGGACTGGATGATTGTGAGAGGACAGAAAGCGAGAATGGTCAGGGGGGGGTGTGAGGATGGGTCCTGGAGAGTCTCCGTACACTAATTGGTAGCGTGCTTGTCGTTTCTGGTCTTGTCTTTTTTTTTTCTGTGCCGTCCGTGTTGGTTCTCGGGCTGGGATGAGAAACTAAACTGGGAAAATGGATAGGATGTGAAGAGGAGAAGTTTGAGAGGAGGGGGTGGGAGAGACCCCTGTGACGGTTGGTTGAAGATGTCGTTCAACTAAGAGTGGTTGTGACCAAAGGTGGGTGCCTGAAGCCCGGACCAGTTCCCCGTGTGGTGTCTCCAGCCAACCTGCAGTTACCCTACCGAGGCAAAAGGGAACGGGCAACCACGGCTACTGGTCTGCTCCTGCCTACTAGTCACCTAGTATACTAACTCAAGTGGTATCCGTACTCGTAGTTGCTCGATAAGCAGAGGGGGGGGGAAGCCGGCCTGGATGTGGGAATACCTTGGGAATACCTCCCCGCGGAAGGACACCCAGTGCACCGTGATTACGCCAAGTGGGGCCCCATCCTTCAGCGCCTCATGGCAATGAGCAGGGTGGTGGGAAGGCCACTCCTCCTGCCAAACACACACACACACACACACACACACACACACACCTAAACCGCCCGCAATGCGACTCGACCCAGCACAAATTACATCTCGGGCTCGTAAGCTGGTAAGCAGGCCACTTGACCGGGAACCTGTAACGGGATGAATCCGGTAACCTCCACGTAGTATTCCAGCGACCGGTCAAGATCCCCGCAACCTGGAATAGTGCAGGTGATCGATCAATCTGCACCTCGGGACCAGAATATGACGGCCCACTCTCACTCTCTCACTCACCTCATTCTCAGGTACCTAAGTGCTAGCCAGCCTTCTCGGTTCTGCCAGTTACCAATTCAATCCATTCAGCTTTCTCAAGCTTCTTTTTTTCGACTCATTATTTTTGTAACAAAACAGGGGGGGAGGAGGTACTTTGACGGTACAATGCGTGATGCAGGTAGGGGCCGGCTTGCAAATCTCCGTGACACCCTCCCGCCCCGGGGAACAGTGACTCTGCAGCGCATACACATAATCATGTCATAAAGTATTCCCATGGAAACTAGAAAGCCAGCTCATCCAGCACAGTTGGGCAGATAAGCTGTCGGCCGCCTCGTCCTCGTGTCCACGCCCACGTCCACTCAATAGACAACCCGAGCCAGAACCCCCCCCCCCCCTTCCCCCCCGCCTCCTCCCGTCATTAGTGGTAACTCAGCTCCGGATTCGCCCTGAAATTGCATCTGCAACGACACTCGGGCACAGGACACTCGACGTGTCTGGTGAACCACATCCGGGCGTGGTCCAGGTGAAGTACGTGCTCGCACTTCAAGCAAAACGTTGGGAAGTTGGCCGCCGTCCATATCTCAGGCTCGCCGTTCAGCTCTGGACGGTCCGACCTTGGGACGCCCACGACTTCCAGGCACACAACGCAACGCGGAAGATGACGCCCGCAATTCGGGCAGCTGATCCCTGCATTGATGCTCGTCGCCATTAGAGGGTTCCGCGAGTCCGGCGCTCCAAGCGGCGGTCCTGACCCAGCTCCCCCTTGCCCCGCGAGAGACGTCTCGGCATCACAGTAGACGCATCGAAGCGCAATTTGCCGTGACGGCGGCTTAATCGTAGGACGTCCCCCGCGTTTGCTCTTCTTCGTGCTCTCGACTTCGAATTTGGTTCGTTGAAGGAAGGCCTTGTGCCGTTGGAGATACGCCCGGTAGGCATTCCTCCAGGCCAGACATCGGTAGTCGTCAATATATCGCGGCGCGCATATCGACATGACCAGCGTCGCCGTCTGAAAGTCGCTGAACTTTTCAACATACTTGGCGAATATGTCCACCAGCTTATCCGTGATACCCGTGAGAACGATTCCCTCGATGTCGCCTGTGTCTACTGCCATGGAAACCTGTTCGTGAAGCCATTTGGTAAGCTGGTCGTCGTCGAAGTTTCTGACGGCGACGTAAGCGCGGTCCGTGAGAGGCAGAGACTTTTGATTTGCAATGGCAAACCAATCCCCAGTGGCAATAAGAGATGATATCGCCCTGAGGTATGGGTCCGTCTTCGAGGCCACTGCTTCGTCAAAGTCCAGCTGCTCCTTGCTGAGCTTGTTATCACTCTTTCCAATGAGTTGCAACGCGAGCGATACAAACAGCAGCTCCGGATGCGTCACGCTGGCTGTCTTCAAAATACGGATCGCCTCTTGCGTGTCGCCCTTGAACAAGGCTCGAGCTGCCGCCATAGTATGTGTTGTCGTAGGGTAGTCCGTGCCTGGGTCATGCGTAGCCCCTCTCGCCTCGTGTGCTGCCGTGTCTCCCCATCCGCAAATATCCAGGCATAGTTGCCTGTGGAATGGCTTTTTAGTCTGCGTGCCCTCGTACTTTGGCAGTTTGCGCCTCTTGCAGATGCTACCGATGCATTTCTCCCAGAGGGTTATCTCGGGCATGGGAGAAGCCTCCGGTAATCTCGATGAGGGCTTTTGACCTATTTCATATTAGGAAAGACGGTCGCGTCACTGTATAGTAAACACGTACCTAGATCATTGCACCATATGGTACAGACACCCATGTAGCTCAAGTCCAGCGGAGATAGTTTCATGCCTCCATCGTTGGCGGCATCCTCCGCATCTTTTCACCGTTAGCTGTGATTTTTCAGGAAGATGTATTCACTAACCTGCGATCCAATCCCACATGTATCGTAGCCACGGGTCGTCAGAAACCACGGACCGGTTGACATTGCAATCAAACAGGTATTTCTCCTTGGCCCTCAGGAGCATCACATGGTCCAGAAGACACTGTGCCTCAGTGGACAAGCTTTGAGCTTTCAGGGGTAACGCGAGAAGTGATTCATGCATGTGGCGACAAGAAACAGGGCCGTCCTTGGAAAGGGAGAGCTGAGCAAGGGAGCTGACCGACTCTTCCAAAGCTGAGCTTTCAACGCTATTTGTTTCTGACTCTTTTGCCTTTTCCTTTAGGTTCGATCTCAAAGCTCGCATACGCTCTGCTACTGTTTTCGACTTGTCGAGGGATGGTGGTGACCGGTCTATATTGCCCACGAGTTTGCTGTCCAGGTCTGCTGCCGAACACCTCGCTTGCAACGTCTTGTCGACAATAGCCTGAACATCGACTTTGTTGGGACCGAATATGGCAATGTCCGAAAGCGCCTCTTCGACAAACAACGGTCCCAGCATTTCGGAGCACTGCGACGGTTCAAACTCCATGACGCTATGATATGGTCCGCCCTCTTTGTCATGTTAGAACACTGTCCTTCCCAGTGGGGGTTTAAAAACGTACCTTCTAAGCCACGGTAGGGCGGTTGCCACGGTGTAAGCTTGTAGAGATAGTCAGAGGTGTAAGAAGGCTGTTCAAGAATCTCGAACGTGCCATTGGCACGAAGAACCACCAGGCGAGGCTGCAATAGGGGCGTGTCTAGTGTAACCCAGTCGAACGAGACAATTCGGTCGTTCTTCTTGCCACTGTCACCGTATTGCACGTCCATGTCGTACGACTTGTGAACTTCAAGAAGTTCCGGGCTTCCTTCGAGAGCCATATCTCGAGACGTTATTTCCTTGTTCGTCTTCAAGACCTTCAATTGACCAGTGCGCGATAGAACGGCCAGGAGTCCACGATGGTCCCGGCAGTACCGCAAAGATCGCACGATCGAGTGTTTACTCTCACTCAACGACAGGTCGTCATCTGAGTCTACAACTTTGTCGAGTCTGAGAGCGCCGCCCCATGGGAGCTCGTCCTCATCGACAGCGCCGAGGTAAGAGTGCGAAGCTACTGGGCGAGACGTTGCCCGACGATCCCATACCATGATACCCGGTTGGTCTAACGCGGACGAAGCAAAGTAGTTTTGATCGGCATAGTCTATTGCCAGGTTGTTATTGCACTTGGTCTGGAATGTGACCACGCTTCCCGCTTCTGTATCACCCATGTCAGCAAACAATCATACAGCGAAGCAGACACCGAGACCTACCACGCAGGTCATGGATGCGGAGGCCCTGAGCTTTAATTCCAACAACCAACGTCTTGGGGTTGTCTTCAAAGAATTTGACGCTCGACACTGAGACACTGGGCTCTAGTCGATAGGTGGGGTCCGTAAAGGAGTGCATGTCCTTGGAGAAACCCTTGGTAGACTTGTTCATCGACGACAGACGATTGACGTCCCAGATGTGGAGGCACTGATCCATGCGCACGCGATCCAAGCCAACTGCCAGAAGACCTTCGGTATTGAACGCAACCGCCTGACAGGTGCGTGTCATTTTCAGACCAAGTTCAATGTAGGCGTTGGAGTTGTCGTCCATCCTCAGCAAGTTGACAACGCCAGTCTGGGTGCCGACAGCCAATAGGCCCGGTACGCTGGGTGACCAGTCATAGGTAGTGAGCGTCGGGAAGTCATCGTGCTTTGACAACCTTGTGTACTCAAACTTGCTCCTTTGAGCTAGGCCATTGGGCTCGTAGAGCTGCACGACGCGGTGTTGCAGATTGATATGGATGAAGCTATCGTAGCCCGGGATCTGGGACCATTTTATCAAACCAGGCTCCGGGCGGTCCATGGCGGCCGCATGCGCCTGCACTTTGGCGTGGCTTTATGGCAATTTTATTCAGTTTCCACGCCACGTCGACTCAGTGGGAGGCCGAATTGCTGAGATCCTTCAGGCGGGGACACACAAGTTGAATGAGACCGATGAGCGGATGAGATCGCCAGCCCTTATGAGAAGGGGTAATACAATGTCGTCGATGGCTATATATTTGAGCAGTTTGATATTCTTCTTCACTGTTTCGTCAGGACTTTCTAAGAAAAAAAGCTATTGAAAGACGAGATGCTGTCGTGAGTGTCGAGTCGAAGATGTCTATCTGAACTCACTGAGCTTGGGCGGCAGGTACAGCTTCGCTTGCAGCTCAGTGAGCCGTTGTAATTGGGGTCCGTCATTGGCCTAAGCGGCTCAGTTCATGCGCTAGTCCCAAATGGAACTGATAAGCAATTCCCGGTGGGGTCGGCAACATCCAGGCGACCGATAACCAAATTTTTGAACCAAGACGGGCGAAGCCATCGTCTACTTTCCCTCCATCCCAGCCATACGCCGAACCCTGTAATTTGTCGTCAATCTACGGCACATACAGCCACAACCACAAAAATGGGCGCAAAACGATCTCACTCCGAGGTATCGGACGTCGCGATGCAGGAAGTCTCCGACCAGCGCCATGACTCCCCGGCGACCTCTGAAAATGGCGGCCAGCCTGCGACGAAGCGGTCCAGAACCGGTCCTGGTGCCACGAAGAAAAAGCACAAGGCCAAGGAGGGCACGACGGCATGGAATAAGACACGAGCGCGTACAATTAGGAGGTTGTTGCAGAGCGGCAAGGAACTGCCGGCTACGGTGCGAAATGATCTGGAGCAGGAACTGGAGGCACTGCAGGAGAGGGTGGGAGAGCACGACTTCAAGAAGAAGAGGAGCCATATGATTCAAAAGTACCACATGGTTCGGTTCTTTGGTAAGTTTTGTCTCATGCCTCCAGCAAGAACCCTACGAGTATCTCAGCTAACTCTGAAACCACTAGAACGGAAAAAGGCGGAAAGACTCCTCAAGCAGCTCCGTAAGAAGATCGCACAGTCAACCGACGAGGAGGAGAAGAAGCGGCTCGAAGCTGAGGCGCACGTGGCTGAAGTTGACGTCGCCTATGCCCGTTTCTTCCCCCTAATGGAGCGCTACGAGAGTTTGTATCCCAACAAGGACAAGGACGGCAATGCCGACGACACGAAGACGGACGAAAAGTCGGAGGAGCAGCCCTTCAAGCAGCCCAAGGCCTTGCGCGCGCTCCACGCTGAGAGACCCAAGATGTGGGCGACAATCGAGAAGACGCTCCCCGGAGGTGAGACGGCGCTATACAGGTTACGAGACCGCAAGTCGCCGACAGATACCGGTGCTGCGCCAGGCCGACCGGCGAAGAAGAACATTCCCAAGATCAACAAGGCCAAGGCTAGCTTCCCAGCAGAGCAGCACCACCACCATCACAAGGACAGGGCAGTGAACTGGAAGTCTGAAGGAAAGGCACGGAAGTGGCAGGCTCCGGCGCAGCAGGACGAGGACGAGGATGATGGCACAGGTTTCTTTGAGTGATTCAGGCGCGGAAACAAAAAAAGTTTTGGTGTTGAGCGTTTTCGGTCGTCATTTGTATACCCCTAAGAATTTCACGGGATACGTGTAAAATGAAACATAGGTTCATAATCACTTGCAACACAAGTCTTGATCACGCAGACCGACGGTGATGCCTTGGTGGTGCATATTGCGAAAGAGCCAATCGGCCAAAATCGCCCTATGAGCATATGCCACTTCACCCATTATCTCAAGTAAAAAAAACTCAAAAAATGATGCAAATAAACATGATTGGGGTCAACCTTCCAGAGACGTAAGGCAGTGGCTGTGGGTGCTTTTGACTTCGAGTTCCGTCACAAAGAGAAAGGTGTCAGCCCAAGGCAGGCAGGTCGTCAGCCTCCAACATGAAAGCCCGCGGCCAGCAAGGCGGCCAGGCACCGCGCCTTCTCCGCAGTATTTACACTTGTTAATCCATCTCCCCAACACATCGTCATTTGCTGATATAAAGGCCCAGCGGTCGCGCCTAAGTTTCCTTTTAATTCTTTTCTCAGCTAACTTTGGTCAATGTGCATACAACTACTGTCTGGTTACTAAATTTGTCCATTTCTCCATCTGGCAATTTGAGGCCCTCAAACGCTCACATCTACCCCATGCCAGGCTCAACATCCAACGGCAACGTCTCGCAAAGCGTAGACTGGCCAGCGCTCAAAGCCTGGATCGCCCAAAAAGAAGCCTACGAAGCGCAGCACGGCCGCCCGGCTCCGTTAACAGATGTAGAGGCCTCAGCAATTGCAGTACTCCTACAGCCGGCCCCGCGTCCGGAGCCGGTCATCGGCAAGGAGAACTGGATTGGTGTACTGAACCGTGAGCCCCTCCTCTACTCATTTCACCAAACCTTTCATACGTATCCTTGCTCTTGTCACCTTTCCTACGTCTCGGCCTTGTTCTATTATAATACGTCAATATATAAAGCCAGACAAGGACAAGCAAAAGCGAAACATGCAACGAATCCATCATGGCCATAAGCCGAACTGACTAGGAACTTAGACTTCCTCCAAGTCCGCGAAAAGAAGGTCACCTTCTCAGATGAAGCCCGTCAGATCCCCAGACTAGGAAAAGCACCAGAGCTGCGCTGGGCATGCTTCGCCAAATTCGACAGCACAGGGGACACGTTTCCCCGGGCCGGCAACGGCATCGATGAAGGTGCCTCCCTGAGCCCAGACTTCACCCGCAAGCAGGACGCGAAGCAGTTCGCCGCCAAATGCGCCTGTGAATGGCTCATGGAGAACGGGCTAATGCGCCGGAATGGCGATCTGCCTATGATACCGCCGCCGTTTCCCAGTCCTGCCGCCGAACGGGCGGCTACTTCTGCTGTTCCTCAGCTGGCGTCCGTTCCGACAAGGAAGCGGTCTCCTCCGAGCTCGCCTCCCACGTTAGTCACACACGACTTGAGCAGCATAAAGCAGGAGACGTCGCCCACCGAGCCGGAATCTTACATAGCATTCTCAGAGCCCAGTCCACGGCAGCCGCCGTCTTCCCCGAAGCAGAAACCAGCAAAAGCGCCGCGAATGACGTCCCCTGCCAAGCCCTCCGCTTCAAACTCGATGTCAACAACAGCATCATCCTCCGCCGCAACCTCCCCAGGAGGCGCAGGCGCAGCAACATCCCCTTCAGACGTTCCCGCTACAAAGCGCGTGACGGACCTCTGTACCCGGCTCGGCTTTCCCGCGCCCGATTATCGCATCGGAGAAGACGATTCGGTCCCTGGCGGGAACATATGGAAGGGCACAGCATACTTTGACAACAGCCCAGTTGTCCCCGAAGATATAGGGACTGTGAGAGGGATCTATACGAAAAAGGCTACAAAAGAAAAGATGGCAGAGTTGATTCTGGACTGGCTGCTAGCTCAGCAGAAGAAAAGGGGCCAGGAAAAGAAGGCCATACTTGAAGCATAGGCCATCAAATTTACCGTCGAGAAAATAAGAGGGTGCAAAGCATTTTTATACCATATATGGGATTCAACAAGTGGTTTTTATGAGAGTATTTTACTAGTCAATGAAGACAAGCGCATAAATAAACAAGGGAAGAGAAGTAATAGACACGGCAGTCACATACTCGAAGGCACTCCGTAAACCAAACAGAAGCACAAAATCGTGACGTGATTCTTCATGTTTCCTTTCCCAAATCTTCTATACTCTGCGTAGCTAGGTAGTCAGACTAGACGCGGGGATCTAGTACAACAAATCACGACCGACCACCCCTCCTACCGCCCCTGCCTCCTCTACCTCCCTTCCCAGGAGGAGCCCTCATCTTCAGGCCCTCAGGCAAGTCCGCAATCTTCTCCCCGTCACTCCACAACGTCCCAACGAGCGCCTCATCCCGTCCCCTGACCTCCTTAAAAAGCCTACTCGGCACCACGCCCTCCTCGTCTCCCTCCGTGAGCACAACGCCGTTCTCGCTAATCCACCACTTTAGGCCCTCCTCCTTCAGCGCCCTGGCGACGTCAACATACACCAGAAGCTCGGCGTCTTTCCTCATCCCGCTAATGACGCCCTTCTCGTCCGTAGGCAGACCGGTCGCGAAATGCACATGGTTCCGCCCCATTCGTTTCAGGCCACCAGATTCTTCAATCTGCTTCCAGAACGCAAAGTACGTCCCGTGTACGACTGTTTCCGGCACGTTCTCAGGAGTTATTGGGGTAAGGAGGGACGCCGAGTCGAGCTTGATGCTGTGGCCCTGGTTTGCGCGGATGAGCCAGTGCGACGGGTCCACGGACGTCTCGTCCAAGGAGGGGTTGGTGGTCTCATTTGGCTTCAGCGCGAAGCGCTGCTTGTCCGATGTCGAGACGGCGGAATGGATATCCGCGAAGGTTACTTTGAGAGATCGGATGGGACCGTAGGCAAGCTGGTGCTTATGTTAGCGCCGAGTCCCTTGAAAATCTGAAAATTCGAAAGGCGAATCAAACAACTTGAGTTGTCAAATCGCCGCCTTGCGAACGCCCATTTCACAAGCCCGAGATGGAGACCGCTCATCCTCATCTCACAACCTCAACTCTCATCGCACACATAATAGACTCTCATCGCGGGACAACACTCACCACTTTATCCAACGGCGCATAACCCCCATCATCAAGCGTGATCCCCGCGTTCTCAGCCTGATGCCTCAGAAGCCGCGAAAGCGCCTTTGACACAAGAACTTCTCTGTTCTGTCCGCCGCCGCCGCCGCCGCCACGTCCGCCCTTGCGGCCCCCGGCCCCGCCTTTGCGCCCCTGTTGCGCCCTGTCTTCGAGTGTCCCCGCGGTAGTCTCGTCAAAAGCATCGGCCATTTTTGATTCCTTCGAGGCAGGTGATGTAGACGGCCGTGGGATTGGTGGTGGTGGTGGTGTAAGACTATGTTGGAAGGTACCAGCAGCCGGTCGCTTATTCCCGGTTTTGGGCTGAGCTGCTTGGCTGGCAAAGGTTGCCGAAAAGATATATGCTCGCGGTGCAGACGCCGGTATCACTGATTTGGGAGTGGAGATTCTTAAAATTCTTGACGCGCCGGTCTTCATGAAAGTCGATGAGATGTTGTGTAGTTAGTTATATGACGGACGGGGGGGATGAGAGTTGGAGTGAACGTCGGAGGGGGAAAACGCAATTGGGTTAGGCCCCTCCCCGCTGAAAAAACTCATATGGCAGTGACTGGCTGGCTCATCACTCACCACCCCCTCTCACTTCACTTCACGTCTCGCACCAGGCACGTTCGTTGCCGGTGAGTCAACTTGTCAGCGAGGCCAAATCCGTACCAACTCGGAAAATAAATCTTTTACTTTTGATCCGCACGGATCCGAGTCTAAGACGTCAAAGATCGTGGAACAAACCGTGACAGCTCCGCCGAAAATAATTGACAGCGGCCCCGTCGCAAGTGACTAAAACTCAATTGGCGCGTCCGATCGCTCCATTCATACACATCTCACGCAGCGCCATGTTGGGAAAATGAGTAAATCAGACATTAACTTTTTTTAAAAAATAAAAAAAACTAGCCTCCCCTGTTCCGGAACAAACCCAAACACCTTTGATCAAAACGGCGTCAACGTCCGCCGTATAGCCAGATGCACATGTCAATGGTCTGACATTGGCCACGTATTGGGGCTTCAGGCCCCTATCCCTAACGTTTTGTTTCTCCTTATGGATTTCTCGATATACAATGCTCCCAACCTTCCCAACGAGGAGGCGTGTCCAACAGTCAACCGGCCGTCCGTCATGGTTGTCATACAAGTACAAAGTGACAAGTGCCGAACCCATGCGATATAACATATGCCAAACAAGAACGACGCCAGCATGAGAAAAAAAATAGTTAATGGTACATTCATCCATCCGTGTGGGTGTCAATCGTCAAGACGTTATCGATAGCTGCCCGCTTGAGCAGCAGTCGATGTATTCGTTATCGTGCTGTCGCGGTTTGCTCTGCGGCTTATACTGCTCGCCCTGTTCAACAAGGACGTATGAGTGAGAGAAAAATGCCGCGGCTGCGCAATCGTCGTTTGCGCGCGTTCTTCAGGCTTCTCAGCTGAGCTGGGTGCGTCACGTTCTGGGGTTCTTTCCAGATACCGACGTGTTGTAAGAGATGGCGTAGAGGGTGCGACCAAACGTGAGGTGAGTGTCGATGCTCCGAACCGTCTACGGGGTAAGGCAGATGAGGCAGGAGATGCGACTTCGTTTGCCGCGGTGCTGGAGTGATAGGTGTGCGACACAGCGCGAGCTGGTGTCTGCAATTCGGTGGCGGCCCGCGAGGGGGCACGGAACCGGGACGATTCTTCATCGTCCTCGCCAATGGTCCCTCGGCGAGTTCGAAGCAGGGAGGTCTGGCGACCAGGTTCTTGACGAACAACCTCGCGCGACTCCTCAGGCTCTTCGGTACCTGCTCGTCGGGTTCTCAGTAGCAATGATGATCTCCGTCCATCTTCAGGTTCCTCTGTTACTGCACGGCGAGTGCGACCGATGAACAGAGATGATTTACGATGCGCGGTCTTGTTGCCGTCTCCTGGTGTAGACGGTATCGTGCCGGGCGGTAGGGCAAACCTAGGACTAGGTAGAGCGCTCGAATTAAGTATGGTGTTGCGTCTCTCCTCGTACTTTGACAAAGCCCTAGGGCTGGTAACAGCATTTGGCTTCGGGAGGACCTGCTGGTCCGTCACACTAGGTCGCCGTGAAGCTGCCACTCCCAAGACTGCCGATCCTCCACCGGCTGTGAATGTCTTGGTCACAGTGGGTGTCGATGGGGCCGTTGCTGTCACATCCTTGGAAGCGGGCACGTTGATTTGGAGTGTCTTGTCCCGTGCTGATTCCTCACTGAGGACCAGCACCAAATCGGTCAGACTCCGGCAAATGCTGTCGGCCTTGCGTCGCAGTTGCCGATCCGTCAAGTTGGTTCCAATCCCGATGCTGCTGGCTCCGCTCGATATCGGGCCCGGCTGGCCCGCAGTGCCCATCATGTTAGCAAGCGCCAGTGCTTCCGTTGCTGCCGTCTCCAGAGCTCGTGCTACTTCTTCGCTGAGGAAGGGTTTGGATTTGTTGACTGCGGAAAGAAGAATCGGTTGTTGGGTTTCACGCTGTGACGAAGTAGTGCTAATGGCGTCCCCATTGGGATGATTACTGCCGGAAGTTCTCTTCGGAGAAGTAGACATTGTGGTGTTGGTCGCTGTGGGCGGCCGTTCATCGGACGCTCGAGACATTGCAGCACCTGATGTGGCGGGCAGCTTGCCCGTCAGTTCCAAACGGTGGATTCGCGATTTAAGATCGTCAAGCTCGTCCCAGACTGTGGATGGGGCTGTTGTCGATGCCGTTGCCGTCGACTCTGTGCCCTCTACTCCATTACCAGCGTCGTGGTTTGTTTCGGTACGCGGCGTTTCTACTGTTTTTGGTACCAATGGCGAAGAGTTGTAGGTGCGCGTTTGACCGTATGAAAGATTAGACTGTCTGTATGACAGGCTGCGAGCAGAGAAACCCGTGTTGCTGTCTGTTAGGGATGGTCGTCTCCGTCCGTAAGGCGACGTGTCTGATGATTCTTGAAAAGTGAAGGAACGAGGCGTGTTTGCAGAGGAGGCAGAGCGCGGACCAGAGTTGAAAGTCTTGGAGCGATTTAAGTCCTCTCCAGGGTGAACCGAGGAAGGGCGGTCTCGAGTCAGACTGGGGCGGTACGCCAACGCGCGAGCCATGGGTTCAGGAGCACTCTCGTCTTCTGATTGTCGTGCACGCTTCTTGGACGTCTCTTGCTGGTCGGAAAGCCGGCGACTGAGTTGGGGCGGGGAAGTCGGGTGATAAGACAATGGGACAGCTGCCGAGAGGGGGCGGCGGTGGGAGAATCTGGTAACACGTGCCTGTTTGTTCTTGTCAGCCAGGTTACGGTGATCCATAGCAAAACTCTATCTTCGCATCAAGGGCGCCACGGCTAGCGTCGCCGTGTCCTGAAAGAAATGAAGTCGCGCTAATGGCGCTGGGCTAGGAGATTCAAATGGGGAGTGGCATGGGCAAAGACAGCGAGAGCGAGATAATCGACTAAAAATATGGGCAGATGGCTGGGAATGTCGGCGAACAGACACTGTCCATCACAGGGCACGGTCGTCCGAATGACACTAAATAACATCCCGAAACAACAACGCGGACATGATGGGGGTTAAAACTTACAATGGCACTTGACTCTTCCGCTGGCGCAACGTCTGTCGAACCGCGACGTGTTGGCTCCTGCCTCGCGATTTTCATAAAGACGTCACCAGTCGTGTCGTCAGCGTCCGTTGGGTTAGCCGAGTGCGGCGGCGTCATTCGCATGAAGTCATCGTCAATCCTGCCTTCGAGGGCGCGCAAGGCGCGGTCGCGTTGATTTGAGTCTGCGAATTCATCGCCAAAGTCGAAAGACCGCATGGTAGATGTGCTGCTATCGAGTCCCAGACTTCGACGGGACCCGGAAGATCGAAATGATCGGATGGGAGCCACGCGAACAGAAGCGGCTGGGGTGCTGCTGGCGGGGGCTTTGAAAGAAATGGGCGGTCGCGACGTTACGGACTTTCGTTTCTCATCTGTCGGGCTTGAAGTCTGCAGCGTTTTTGGTAGAAGCAGCTCACGCTGGCCGTGGGCCCAGTCCTTTGTTGTTTTGTCCGCTGGGGGTGGAGCGGCGTCGTCGCTTGCGTCAGACTGTTTGTTTTGATGAGCGTTTACAGGCGGCGATCCGACATCGACGGCATTCGACTCGCGGGATCGAGATGTAGCCGCCTTGACGATGTGAGGTCTAGTAGGGGCAGATGTCTTGGGCTCTGCAGTTTCGCCGACGTTCAAGGCCTGGACGATGACGGGAGAGTCGGGGAAAGAAGCGGGCCGCTTGTGTGAGACGGCTGGGGTTGCAGGGGCGGATTGCGAGGCGATCTGATATGTCGATGCTCGCGATCGCGGACTCAATCTCGGTGGCGGTTCGGGTAACTCGTCAATAGGGCTCGAAATTCGGGGGGAAAGCTGGCGGTGGGACGGTCGGCGATCGTGTTGAAGCCGGAGGGAGGTCGGGCGGGTGTTTTGGCTTGGGCTGGTGGTGTCGGGCGAGTTGTGGTCCTGGTGTGGCTGCTGGTGCAGGTCTGACGTTGTTGTTACGACTGTCGGGGTGGCAGCAGGGACAGCGCCGGTGGCAGTGTCAACGGCAGTGCCAGTGGTGATGCCAATACCAATGTCAGTAACGGCGGCAGGGTCGTTTCCGTTAGAAACCGATTTAGGCGATACAGGCGAGGGCGGGATGTGCTGCAGCAGTGAGGGGAGCGCTAGGCGTGGGGATTGGTGTTTGTAGTCGGCGAATCGAAAGGCCGGAAGTTTAGAGGAGTTGTGGTTCTGGCGGTGCGTATGGTAGGGCGAATTGGGCGAAGTTACTGGGGACGTCGCAGAGGCGGACGAGGTCTGAAAAGCAACGCTTTGCGAAGATAGTGAGGAAGAAGGGGACGCGGACGCAGACGCGGATGCGGATGCTGAAGCAGAAGAAGACAATGTGGGATTCAATGTCGGGGCATGGCCCGCAGGTTCGAAACTGGCCATAGCCATGTTCGCGTCTCTGGAATCCGCTCTCATTCGCTTCGGTCGCAGCTTCGCGTCGAGCCAGGGCTTGTGCTTTTTTTTTTTTCGTCTCCTATCCTCCCTCTGCGCGCTGGCTGTGCTGGGGGGACCCTTTTCGCTCTGTCTCTAACCAACCCCAGTCCACCAGTTGAAGCTTGTCAAAGTGGAATCCACTGACCCAAATCGATTGGTGGTTCAAGTGACACTGAGTGGTGTGTGCGTTAGCACTTGTTCAGTCGTTGATAACACCGTTATCCTTTTTTTTGTGGCCGGGGTTGTTTGCTTTTTTTTTTTTCGGTTCCCCTGGGAATGCTGCAGATTTGTGACTCGGAATGGGTGTTTGTTTCTTTTTGTAATGTTCGGGGTCGGATCGCCCGATTTTGCAACAATCTCCGTCCGATCGTTTCCTTCCTTTCTGGTCTTCTCAGTCTCTCCTTTGATGTTGCGCAATTGGCAATCGTTTGGATGGATCTTTTCTCTCGTTAATTAAGGATTAGTAGTAGGTGGTACACGGTTCGGCCTTCTGGGACATCCATCAGAGAGTCGCCAGAGTCCGTATAGGGGTGTGGGTTGTAGGGTTGGCGGATCGATTCGTTGGTGGTGTTGTTCGGGTGAGGGGTGTGTATTAGTGACACAAGGTTTTTTGGAGTAATGGTGGCTGCAGGTCGCAAAAATGAGGTACCAGAGTGTGGTAGTACGGGTCGAATCGAAGAATTCCAAGGAGAGGACGAGGACGCCGGCGTTCTGAGTGATGATGTATGGAGATAGAGAGAGAGAAGAGGTGGAAGGAGAGGTGGGAGGAAAAGAGAAAGTGAAAGAGTGCGAGGGATGTGATTAGGATTAGCAAGGAGCAGGAAGGAGAGTCGTGAACAGTATAGCGGGAGAGGGCGCAATAGTCCGGCCCAATCCGGTCGATCAGATGGACAGCAGCAGGAAAAGATGATTACAGCTCAAGACAGAAACTTGAAGGACAGAAATGATAGGGTAGAACAGGACAGAGCTAAAAAGGTAGAGTAAAACTTAAGAAGAGGGAAACCGCGGGGAGCGGCCTTTGACGAATTTGCACCTTGGTCGTGGGTGACCACAGTTGCATGTTGGGAATGGAGCTCTGCTGGAGCTTATTGCCTTCTGCTTGTCCTGTCACGACAAGGCTAGAAGCAAAAGCAGCTTGGGCCCGTCCTTCCTTTCTCCGCACTTCAGCTCTGCCCAAATTGTCACTCTACAGGAAACCGCGAGTGGCCAGTGTGGCCATAATGGCAATATCGACTTGCTATGGTGCTCCTGCCTTGTACAAGTACATGAGGCCGAGGTTACTGCTTCCCAAACTCCATCAGCTCAGTATAGATAGAGTACGTAGCAGGATTAGGTTCACTCTTTCCCCCTCATAGTCACTTATACCCAACATAAGAGCAGGTACGTTTCGCACCTTCGCCATACTCCATAAACATCTTGTTAGGTCGTCTCTGTCTACCCTCCTCTTCTCTCAAACATGTTGGGTATGTTCTCTGCTTGTACACTTCTCATTCACAGAGGGAGAAATCTATGCAAGCCCCCCGAGCACATTTCTCATCCTCACTCATCACTCAGTGTTCAACAGCTCCCACTGGTCAGGGCCCTGGCTCGTCGCCTGGTTCAACAGTGGCTCTAGCCAGTCCATCCCGGCCAGCTAGACCTGCACACTTAGCAACCACATCCACACATGCACCACAAAAACTACCTTCTGCACCACCCGTTGAACGCCAACAAATGTATCGTGGGTACGTGCTGCGGGCCGTAGGCGCGCCTGCCACCGTCACTGCAAACATGTTCCCCAGGCCCGGGACACACCGCCTTTAGTCTGCCCTATCCTATCAACCAGGGCCTCGCCATCTCTATTACACAAGTGCCAACCCCTGTCAGCCGGCCTTCCGTCATTCACTCATACTTAACCCTTCTTGTCGTCACGACGAGAGCTTTCAACCCTCTGCTCTGGCGCAAACAGCGGCATGGCCTCTCGCCGATTATCACAGGAACCCCTTGCCCAGTCCGGTCAACTCTCTTTGTCCAGCCCGACCAGTCAAAACGAAGTATCGGCTTCGGCTCATTCTGCCACTAAACGCACAGTTTAGGGGCCGATGCGTCCACCGTTCAGAAAACAAAAAGGCCAAGGTATGTTTTGGTGGAGAGGCTGCAGGGAAGTGCAGTACCTTAATCTAGAATAATGAGCCCTGAGGCCAGGGATACACATGCACGGCTCTCAGGCAACACGCCTTCAGGGGTCCCGTGCCAATTGCAGCTAGCTGACGAGAGGAGGCTGGTTGGTCCTCCAGCAGGAAAGGGGAAGGGCCATACGGCACTTTCGGCCAAACCACCGCCGTTAGTCGCCATAGCGCCGCCCCGGATCCAGTTCCTGAAGGAAAACCAACGAGGCCACAGTCTTCACAAGCGTGCCTGTCTCAAATACGGAACGTTGCTACGGCTCGGGTCTCACTGGAAAGAATGATAGGGACACTATCCGTACGACCATTGTGGGCATGCAAGACAAGAAACACAAGCGAGAGAGACAGAACGAAAGAACTTGCGATGGTAGACCTTCCTTCTTTGCATGGCCCAAAATTACAAAATAGGGGGTTGGGCTCGCCCGGCGATCCTCGACTTGTCGAATCCACGCAGAGACGCGAGATGTGATATTATCGATCCATTCGCACGCACTTCTCTGGCCCCCTTACGTCGCCATACCATCTGTGCCCTTACTCGGGGCCCTGGGGAGACTAGAATTCAATCGGCTGACAGCTGTCTGTCAAACTGTCGTTTGGTGTGTGCTCAGTGCCCTTGGCCAATCTTTAGTGCTCCTCAAATCGGTCGACACCAATTCAGCATACGAGGCTCGAGCTCTGCTCCTCATAATCCTCTTCGAGCGCGGTGCTCGGCTGCTATGCAGCTTTCAACAACCTGAAGTTGATAGTGGGCCAGTTTACACCAAGATGGGGCTGCATTTTATTATAATGCAGACAGACCCCCGAACATGCAGTTGAAAGCCTGCAGGTCATGGCCAGTGACAAGATTTCCAGACAGCAGAACAATTGAGACACCCGCCACCTTGATTTCTGCAAGATCTTCTTCAGAGCACCTGTCTATCTAGCGGTTCTCGTTCCTGCTTGGGGCATATGTCGCAGATTTCTGTCTCCCTCCTAGGAGTCGCGGACGGTTGAGAGACGAGGCATTGTTGATTCTCTTGCCATGGCATCCTTGGATAATTGGCGCTCCTTATGAGATGGAACCACTTAGCTGCGCCGATCGCCCTCGAACTGGGGCAGCGCACAAGACCAGGGTCCTCAAACAAGACACCACCGTTGTACAAAATCCCCGCCAGGTACGGATATGGCGTGGGCGGGAATTTCAACGCCCAGCGCCAGCCCAAGTTCAAGTGCAAGCCCAGGAGTCGGAGACTCGACTAGGGGTACCATTCCTGTTCTTACTCGCATACATTATGGATATAGATCATGACACTGTTGGGTTAAGCGCAACCACAACTACTATGTCACACCGTGGGCGCATACATCAGATGCAGAGACTTACTCGTGCGAAGCCTAGCCAAAGTCTGCTTGTCCAAGATCTGGATGCTATGTAGTACTCGCACTTGTAGCTCTCTCATCCGACAACCACAAATGTCTTTCTAGGGTCATAGCGCCAAGGATGATACCGGCATGCACGGTCAGTCTTCATTTCTTTGCGCATTCCTTTTACTCCCAATGCAAAGGATTGCGCCAGCAGGGGTCGCGGAAGCATAACGCGTCCCGGCAGCTCAACACCGCGTTTTCAAGGGAGAAGCAACAATGGTCTGTCTCCACGCCGAGATCTCCATCTGCGACAGTGATTTCAGATGGCGCAGGAACAATCGTCATGACACGATTGAAAGCTATTTTTGCACTAACCCTTAGAGATGCTGTTCTGCCCCTTTCCCATGCCCATGGCCGACGACCTTATCTGTGACAAACTGCACCGCGCACGGAGGATTTCGGTTCCGCCTATGCGCGAATCGACGTCTACTTTGACTGTAGAGAACCATCAACCTAAATGGCATTGTGTAATGGCCTGGCTTACACGTACATTCCTTCTTCTAACAGGGGCTCCTCGAATCTGAGCTCCCTCAACCCCAAGAACCCTGACAATCACGCCCAGACCATCATCAATCGTCATGCCATTTGCTTGTTTCGTATTCCCACGAGCACAGCTCCAGCACTGAACTCCATTTCGGTTGAGGCGTTGTTGGTGTTGCAACGAGTTTGAGCCGTCAGTCAGTTCGGCTGGAGAATGGTGCTTCAGTATCACGCCGTGATCCAAACAAAGCCACAAGCCCATCGGCAATGCTTCCGGGAATGAGTGCCCCATCTATAACTCGGTCGATATACACCAGCCTAGCACTCTGCCCGAACCAGATGCCGTCTTTCTATGGTTGACATTTGCATACTATTGACTGTCAAAACGAAACATCTACAGGGTTTGACCTCGCTAGATCTGGCTTGCTAACATGAGACCCATTGTTTGTTTGACTCTGACGAACACGCAAAATGAAGAGCGCATGGTATCGTCTCGGTTATTCACAGGTAGCTTAATGCGTCTTACTAGTCCAATGGACCAGGCCGATCAAGCTCGCCCATGAAATGTACAAGGAATTTCGGCGGGTGATTGCGGCTCGATTGTCCGGGATCCAGCTTAGACATCAGATTTCGCTTCTCTTATTGCACCAACCACTTTACTGGCAATGAGCGTTGAGGGCCTTCAGGTCGTCATGTGTATGAGTAACCAAATCTGTATACATGAGAAGCAGATTTGGCCTGAGGCTTCGTTCTGGGGCTTACAAAAGTAGCAGATCGAGTTGTTTCTGGCTAACCAGTGCTGGTGAACAATAAAGACACATTCGTGATAACCAACTTTAAATCCAACAGCGGAGATATGTCTACTGCCGTTGGCAACACAAGTCCCCTTTTGACCATCTCGAGCCCCATGGTTTGTTGCCATCAGCAACGAATTCA